TTAAATTGAATCTATAATTTTAATTTATACTTACGAATTTAATTCAACTTATAGCTCAGCATAGGTGTCTCCGTGCTGTGCCTTCCGTGGCTCAGGTGGACCCAGCCGAACTTGGCGCGGCCGATCAAGGTGAATCTCATCTTTCCGATCTTCTACATCCTGGCCACGCTTTTCGTTACAATTGTACCGATGTACGCGAGTCCCGTCGAAACTGGTGAGTATTTGTAATCAACGATTCGCGACATGATTACGTAAGTAATATTTCACGAAAGCGATTCTGTCTTAGGATACGGCTGTCTAATGATACTCTCCTCCATACCTGTCTACCTCATGTTCATCGCATGGAAAAACAAGCCGAAATTCTTCCAAAGGAAAGTCGGTAAGTTCAGCGAACGCAACGTGATACATCGCGTGATATGTTATATTAATTTAAATCAAGTATTGATACATTGAGCATTATATAACAGACACGATACTCGCAGAAATTCTCTGTTGTTGAAAATTATTATTGAAAAAATATCAAGTAACTGTCTTCGTTTTGTAAAAGTGTTAAGACACTAAGAGTACCGTTTTAAAGAAACAAAAACTGAAAAATGGAGAAAGAAAGATAATCGCAGGCGCTCTAAATTTATCTTATTCAAAACCGAGTGATTTAATAAGACACGCGCCGTTATCGTTCCGTGTACCGTTTTAATTTAAGAAATCTTTACGAACACGGAACTACGCGAAAGATTTTTCTCTCATTTCGTTTTTCTGTTTAACCGGATTTATTCCCGCAGGCGAAGTCACCCAAACTTTGCAGAAGCTGATGGTAGTCGTGGGGCCACAAAAGGCAAAGGTTCAGAACACACCGTAACAATTTTACTCTTGTCATGTCACGCATGCTTAGCCCTCATCTATTTTCTTTGCTCCTTGCTTTTCGTTTTATCTAATTGGAATATTTGCTAGGATTCTCTCATCTTTCAAGATCGCTCTCGATTCATGCATGCCTCTAATGTTATCATGATTTCTCTTCGCTCTATTATGCATTTATACATTTTATCGCACTAATTTCATCCATTTATTAACCGTTTCCTGTTGTATTGTATATATAATAATATTGTATTTATATAATAATATTTTATTTATATAATTATGTAAGCCTTCAAGAATAATAATTAAATTTTTACCTAACGCCAGTTCACCCCGCTTATCATTTTTTCAGTTTGGAACAGCGAACAACTTTTTTAATGCGCATCGCGACGTTACATTCAAATTTGCTCCATAGTCACAATCTTCTAAAAATTTTGATACGTTTCTCTCGAATTTAGAAATTTAATCTCATCTTATTGGTCGTGAGTAATTAATTGCTTTCGCCTAAGTTGACCAGGACATCGTTGAGATTTGATTTCGCACATCACACACCGGCACTACAGACACACTGACACACTCAAAACGCACCAGATCGAATATCCTTCAAAGAGAAGGATATAACTAATAACTCAGACATCAGCAACTAACAGTCGCGATTGATCGCGCTGCCGGTTTACCTTGATCTTTTGCTAAAACCGCACTTTTGCATCTAACGAGCTTGGGGTCACCGTGGCCACCGCATTTGTAACACCTCCCTCGCTCTTGTTGCAGTAAGCACGACAAGGTTTTTGCAGAAGATAATGCTGGTGGTCGGCAAAGCGAAACCCGCTCAGGTGTAAACAGTCAAGACGAATCGGATCGAGATCGAAACGACGAAGGCGAGACTTTTCTGGACCCGGAAATCACGGAGGATTTTCGTCGATCTTTGAGTTGGCGATGACCGTCTCTTCCTCCTATGGAAAAAAAACCCACGATTGGGAGCGAGATCGGTTGGCAGATAGACTCTTCTAGATTGAAAAGCGTCCTGAAACAAGAGGCAGCCATATCGTATCGGGACGCCGAAGGGAAAGAAATTAGGGCGAAATGGCTCGTCTTCCTGATTCGGATCTCGTCCTTGGCGAACTCCTATTGAGATCTGCCCGCCCAGTTAGGAGATTTCGAAGCAAGGCTGTTGTCTCTCGTTCGATTTCACGACGAAGGGATATGCGCGAAGACACGTCTGCACGCTTCTGAATTAATTTTACTCGACAGTAAGCATCGAATAAAATTAATCAAGTTTTTTTGCTTTCGCAAAGATAAGTTAAATATAATCGATATAATTATTTTATATTAGTGCTGTCAGTATGCAATGCCACTATTTCTTTTTATATAACAGACAACATCCGAGTAATAAATCTTCAATAATTTGCTCGAGCACAGAATAGAATAATAATTACAGAAAAATTTGCAAAATAAATTGAATATTGAGTATTTCTAGATTATCTGGTTAAAATAATTGATTACTTGGATATCTCGGGGACACGATTAATCCACCGCGAATACTGATAGCGCTATTATTATGCGGTGTGTCATAAGGAACTTTTTTTAAATATCAATTACACCATTGTAAATCCGGCATATTCGGATTATCATTTATCGCCGTCGTGACATGATTTCCGTCACGATTAAATTTGATCAATCTCCTACGGAGATTGGGAATAATAATGCGCAGCGCATTATGAAAATTATGCGAAACTTTAATTCTAAAAGTTTTAATTCTAATTAATTTGAGAAACTAGTTTTTAATTGATCTTAAACGAGGAACGCACGTGTGCGAATTATATTGATGACGCAAGCCTTCTTCCTCGAATTAGATTAATTACTATGTCCATAAGCAAGCAGAGGAGAGCTCGATAAATTATTAAACGCGATTCTAATGTATACTATGAATCAAAATCGCGTCTAAGATATGTGTATACTTCTAAATAGCCTACAAGCAATACACGTATCGTATTCGGGACGGGAGAAAGAAACGATCGCGTGAGGGGTTTCATCGCGATTATATCTTTCTCCGTGCGGTGATCTGTGCTAAAAACCAACGGAGGAGTTGAATTAAAAAAATCCGACGTGCCAGAAAGGTTGAGATAACGATCCAAGTGTCACTGTAGTTAATTAAGCACTGTTTAAGCTATTAGTCTTACCATTAGTCGTAGCGCGTTCGATAGACGTTGTTTGCTGTATGTATATCTCTCGTGATCCTCGTTGCCTGTTCTTCGTTGTCTCAACGCCGTTGTGAGTTTTGGCACTCGGACGCGTTTGTAATTTGACTCGAGCCGAGAATCGTCCGTATACACGCTGGCGAACATTCCATACATTTACGGTGCCGCTTCCTTTCGTTTCACACGCATCCGCGAACCGTTTCGTTTTAGATTAAAACTAGGGATGCAAATATCCGGAAACGATATCATTCCTGTACATTCATGTTCGATGATGCCTCAATATCCGTGGAAAATACTCTTCCACGGTTTCTTTTTGCAGAGGCAGCATAACGCGATAACGTTTTCAATTATACTGAATAGTCAAAGCGTGGCGCAAATTCGCTTTAAGAGAAAAGAGACTTTAGGAAATTACTGAAGAAGGAAGAACGAAAAAACTGTGATTAAATGTAGACGCTAACTTGTATATTTTTATCTCTCGCATATTTTTATGGTTTTGCCGAAAACATTACAACGAGAATACTCGCAGAACGCGACTGTAGAGATTTTGTAGTGCTATTTTATGAGAATTTTATGAAAAAGCCGATTGAGAGCCTTACGAAAAGGTGTTATATTTTACGGAAGAGATTCTCCAAGCAACATTCGTTGCAAAATTATCTCCGCGTCTTAAGATATAGAATATTTTGATATATCGTTAATATATCTTGCATCCCTAATAGAGATCTATACGCACGTGTGTGCGGAGATTTAACCCCTCGTTCCAACGCATTTTTAACCTACCATCTTTCATCTTTATCGTTAAGTTAAACCGTTAATTCCTAATCTCGATTGTAAGTTAAATAATTCGTTGCGTTTAAAACGAGGAAACGGGGGGTTAAAAAGTGCATTTGTTACGCGCTGGCACTCAACTGTCAACGTCGCATAATACTTTTATATTTTACTGCCACTGGTGATAAAATACGTGCGTATGCATGTGTGTGCATGTTTGTGCGATTCTGACAAAACGAGAGCAGTGAAGAAAACGGCTCTTTAGGAATCGTTTCATTTGCGTTTAATGCGTGCTGAAGAGAAATAGTGATGTTTGCAGGCGATTTAGAGGATGGCATGATAAGCTTCGCAACTGAAAAAAAAAAAGATAATTTTAGAGGAGTTTGTAAGTTCATGCGCACTTTCGAGAAAAACTGATAATAAAATATTATCAATATATAGGGTACATAAATACATAAACACAAGGTAAATATCAAGTGCAGTTATATATGAATATCGCTATTTTCTCTTTCTCCTAGCAAACTTTTTTATTTCATCGATGTTGAAAATCGCATGAACTTATAGACGTATAATTATGATAAATATAAAAGAAAGAGAGGTTTCGCTCGATGCGTTTCTCTTGGCAGGATTAAACGGTGTGCACGTTGTTCGATCTTTGGGCGCGCCTGTTCCTCTTCAAGATATGATACATATTTAAGTCTCGATTTTTTTCGTATAAGAATAACAATAGAATGAAATTTCGATTTTAATTTTACTCTAAGACTCGCTTTTCCCTTTGCTCTTAATTATCCCGGCGAAAAGTCTTTTTTTATTCGAATGTAACAGCGATATTTTTATTGTGTATCTTGCATCTTTAAAACTTCGTTTTTTAAGAGCGGAAGGTAGTCCTCGGTCCACCGTTGCACATATCCGTAGCAGAGTTGTTCTAGGACCAAAAAAACAGTGTGTTTTTTACCGAATATTCATAAAACGAGATCTCGCCTAATTGAAGGGTCATCCTAATTTCCTATAGTTTTAGTTACCGCAGTATCGTATTTAAGAGGCAGCTCGGCGATTCGTCCGTCCCACTTCTAAAAATTAGATAACTTAAATTAGGAAGTATAGTTGTGACATTTTTTATTACAATAGCTTTTAGCGGCGTAGCGTAAAACAGAGCTCATCGTCGCGATCTTACTTGACAAGACAATAACTTTCTTTCGCGAAACTTGACCACGTGTTTTTACAATCGAAAGGCGAATTGTCGACGCTGCTCTCTCGCCGCAAGTGATAATTTTATAGCTCTTCGTCATTTTAGCTATATTTTTATGAGACACGTTTCGAGAATCATAAATCATCAACGCTCCTCAGGATGCCTGCAGGCGCGCGGAATTACGTAAAGTAAAATACTGAACCGGTTTCTATATAATTACATTATTAAAACGCGTCTTAAATAAACATCCTTTATTATGCCATATATTTAAAACTCCGTGCCATTTTTAGTCGTTATTAAATGTCACACGATATTATAATATTTGATAAATCTTTAAGTTAACCTTTACGAATATCATTATTATTCAAAATAAAAATAATATTTCGCAAAAGTAAAGAACGCTTTTAATGAAATTTTAATAATCATTGTAGATTGACGATATACAGACTTTGATAGAAGATATTTTTACAATAAACAGTTTGCCAGCAGGCATTCTGACTCGTGACAATAAGGCATCATTGAATTGGTCGATAGTAAAATTAAGTGAGAAAGAGAGCGAAAGACAGAAAACAATGACAAGAATATTATCAATACGCATCTTTTATATTAATTCTTGTGTTTGAAGCCTGTAATGAGTGCGTTCGGATCGATTTTGGGAGATTGACCTATCGATTAACGACGAAATGTAAAGCGTTATTTTCTCGCGTTACAGATTAACAATCATGCGAATTAAGAACTGTAGCTTAGGATCTGAGCACGTAAAAAAAAGTGGGAAAGAAAAAAAATATATATATGTATAAAGAGCGAAATGTGACAATATATTATATTGTGTAAATATCTGTGTATTGATTATGCAATCTCCTCACTCGTGAATAAAATCGGTCTCGTTGACGTCGCGGGAATTCAGCTGCGACTTTTTTGCGAATCATCCTTCAACTGCGAAAGGAAAGTAGATAACGGTGAGACATTGACGAGATTACGAGTCGAGTCTGATTATATAGGTGTCTATATTTGCATGTGTATAAACATATAAGTTATAAATACAGTAGATATTCGCGTATTTATAACTTACACACGATAATATATATGTATATATATATATATTTATATGTATAGTATTTATAGCTTTTTTTCTCCACAGCAATCGTATCGAAACACAACGTATCGAAATTGTAAAAAGAGAAAGAAGACAAGAATATTCATTTTTGGCTTTCCCTGGAACAGAATGCTATTTTTACATCTTCCTGTTTCGGGGCTTCTTCTCCGAGGATTGTCGACTTGCGAAACGAATCGAGGTATCGTCGGCCTACTTAAAACTTAGTGAAGACGTTTAAAAGAAGCGTTTCGAAGGCATTCAATTGTTTGCAGAAGCGCGCACAGTTGCTAAAGTCGCATAGTAAAAAACGTCGGAATCTATCGCGAGGATTCCACAGGTATAAGTATTAAAAAAACGAATTGATACAAACGTGTCGAATTGCCAGTCAATCATTGCCTGACGATCGTTCGCCCGGCGATTGTTTTCCGATACCCTTTTCCTTCCCTCGAACGATCAAATCGGAAAAGTGCAAGCGTACAAATAATCACGCATGGTCGCTGATTAATCAACTTAATTAAGCGTTTTAAATTGATCATTCAAGGCGCTTAATTGGATTCTCGTTTGCTGCGGGCTTGTCCTTCCGTCGACAGCGTAAATTAAACGTCTGTAAATGCGTCTTACGCGCGGAAGTTTATTGAAACTCGCCTGCCTAAAATATCGCACTAATCTACAGGACGACGTCACGATAATTACATACTAACTCTGCGGCGAGCTGATTTGCAGCAGCCTCCTGTTGCGACGACACGACAGCTTGACAAAGGCCTGGGCGCTTCGGGTACACGACGTTACGTCGATGCGGAAACAACTGTAAAATTAATTAAAATTGTGCGAAAGATGAGGATAAATCTAATATTTTCCAATGAATTTGTAAAAGTCATTTCTTGATAATGTTGTAGCAATTAAAGAAATCGTCGTCTTTCAATGATTTTGTAATTGCTCCATTACCTTCGTCGCTGAAAAATCATCATGGTGTCACAATTATTACAACGGTCTTTGAACCGTTTATATATACACTATTGCTATTGCTATTACGCGTTAAGACCACCGCGATAAGTCAATTAATTATTTCCATTATCTTGGCACACGGCAAATACGACATCACAAACGGAAGCGTCGAGGCGTTTATTACAAGTGTTGGCGGAAACGGACGTTGAAGATGAGAGAGGAAAAGATGAACGGGGAGACGAGATATAGATACGTACAGCAATAATGTTATGTCCTGACAGCGCTCAGTTTCGCGATTTCTTCTTTCACCGTCAACCGTAAAAATGATACGTAAAATAACACGAGCAACAAGTGTAAAGCCTTGTAATAGAAATGCATTTTCATCGTGAAAATTTTACGCTTGTTGAAATTTTGTGTTTTCACAGTAAACAATACACACATCTACGTCCGTGCTTGATTAGTCTCTATCAATATTAATATTATCACTGATGTCTTTACACAAGACAGTCAACCTCCTCGTGTAATGTTACTCGTACACTGTTAAATTTCTAGTGCCAAATTATATTCAATTTGAGTTATTTTTAACCATTCCTAGGTCGTCACTGCTCCTACTCAGTAAGTCGTTAATTTAACTAAACCAATGAAGTTAAAATAATAATATTGTTTTGTGTTAAAATAATAAATTTCGATATACATGGTAGTTAAAAATAACAAAATGTTATTTCACTCAAGGTTCTACCGCTTTAAATTGGTTTAAATTGTAATGTCAAATTATATTCAATTTGAGTTATTTTTAACCATTCCTATAGGCCATTGGTCCTACCCATTTATTATTTTTAACTAAACCAATAAAAATAATAAATTTCGGCACACGTGGTAGTTAAAAATAACAAAATGTAATTTAACTCAAGGTATATTGGTTTAAATTTCATCCTTTAATATTTAACAGTGTATAGTGACACAAGCGGGTAGTCAATGTGATAAACGAATCGTCGTACTCGAAGTAACCGTTCACGTAATCAGTATACGGAAGAGTGTCGCGTGCGACATCAATTCGAAACCTCGCGAACTTATCATCTTTACGCTAATGACGGTTCTCGATTTTCTTTTTTACTCAACGGGTCGTATGTAAACGGTGCGCAAGATTGCGGGGGATAGACGTCGTGCGGAAAGAAAAATACCCGAGTGTGACATATATAAAATATAATATATAAAACAATAATAAACTGGTACATTCTTTTTTTGTCTACCTATGTCGATCAGTCCTAAATTACTGGCACATTTCGAGACCGCGCGGTACTCGGAATTGTCACACGCCGCCGAAATAACACATATGCGCGGTCAAACGACAGAATTTAGCTCGCTCGCAACCCGCGAGATCAGCAACCGCTTCCTGCACGTGTCGGTCGTCTCCGATCCGAGTAATGACGGAAGCGTGTGCCCGCAAGTGTTCCTAGCTCGCTTGAAAATTTTCCCCCGCTACACACGCCTGATAGACACGGACAAGCGACATCTTATTCGGATATTTTATCTATCATCTAATTATTCCTCTCGGATACTTCTACCGTCACGTGAGAGTAGAACGAAGACGCGTTAAAGGCGTGGATAGGATGGAATGAGTATCGAACGATGACTGTAGCGCGACACGGCGAATATTAACGCGAGGGACGTACCCATCACCTTAATCGATAATTTAACATTATTCATTACTAGCCATTAATTAATTTATAATCGATGATCACTCGCTTAGATCTGGCCTCGAACTGGGATCGACGAGAGAATTTCACGTCCGCATGATTATGTAATAATCAGGAAACGAGAGTTATTTAATGTGATCCGAAGTGCGATTTCGATGAGATTTTAATCACAGAGAATATTTTACACACACGCGCGCGCGCGCACGCATACACATATATTAAATATCCTCTATGATTTATACAATATTTCTAATGTTGGATCAGATCAAATTTCACACATATTTACCCACTCATTCATCCACACGCACGTACACACACACCCACTCGCGCACATGTATGAATTAGATATATGTATATATAATCGCGTAAATGAAATTCTTACACAGATCCATAATAATTTAAATACGAATTGTACAAGAGAAACGAATACTATTTGCAAAGTGTATTCAGCAGTCTATCGTATATATATACCTACCTATCTACGCTACGTACACAGACAGAAAAATATATGTATATTTCTATTGGGAATAAGAGACTGTTGCGCGCTTATTTGTGCTTAGAAAAATTATTAAATAGTTTGGTATTCTTCTTGCGAATATATATATAGTAGTTGGACATCGTTATCTACAAGTAGATCTCGCGACGGATCTCATTAGAGGGAATATCTCCTTTGCCCGCGTCGTTATATAAATAATGCGAAACGATAGGTATGTAACGTCTTACGATAGGAGAATAATGTAAAACGATGTAATGTAGGAAGTAACGCCTCTTAAAAAAATATTCCTGAAACGTTCGGTATACTAACGAGATTAAACAGGACACTTCGAGAAATCACAGTTAAAAGATTACGATAGATTCTTCACACGGAAGAGTGAACTCGTGCGTTGCCGGCAAAGAGAATAAATAAACTATCAAATCGATAATACATTTTAAAAAATTGTAAATACGTTCCTCTCTAATTTCATCAACAATCTAATATCGTTCGAGTAGTTCTCTCCACGAGGATAAATAAATTGGAACAAATTGGCAGAAATCCATTTTTTCGTAAAATTAAGTAATAATTTACGATTTGCTATGCAGATCGTAAATTATTAATTATTGATCTTCAAGGTTGATTTACAAATTTTTCTTAAACAGAATTAAAAATTTTTCTGTTCGGCGGATATAATACTTTCCGCATTCACGCCGGGAGAATTGCAATTTATAACATAGTGCGGAGGCGTGTGTACACGATTGCAACGAGTTGACGCCGAGAAGAGCTACGTCTAAGAGCGCGACGAGCGAATTAGTAGCGAGGTATATTGATCTAAGCGTTGCCAAATGGAGACACTAGATAAGTCCGATAAAATGACAAATGATAAACTCACGATAAAACCACACGAATAAACCGAGCTAACTAAGAACCAGCGCGGTAAATGATGCGCGAACATTTTATTTATATATTTTTATTTTACATATTTTCAAGTCTGACAAATCTAGTCGGCGCGCATCAGTCAAAGGTTGGAAAAAATGTAAAATAAAAATATATAAATACAATTTTCGCGCATCATTTACCGCGCTGGTTCTTAGTTAGCCCGGTTTATTCGTATAGATTTTCCATTGGAACCTATATTTCGAATTTCACGATAAAAGGTTTACGGACGTTTACGTGACGCTGTCACCATATCGCAACATGTATTATTAATAGCAAAAATAATTTCCATCCCGGGCGTCGTTAACGTGTTGTATAAGTTGAACCGCGAACGCGAGTTGGTGTTACCTCGTTTTAATACTAGGCAAACATCCAGAAAACAAGAAATAAGGAGTAATATATGAGAATTGCATCTGTCGACCGTTTGCAGTTTCGAGAGAACGCTTGACATCCGCATCCTTTATGACAGTGCAGTTTCTTTACGATCGAGCGTTACATCCGCATCCTTCGTGACAGTGTCTTTCAAAACGTTGTAAGTTTTAATGCCAGTTTTGGTGCATCGATTCTATCACGGTATCTTGATACGAGAAATCCATCTCACAGACGGATTAGTCCAGTATTCGAACTGAATGAAGAATAAGATTTGATTTTAATAATAAAATAAAAAGTCTGACAATTTATTAAGAGGTAAGAATCTATATCATTAAAACTTTTCAGATCCACCCTGCCAATCCAAGGATCAGAATTTTCATATTTCACTTGTGTTGTAAGACATTTGGAATCTCAGCAACGTTTTATTCTCTTGATTGTGTATCACGTTAAATCGCCCCCGGCACGTGCGCTTTGGAAAACACTGTTCGCGAAGCGAGCGAAGAAGCACTTGCGAATCGGATTAACGGGCACACTCGGACAGTTCGCGAGCAATTTGGCCGTTCTCCAATTGCGAGTCGTGTGCCAACGATTCGAGTTCCCGTCGAAGACTTCGCTTCTGTTTGGCAGACAGTCGTCACCGTGTTGAAAACGTCGCCTGCCTTCGACACGTCTCGTAATAAATCCGAACGTCGATGCATTCGGAATTCTCAATCTCATCGAGAATCTCTTACGAAACTCGACTCCCGCCGTCTAAAATAATATATCGAAGAATCGACCGATGTCAGACAAAAATAATGAATAAGGAAATTTTATTTTTACTTTAAACTTTGCCTAACGTGATAGCGAATTTCCGTCATTTTATGCATGAGAATGAAATAAGTTTCTCTATAATACTTATGAAATAAGTATTATAATATCTTATATGTTATTTCCAGATAATAAAAAATTTTAATTGGAATCATTGGCTCCATGACAATGCTCCACCGGAGATGCCCGCAGAAACAGAATTGACCATCGAAGAAAGACAATGCATTGATTTGGCGGAAAAATGACTTACATGGAACGAATCTACCGACAATCCTTTTAAACGATCCGATATTGCACAATTTTCTTATTTGCAACAAATATATTTTTTAAATTATCTACGTATTAAACCATCGGAAATTCTGTCAGAAAGAAAAATGTGTCTTACTAGAAACAGTAATGAGAAGAGCAAACATTAGAAGAAACGCTACACTGCTAAACCATAGATATCAGATCCTGGACTATGCGGACGACCTCGACGTAGCAGGGAGAAGCCTAAAAGAAGTCAGGGAGATTTTCGAGGCAATCAAAGAGGAAGCAAGGAAAGTAAGGCTCCAAATTAATGCAGACAAAATTAAATTTATGGTAGTATCCAGATCTCAGGTAGCGAAGAGAAAGTATGGACAAAGATTAATCATAAGGCAATACTCTTTCGAAGTAGTCAGCGAGTTCACTTACTTAGGCTCAGTTATATCAAAAGACAACAATGAAGCAGCAGAAATCAAGAGAAGAATGGTCAAAGCCAACAGAGCATACTTCAGCCTCGCGCCACTACTCAGATCTAAAGAATTATCACGAACAACCAAAATAATAATATATAAAACTCTTATTAGGCCTATTATAACATACGGAGCGGAATGTTGGACGCTGAGGAAGACTGATATGGCAAACCTTGGAGTTTTCGAGAAAAAAATATTTGGAGCAAATAAAATAAGTGAAAACGAGTACAGGAGAAAATCTAACAACGAACTATACCAACTCTTCAAGGATGCAGACGTTGAATCACACATTAGGTTAAGCAGACTGAGATGGCTGGGCCATGTGAATAGAACGGAGGAGCTGAATCTATGTAGGAAGGCGCTGTGTTTGGCAAAATACACAGCGCTAGACCTAAGGGAAGACCAAGAAACCGCTGGTGGTGCTCGGTCCTGAGAGTAAATAACTGGAGACGGAAATCGGGTGACCGCGAGTTGTGGAGGGGAATTCTCCATGAGACCAAGGACCTCTTTAGGCCCGTTATGCTGTAGAAGAAGAAGAATTATTGTCATAAAGCTATCGCATAACAATACAGATATACGAATAAATCTTTTTTGCCAGTCAACGTCGAATATATTATTTTATATTAAATATTATTAAATATTTTATATTTTATATTAAAAATGCCATATGACAAATTTTGGAGTATCAGAAAATTCTTAATAAAAGAGAAAAAAATGCAATAATTATATAATAATAAAATTAATTTTTTAGAATGTTGAGGTTTATGACGACATGTCCAAGACAGAAGACGAGAAAAACGCCAAGCCATTGGTGGATGAAAAAGTAAATAATGACCGTTATTGTTTTATTTCAGGAGAACAAAATTCCAACCGAAGATGAACAAGCATATAACGGGTATAAAAATTATACTGATGAAGATTTTGATAAAGCGATAAAAGACGTTATGAATAATAAATTAAAGGCTCCACAGGCTGCCGAAAAGTACAACAAAGTAAATCTCTGAACACTATACAAACATTTAAAAAAATTACGAATTAATAAGACAGATTAGATATACTTATATACTTACATTTTAAAATGCATTAATTCTATATTTATATTAATTTCCAGATACGGAGTCAGCGAGACTTAATTTCCAGAAGTTATGCATTACGAAATTGAAGCCATAAAAAGAGCGGTGTCTGAAGTCACTGGCGATAAGAATAATATAGAAATTAATTGCTTGGTGGTGCAAAAGAGACACCAAGTGTGTCTCCACTCTGGATCCACCGATATGGGTGACATAAGATATTCTAACACTCCGGGTACAATAGTCGATACAACTATTACAAATCCGGAGTACACTGAGTTTTATCTTCTATCACATGCGAGTACTGATAGCAAGGTAGGTCGATACGATAGATCATAGCCCCTGAGTAGCGTTGCCAAATGGAGACACTAGATAAGTCCGATGAAATGACAAATGATAAACTCACGATAAAACCACACGAATAACCGCTATCTCGCGGTTTATCCGTCGAAAAGTGATCTTCTACACCGTCGCAAAACCTACCCCTTTTACATACTTTATAGCAACTAATTTCGAGCAGTTGCAGATAGAATATTTCTCACATAAATTATGTGCAAGGTACGATACATGTACACACCGATGATTTGAGGCCGCATCGACGTCGAGGAAGTTTAATTACCGGTTAACTTAAATCATCAATCTTCAGTCAATCATCGTTCCGCTAAATACGCATCTTCCTACTTAAATGTCCGATATTGCAAGGATATTAAGAATGAACGTCAAATGTCAGCCAAGTGTCAGAAATGATATTCCGAGTTACAAGGGAAACAGATTTCAAATCTCATGCTCGCGGAAGTATCGCTTATTAAAACTTGAGTTCTCTCTATGTACAGAAACACAAATAAAATAGAATTGTCTTTCTTAATATTTTCTTAAAATGTAATATGTGTGTTTAATATTTTTTTATACATATTAAATACTTGTATTTAATATAAGAAAAAAATTCAATCATATCAAAAAGAAAATATATGAAACACGTTCGGAAATAATAATTTTGCTTGACACTTATTTAAGAGACATTTTGACCCACACTGTTCAACTATTTTCGATCCTCGTAAATTAAGCCTTGATTATTTCAGTAATCATTATAAAAAGTAATTACTTTTACAGAGCTGTGAGACTGACCATTTTGAGATTCGATTATTGAAATGCGCGCCTTTTGGGTTCACAGCTTTGCATTAATTGATAAAACTAAAAATTTAATCTTAGAATAATAAATAAAGAAAACAGACTCGTGTATATATAATAAAGAGACAAGGTTAACGGCCAATAACGAGCATCAATATACCTCGCTACTAATTCGCTCGTCGCGCTCTTAGACGTAGCTCTTCAGATTAGCCATTAGCCGTTTTCTCGCGAGCGCTCGACCGCGCCGACGTAAATATATAAACAAATTCGACAGCAATATTCATTGCCCTGATCGACACTCTCACCGACGATCTCATCGGACGACAAGAGTTAGGCGGTCATATAGTGGAGTGGCACCATCGCGACTCGCAGAGAGTCGCCTGGTATTTTTGGGGACGCATCCTCCACATACCATCGTTACATCCAACCATACACTCCTCTCCATCACTATCATCCATGATCGACATCGATATACGTATCCTCAAAAATTTTAAAAAGATTCATAAGTACGTCGAAGAAGTAATTGCAAATAATTGCACATCCATTGATATACCTAAATGTACTTGTTCGTCTCAACTTAAAATAAGGCCGAAACTTGAGATTGAAGACTTTGTGCGCCATTTCATAGTTAACGAGAAATAAAATGCCATGTTGGCTACACACATTCTGAAAATCGAATTTCCGTTCGCATTCAGAATATTACATGTGCCACATAATCGCGCTGTGAGTGACACAATCGTCTATCTACATATCGCCCTAAATTTTCTCTCGCCCGCGACTCGTGAATCGGGACACATCGAAGCTCGATAAAACACGTCGATACACGTTGATGGACGTGCAAAAGTGCACGTCGAGTGTCCCCTCGTTCGAGCTCGAGGAAAATATATTTGGTAACGAACGTGTCATTCGAATTTGACAGAAACATACGATGCGTCTGGTTTCTGCGTGTCGCGTTTGCTTGCCGCGTATGCGTAGCTGTACGCGCGCGCGTAGAATCGCGCGAACGCACGTTTTATCCTGGAACAGATCTTTGATCTCGCTCCAATAAACCTGAGAGGACGCCTCGGACCCGCAGTTGTTGCGATTTCTTATTATGCAAACCGTACAGGCGCTTTCGGGGACAGTTACCGTGGTTTCGGATGCCACCGAGAGACAGAATGAGATCGGCTTGCTCTTAATGCAGCAGCCGCAACCAGCGGTACTCGGACGCGCGCTGTCAGCAACGTCAGGATGGCGGCTACGTCGAAATGGCGACGACGTCAATCGATTCAGACTGTTATTCTTGTTCACCGTGGATCAGCTGGCTGGCATCTCCGAGCTCTGCGTTTGCGACAGCTCTAGCAAATGGCACTCCGACAGCGGGATCTGCCTCGTGCGATCGCTCTGCTTTCTCTGTAATTGCAATGATAATAATTTCCAACATCTTTCTATAGTAATTTCAAAGTGAATTTAATAGAATATATACGTCGAAGAATATGCCACAAATGTAATTTGTGGACACAAAAAACACCTTGATCTTTTAAGTATCTTTCTTAAGTATCCTTTAAATAGTTTTTAAAGTTCTTCAAAAACCTTTTAAGACATAGATAGACTTTAAAATATCTAAATTGTTTTCTCTCTTGATATCCTTTAGATGTTTTTTAAATGTTCACCGGGCTTCTCTCTTATTCGAAATTAAATTTAATTAATTTTACGAAAATCTCGAAGCTTCATAAAATAATTTACCTTTCTCCGGAAAGGAAAGCAACCTCTGTCATCATTATTGGGCGGTGTATGGTTTATCAATAAGTCTGGGGTGGGCGTGTTATTAGGACCTAATACGTTCAGTTCCTTAAAACACTCAGTCTCTATCATCTGCAAAAAGAAGGAATAAAGGGCGTTAAATTGCGATTTGACAATTTCAATTCCGCGAGGTGCGTATAGTAAGTGATTTAAAATCGGCAGAAGCTAAAGGTGGCTCGTGCGTAATGCGTCTTACGCAGCATCGCGGCTTTAAATAGGTACATCCACCCGAATAACGCCAGTGATAACGAGCCTCTCGCGCTGCTTCTGACGTAGGAAAACACTTTGCGCGAGCTCCATATTTTTTTATCTAAGTGCCGCTCTCCAGATGTTCCGGACGCACGTATAATATTTTCAGAAAGCGAAACAAAGCAAAAACCTCTAAAGTGCAATTAAATAACGAGACTTTATTGTTCCCTTACTTTAAGTCCAATTTAATTTTACTTTTTCAAAATTTTATTTCAAGATTTTAGCAGACATACTTAATTTGGAATCTCACGAGAATGTTACACAAGTGACATTTTCTCATACCTACTAAGTTAACGCTACAAAAAAAATATATTCTAAATATATTCAAAATATATACTCTAGAATTAAGCATTATTAGGAGATTATTTAATGCTTTACTTTTTATTTTAGTGAACTTTTTAGCAAGAATTTACAATTAAAACCGAAGAATAATAATTTCAGTCTCATTTAATCATTCTCTTTCAAAACTTTTTCGAAAAAATCAACTATAAAAACTTTGTCGAAAAACATTGTTAAAATTCAAATTTATTTTAGATCACATTAATTACGTAGATTTCGACCCTACTGAAATACTATTGATATCAATATGAGCGCTTGAGACGCGTGGGCAGTCAAAGAATACGATTTACATTCACGTTATAATGGAGATCTTGTTAAGTGATCGTCTAAGTGCCACGTAGCAACAATATTATTTTTATAGGAAAGGTCAAAGGCCTTCTCTCCGAGGCGCAACGTGTCTCACAATCGGTGATCACGATACGGATGTATGACGTATACGGGTGATCTTACCTCATTTTGCCATGGAATGGACACACTGCCAGTGTTAAACTTGCTGTAGAAGGTGTCGTCCGTGGCGTCCAAATTGACACCTTTCACCGTGGAGAATTGCTCAATGTCCAGAACATCTTTAGCGTAAACCGCGTGAGGCTGTAACAATAAATGTATTAACGTTTAATTTTCTTGCTCTTGGTTCAATGATTTTACATATACATATTAAATCCACGCGAACATAGCGACAGTAATTCATTGTTATATAAACTAACATAAAGAATATAATAAAACAAAAATAATATTATAGCGTTAAAATTTTTAGCCATTTACACTATTTCTTAGAACCATCTCATTGTGTAACACACAAAATATGTGTTAATTAAAAATTCATAACTATTATGGTTTATTTAGTGTATCAAAATTATATTAAATTGTTATTTATCGTACAATTTATATGTGGAGTTAATCTCACATTTACATTTGGAGTGCAAATAGATGAATAAATAGATTACATGTGAAACAAGGCTAAAGCAGAAGGAGATAAATACGAAGTCTCAATATAAGAAGATCGATCATCAAACGACACCTACTTACATCCGGCACAAACGGCGGTTCCCACATACCGGCCTCGAGCCTCTTCCAGTTCAGGCATTGAAAGAAACTATGGAGCTTCACCTCCTTCGCCCCATGCCGCCCGCACTTGCAGCCGAGCCTGTTCTTCGGGCTCTTCTTCAACAGCTGCTGACACAGACTCTTGGCGTCCTCGCTGAACTTGGTCGAGTACCTCTCCTGATCCTCCTTGACGCGTCTGTCGACTTCCTCGCGCTTGACCTTCTCTTTGCGAACACGGAACGGCGCCTGGCCTTCAATCATCTCATATAGCAGACAGCCGAAGCTGAACCAGTCTGGCGAGAAGGTGTACTTCTCGTTGTCGATCACCTCAGGTGCCATATAACCCACCGTGCCGACCCTACCGCGCACCATGTCGCCCTCCGTAATCTCCACCGCGAGACCAAGATCAGATATCCTCACGTGACCGTGATCGTCCAGCAGTATGTTCTCTGGCTTACAGTCCCTGTAGACGATACCCTGAAGATGAAGATGCTCCAGACCGCACACGACCTCGGCCGCGTAGAATCGGGCGCGATTTATGTCGAAGCCCGGCTCACAGCCCATATTGTAAATGTGAAACTTGAGATCGCCGCCGTTCATGATCGTCAGCACGAGACAGAGCGCGTCCTTCGTCTCGTACGCGTACGCGAGCGAGACGACAAATTTGGAATTGATCTTCTGCAGGATGTTCTTCTCGATCAGTACCATCGACTCGCCTTTCCGCTTCTTGATGCGCTTCTTCTCCAGTTTCTTGCACGCGTACATCTTACCGGTTGCGCGGACCTGGCAGGCGCAGACCTCGCCGAAGCCGCCCTTGCCCAGCACCCGGTACATCCGGAAAGTCTTGTACGTCACCGGTTGCGCCTCCAGCCATTTCCATTGGAGATACCTGAAGAATCGATAGAAAAAAACATCGCTTGATTATCTACAATTTTTTCTCGCTAGTATTAAATTCCCATCAAAGAAAGTTTTTTTCCACGAATTTATATTATCTATCTCCGTTACAATTTATTCATTGGCACTTTACCTGTAGAAGTAGAAGCTACTGAGGAAGGATGAGAACGGCTCGCCGGCCAGGAAGTTCTTCACGGTCTGCGCGACCTCGGTGAAGAGCTCCTTGCCGCCGCTGCTGAGTCGCTCCTCACACTGCGAGATCAGGGAATCGTTCAGGATGTCGACCACCTCCGAACCCTCCCGCTTCAGGTACTGCTCGAACAGCTCTTTCGCAAGATCGATGCGGTTCTCGTCCAGCTCAATCTCGTACTTCTCGATCGAGTCCAGGAAGAGGTTGTAGCGGTGGTAGGCCGGCTTCTTGTCCTGACAGAATTGTCGAAAGAGCAGCCGCCCGATCGGCTGCTGGTCCACCACATAGCCATACCTGATGTCTGCCCGACATCGTGAATTATATTGATTATATTCCCGCAGTTTAATCCCGAATAATTTCTCGCGAATTTTCCCGTGATGGATTGCACGTCGCGCGCACGAATATATATTTTCTATATAAATTTAATTTACATCCGTGAAATGTAATATCAATTTTGTCAAAAGTAAGATAATACATAATACTACTATCTTATAATACTACTGCTAGTTTAGAATAACGACATCGCATAACATTTAAAAATAATTTCCTGAATATTTTATACCGGTACTGGCTCATATACGCGAGTGTAAAAGAGACGCGTTTATTCGCAACTTTTGATTACTTCAAATCGGGAAAGAGCGTTAACAGAGCGTTATCAGAGTAGGTTAATGGGACACGCAACAAACATTGTCTCGTTTCTCCGCCCATTCCAGCTTCTTTCAACCGCATAATGCGCACTGCATGTTGCAGACCGAGATTCCATAATCGCACGAAATCTAATTACCGGCTATTTTATATGCGACATCGACATTATTTAAGTAAGATATAGCTTTTTGATTAAGGTCTCTATTTTTCTAGCGCTCTTAAGGCTTTTACGACTTCAGCTATTACTAACTCACCCAGTTTATCTTTTAGGCCAATGCACTGGGAAATGTGTGGGAACTGAAGTATCTTCCGCCATTTCTTACTCTTTCCCTTGTTGCTGTCACTACCACCTGTCCAGAAAAGATAAACATTTTTACAAATACAAAAAGTATACGTAAAAAGAGATAAGAACGACAAGAGAAAAGACACATTGTACCCTAAAAATTTTCAACAGCCCATTTTTATTCCCTATCCATTTTATACTTTATGATTTGTACCGCTGAAATTTTGTAAGTTGTTTGAAATTTTTATTAGAAATTTTATTGCCGCATAAATAAACAGCAGAATTCTTCAATTTTCATCTGTGACGGTGTACGTTAATTAAAAACAAATACGCACATGCATGTGAATTTTCCTGTGATCATTAATTAGAGCTCGAGTGAAATTTGTGCAGTAATCACGAACGTGCGACTGTGCTTGCGTTAAAGGGTAAATTAAAAATGAAACTTATTTTATTCGCTGTTGATGTAATTTTTCTGTCCGATATTAAAGCGACATATTTTAAAGTCGCGCGTTTGGAAAATAAACCGCAAATCTGTATTTCACAGAACGCAACTATTTCGTTAAATATTCTTGTATATTATATGGTGCAGAGCGTAATATCAAAAACATTTGCAAAAATAACTATAATTTTGAAGAATATTAATACTCTGTGAGCACAAATTAATTAATAACTTACACGTACACGCTGAAATAATTTCGAAAAATATAACAAGTCATTTGTGAAAGATTTTATGTAAAAATGTTACGTTTATTGGATTCTGGAGCGGATACATCATGAACGTCTTCGCGAAAAAGCAGATGGACAGAACGGAATACTGGATAGAAAGTACCGGAAGTTACGGAATTCACTCAAACGCGGATAACGGCAGATATTGGATCAGCGTTACGAGATTTATCCCGGCGCTTCGTAGAACTCGAAACGACGTCGAGAAATCCGTCGCGATAGAAGTTAAACGAGAAGAAAGTTATTCCACCCCTTGCCATTCGTAATTCATCGCCGGAAACGTATACAATATTCCTACGATCAATTCTTGCGCTTCCCTTTCCGCCGTTTGGAAAACATCCGCTCGCTTCCTCGCCGCATGAAAATCGCATAAAAACCGCGCAAAATTAATTTCGGTATTTTTGCCATTTTCAAGTCTCAATAATATAATATAATAAATAATGTGAAACCAGCATAGATCTCGAAAATTTTAAGATTGATGAATCGTAAACAGCTAAAATTTAGATTTTATGCACAAAGTGCAATTAGAAAGTACTAAACTGTACTTGTTTAATAAATACAATGTATCAAAATCTTATCAGCGATAACTAATAACAAATAGTAATTTCTACCAATTGTAAAGCTATAACGTAAATATAACGTCAAAAGTATAATTAATATTCATCGAGAACTACGGGCTTCCGCCAAACTAAGCTTTCAGCAAGATTTATCCTCGTTCGATCGCGAAACTTGAAGTCTCATGAATTATTTCATATGCAAGGCGTTGCTCGCGACGGCAAACAAATCCTGACGGAGAAAAGTTATCGTGGACGCCGACAGAAATTTATTAATATCTTCGAAGCGAACGTCATAACATTAGATAACGCGTTGGAAAAACGCGCGTCGCGTTACAATGCGCATTTTACGTGATGACGTGCGCCGATAGGTTGCAGCAATAATGATTTATGGCGTATTAGTCGTTATTACGTGACTTTTTATCAAATAATCCCGCTATTCAATAACGTACAGGCAAGAAAAGAAAACGGCCTGAAGAGTTTATTGCCGATAACTAAATTGCGAGAATAATGATCCGCGTGGCTCGCAACACGTAGAGTATATTCAACCACTTTCTCGCATCTGCGGTTTTTTTTTATCAACGTGGAGTTACTTTATGCTTGATAAAGAAGTATTTAAATATTAACGTAATATTGCCTACTGCATAAATGATGGAAAACCTAGAGAGAACTTTAATCTCATCTCATGAATTAAATTTCCACGGTAAGACTAAAGAACACAAGTTCCTTCGATTCCAAGTACGAATCTTGATTCGCCGGAGATAAATTTAAAGGTTAATTGAAAAAGAATTTAAAATTAAACGACAGATTTCAAACAATTCGCGGATAAAAGGGTTGGATAAAAGCAGGGAGTCTCTCGAGCACTCTGTACATTCACTTGCGTTAAACGAATTCCGGTTATGGCAAAAAGACGCCTTGGCTTTCGTCGGGAAAGATCCCCCGCGACGGCGGTATCGATCGCGCGGAAAAACGCCAAGGGACCGGGAAAAGCGGTGGGAGACGCGCGAGACGCATGGTCCACGGTCCCAGTTTTTTTCGCTTCCGTGAACAAGCTCGTCGTACAGGTCATTCCAAGAAAGCGGAAATGCCCCCGCGTCGCACCGAGAGGGCGAGAGATAATAGATTGTCTGACAGAAAGTCGATTACGAGATAGAGAACCATATATCAAGATAAGAACTTTCTATATTTGTCCGCGCGTTTAAGAGCGTCAGGAATTTTGACGTATACCGAATGGAGATGTCAAGTGGGTCCAGAAAATTCGAACAATGAGAGTTATAGATCGAATAAAGTAAATTCCGTTTGATCCCGCGCGGTTTACTTCCATTGTCCGATGAATGCAAAGTAATCCAGAACAAGTTAGTACTTTTTCTCACTGACGCGCGAACCGAGTTTACATCAATGGAAATTAAATAGATTATTCGATATCGAGGTATAAAAGATATTACTCGAATACTGAAACTTTGATGGGTGAAAAAAATTGGTTAAAATTTAAACAAAATCGAAATTGGATTCGTGAGATATATACAAATAGTTCTCGACGCCGGTTTTACGGTCACTTCGGGACACCCTGTACCTCGTCGACATGTGCACGGGCCCGCTCGTTCGATCCCCAACGAGAGCGGAAGTCGAGGGTCGCGTATAAGCTCCACCTTCTCTTCCACATCGGCGGAGGAAAAAGGAGGAAAACCGGGGGAGGAAGCGAGTGCTTCGATACGTACGAATTGCATCGCGCGGGACGAGGACCTGTCTAGTGCACGCTGTGCATCCTACTTACAGAACAAACCTATCGTGTCTCACGATCAGTCGTTAAAGGTGAAAGGTGCGTATACTTTCGAAAGTACAAAAGTGTATGGTTCATGATCGGACCTTTCGCTTAAAAGAAATTGTTTTCTTTTCGTTTTATATTAATATCAAATTTATATTAATTTATATTAATAATTTATATTAATCAAATTTACATTATATTAATATCAAATCGGTTTAATATTAAATTGCATACCAAAGTGGATCGTCAAATTAATTTTAGATAATTATAGAGACGGAGAGAAAATTTCAAAGGGATAGAAATATAATTTCACTAAATATTTAATTATTAAAAGAAAATAACGGAAGTTGAATACCTTGTCAAGCGATATGAAGGATTAACGCGAGATTCGCATATAAGCCATCCAGATCCCTTCACATATACCTTTCGCGAGCAAATTTCGACTGTTCTGGTTGTAGCGGACTACCCTGTACTCCGTACAGCTATTGCCGCGATTCAATCGGTGTGCAGTCGTGTCGGCAATGCCGCGAAATGAAAAACCGCACTCGGCTCAGTGAATCGTGTGAGGGGAAAAGATAAAACGAGCTATACAACGATCGACCATTCGCGCGCATCTTGTCCAATCCCGGAAAGTGATGGAAAAAAAAGGAAAAAACGGGGGGAAAAAGGAGGTATTCGACGAAAGAGCTATACGAGCGAAAATGGAGAGTAGAAAAATTCAGAATCCGGAACCGAAGGTCGGAATAAAATAATTTCGTAAGTAAAATCGTATTTAAACCAGCTCTCGCGAACAATTGATTTATTCTGAATTTGTTGACTCAAGTCTAAATGGCTTTCATTTTTTACGTTAACTGACGGAAATGTACAGAATGCATTGCGTCATACATTATTTGTACATATTTCGTTTGATAAATGACGTTGCAAAATCCACTCGCTCGCTATTAAATTGTATCAGCTTCCACACGGTATGAACGTATGCAATTTTTATCGTTATGCGTATCATTTAAAGTAATTATTGTTATCCCGAGCGCGGAAATTTATTCGTAACAGTTCGCGTCCCGGCCGCATTCCCGCGGTCGTGGAATTTTCTCACGCCTCATCGTCATCACGTAATTATGTCAGCGTGCGCGACGGGCATAACTCCGTATCTTCGTACACGATAATTGCAACGCGCGAATCCTCATTGCTGTCATTATAATAATTGAAGTTCCTGCTGCACGGCGAAACGTGACTTTCGATTATACGAACACGTCCACGTACGCGTCGATCCCGCAAAATGCATCTTTGGCTCGCGAGGACAGCCGCGTGATACATCATCTCCGACGTCTTATTGCATCGTTATTTCATTTGACGTCATTGCATAAATACATTTTTATGAACTTTATAAACACATCTATCATATCGTAAACCGCAGCTTCACGTAAGTCGGAAGTTTCTCTAAAACGTTTTTCAAAATCGATGTTCGAAAGATTGGTTGAAAACAATGATAACCTTTTTAGAGGTTATCATGAATTTTTAAAAATGCGCGGAGAAATTATAATCACTACTATCACTAGAACTATTGCAAATAAAATTTTAAAACATCTTTCGTTCTTTCCGCAAAATGTTAAAATATTCTTGATTATCAGAAAATCGTAAAAAAAAAAGTATAAGAATTCTCCAAAAGTATAATCTGAACTCGATACTAAATGCTAACACTCCTTTCAAATCTTCCAAGTGCAATTGGATGTTAATCTTTGGAATTTTTCAAAGGCGACCTGGAGCTCTATAATTGATTAACTATCGAGCTCTAATGTTGGGATCCTGATTACACACGCGAAATTAGTCACGTTCAGAACAAATCCAGAGGTATTCCAGGATTAGCGTCAACACCTCTCGCTTCCTTTCGTCCACGCTATATGGCGACAGAAAATAACCGGTCGTGATAAATTGGAATTTCGTAAGTAGGAAAGTTTTTTCGTCGGCGCAACAAATTGATTACAGTCATTTCCCGATCGAGTGGCCGCTAATTACGTCGCCCGCGTTACGGCGAGCAAGGGAGACCGCTAATTAACCCGTTATTTCTGTAACCTGTCGAGAGTGTCCTGTATACTTACGTAATTCGCGGCGGCCGGATCTCCCGCGCGCGCGGCTTTCATTTATAAAGTTTATCAAGGCGATGCGATTGCAAGGCCATTGACGGTGTGGTTCGCTATCACGCGAACCCATTTACCTACTTTCCGACCGTCAACACGCCTGCACTCTTCGACAGGACGTCGTTCGTAATGTACTATAATTGAATGCAGGCCGGTGGTGGGTGATCCTCCCCGTTGGATCGTCTGCTCGCAACCGATCCACAATTTGCGGTGGGGTCGACAAAACTTAGTCTCGAGCTACGGCATGCGGCAACGTAGCCTCGTAATCTCTATGCAAATTTTATTCGACGATTCTCCCGGGGGAAGGGGAGGTTTTAGGCTTTCAATCTCTCGAACTAAATTCCGTTAAGGTTCATTTAGAGGTAAGAAAATATAATGTATCGTTTATTCGTATCCCTGAAAAGATTGAAGACCTTTAAGACCTTTAAGATTTTACGTCTATTAAGCTAGAGAACAGCATTTTATATTTGATCTTGCAAAAGAAAGTTTGATGTTTTCTTTGGTTGAAAAACTGTTCTTAAATTTAAGAATTTTTTAAATTAAATATGTACACACAGAAAAGAATAATCAATCATTCGAGATATTAAGTCGAATCACAATCAAATCTTCGAAATTGTTTTCTTTTCTATTGAGAAAGATTTTCTAATCAAGAACTACATTATTCAAAGTTTTGTTCGTGAAAAGCGACTGTGAATTCCCACGAGTAGAAAAAAGCGTGGAAAATCCTGAAATACCTGCCCCTATGACATATTCCGTGGGGACGCGTTACAAAGCATAACGAGAAGTAAAACGTCACGTTTTCCTGTCAGCGAGGTTCATTGTACCCTGTAACGAGGCTAAAAATAGACGGCAAGCAGGACGGAAAAACAGTATCGAATCAAGCGTTTGTCCCTGCAAAAATCTCACGAGTCCCTACTTTTTGGCGTACGCCTCTGAGACGCGCGGAAGATGTTATTTTCGTCGGCTCGAGTTTCTTACGAAATCGCGAAACGCCGCTAATTGCGAGGAGAAGTGACCGCTCGTATCAGAGAGGTTTACACGTGCTTCATGTAAGGCTGATTACATGCGCTGATTATACAATTAAAATAATGATCGAGTTAAAGTCAGAAAGCTTATACGATCCAATTAGCATTAATTCGACATGCTTTTGGACAGATCTATACTTATTTTTAATTTATTATTACAATTTTTTAATTTTTTTTTTTCGATCGTTCCGTCTACAATAAAGGAGAAAAAGAAATATCAAAAGATCTCGCTATTGCAAGAAGCTTCGAAGCGTTTTCATGCGGCTGGCATATTGCACTATCGATATTTTAATTTCCTCTCTCCCTCTGCTCTTTCTCCAATCCTGTATACCAATTAAGTAACGAATATGCGGCGATGATATCGAGCCTGTGCGCGCTTAATATACACCGTAATTTCGTAGTTTACCAACGTTCGAGCGCGTGTCTGCTCGTGTAGACATGGGCGTCGCGACGCAACGGATGCTCGAGTCTAACAATAAATATGACGACGTGTGTCGCTTTACATCCTACAGAAATCAATTCAATTTGCTATTATAAGTACTTTCTATTCTTCGAGTGCGAAATTTATATTTGCAAGAAAAAAATCACATTAATATAATTTCTTCCATTTCTTTTTATATCTTAATTTTTAATAAATCCTCCGTCATTGTTATCGAGCCCGTCTTTTCATATTTCTCGTGTCTTTGCTTCTACCGATCGAAGAGAGAGGATTCCAATTTGGAATCGCCTATATAGTACTCGCAAAAATAAACTTGAAATGTCCGGCTAATGTAAATCAAAATTCCGAGGATAAGGCGAAAGAACGATTGTTTATTTTATTTCGCGTTTTACCGGCGCCTATGACGATAGGCGTGCTAAAACACCCGTCGGGCCGAGCGAAAAGAAAAAGAGGATCCTCTCGTCGTAAAGATTTTTTGCTTCGATCTATCGCTCGCGTTACGGCGCTTAAACTGTCGGCGCGAGCATCACGATCGTTTTACGCGCGCATTAAAATACGGACACCTACAACAAGCCATCATAAATGCTTTAACGCGTTCACTCCAATAAGTACTCCTCGATCCAACACGTGTCTAGATATATATACATGTATAATGACAGATGCAAATTCGCCGCCATTTTATTAGTTATAAATGTCTCCGACAAATCTCTCTTATCGATAAAAAAGATTTAAATTAAATGTAATGCGTAAAAAAATATTTAACGCCCAAGTTTTTAACGTGTTGCTTTATCGCCTCCCGTGATCTATACAGCGTTTTAAAAATTGACGTAAGTCTCGTGTAACGCGAGAAAAATTCTAAAGAGAGGAGAATTTTTTTTATTCTCCTCAGCCGTAAATGACGACTGAATCCCCTCGAGAACGTAATCACCATTCGTAATCACGGGTTTGCGGAAATATTTATCCCGAATCGCGCGTGTCGCAAAAAAAAGTACGCGCCTAATGGCCTTAATTTTCTCGATGACGGCAATTCGAAACGCATTAAACGCGAAAGTAACGATTGCGACTGCATATTGCGCGTTAAACTCGAACCGTTCAATCTCGCGGCTAAAACTGCGGGGCGACTTTACGCGCGTAATAAATGTCGCCCGGCCGAACTCTCGGTAATGAAAGCTCTGTTATAGGGTTGTTCCGGGAAGGCCATTATACGTAGTAGATACACAATGTCCAGAATTGTACATTCAGCGCGCGCTAATCGACCAAACTCAATAACTGTTCTTGACACGTGTTATAACCGGCGCGCAATTATTACACATCATAAAACAATCCTTGCTATCGCGTGAATTTCCTCAGTTTCCTGTGATCACCTCGCCGCTCTTAAAAGGGATGAAAATAATAAAATTTGAAGTATTAATTAATACGTCATAAAAAATCATTATCGTAAATATATTTCTATAAAAACCGCACGAATGTTTTCATCGCAATCACCTATTCGTTTAATTATTCTGTATGCCGTTCTTAATTATTCAGCGTGCTATGTACAATCGATAATTCTCGCGGATAAATATATAAACGTAAAATCTGAAAGAAAATGGCAACACAAAGCGAGACTCACCTTCTCTCGCTTTCAGGTACACGGTGTTCGCCACGATGTTCTCCAACTCCATCAATTCCAGCTTGATCGGATTTGCGCGACCGAATCGGGTGGGAGAAGAAGAAGAGGCTTCGTGGTCGACGGCGATGTCGGCGGGGGACGCGGCGGCGGTCGTGAAGTCGATCGCGGGGAATACGTTCGATTCTTGTCACACGAGGTTGATGGAACTCCTATCAGACAAACTCCCATCTGCGTTCTCCTGCGGGCACCACCGCGGTCCACGAACGGTCCCCTTTTCCCGAGGATCGACGAGCGCGGATCCGCGTATCTTCTCCGATACGTGTCTCGATACGGAACCACCGCGACCCAGGAAACCTCGATGCTGCGTCAAACGGTTGTCCGTTCGATCGATCGACAGGCTGGACTCATTTGGGATCCGATTCGACTCCCGGGAGAGAAACGCCTCGGAATAGGGATCAGCGCGTTCTTGCGATCGGCGCAGCCTCCTTGCCTCGGTAGTTTTCCTTGAAGGAAAAACAGCGTCTGCTCTTAGATGAATTTGCGCGAAAGCTGGCGAGTAATTTCGAAATCGTTCTCGCTCGCAATTAGACTAATTAGAATAAGTAATCCCGGTGCAAGGCGACGTTGCTGTGCCAAGATTGAGAAAAACTAGATCGCATCGCGTTGAGCGAACGGTGAAAATCGCCGGATTTTATTAGTCGGTGGATAATTTCATCAGTCTAGAACCTCTTCTATCTTAATAGGCAAAATCAACGCCACGAGTAATGTGCGTGCGTTACGGAAGAAGCTTTATCACCATTCGTAGATTGATCTCAGTGGATCTCCACCAAATCTCCGAATTCGACGGAATTAGAGAGCTCGACGCTCAAGCTCGTCCGCGTCGCTCGTCGCATAATCGACACTCTTGTCACCGGCGAATTCTCCGCGATCATTCTCGCTGTCCAAGCCACGATTAACGATCGCGTCGATCCTCCACGAACACTCGTCGGACACTTCCTCAATCGAACCTTCCATCAATCCTTTCCCCGACGAAGACGACGAAGGCGCGTTTCGCGAGAGCATTGACAAGCGTGCTCTTTCATTACGGTCATTCAGACAGAATTTATCGTCTCTATCCACAGCCCAGTCAGAATCGTCCTACGGCGAGTGAGAAAGAACGGTCGATCGAGAGATTACTCGGTCAAAAGTGAGAGTATAGCGACGTGACTTGAACTTACACTTAAATTCGCGTGCGTTAGGGGAGACGTCACGCGACAAGGCTATCCTTTGTGGAATATATATATATATATAAAGTAGCGCACTGTACATCGAGACGTTAATGGACGAAGGAAGACTCCGCGGAGCGCGCGTGCTTCAGCGTGACCTCGCGAAAATAACGCGCGAGACCGCGCGGGATGCGCCTCGAGAGAGGCGCCGCGTGTAGCGAAGTGCTTGCCTTTCACTCTTCTGACGCTGGCAGAACGGACGGGGCGAGGGGTCAGCCGACAAAATGCGCGTTAACGGATGGCCGATCTCCGACGAGAAACCCCGGAGATTCGAGCGACGACGAATTATGGATGTACCGAAATCTCGCGTGCGGGCAAATTCACTCACTTCGCTCGATCTTCTTCCGCGGCGATGCTTCTTCTTCTTCTTCTTCTTCTCTTTTTTTTCTCCTTTTTTTTCTTCTTCTTACGGTGCACACGCAGGGTGAATGACATTCGTCGAGAACGGCGGATTCCTAATGGCTCTCCTCCCCGCGCATTTCATTTCTTCGCGCGTTCACCGGCGCGTTACTCGCGCGCACCGCCTCGCGGACTCGCTCCCGTGCACGCGCATCCTGAAAAAAACAATCGCGAATTTGGCTTGTCTTTATACACTGTGAAAATATCTGGACTTTGGAACCTGACTAATGAAGCCAGGTATGCGAGAAGCCGGATTCAGATTGAGTGGAGAATGCAAACGAACAAGCTACTGAATAACTGAATACGTTCCATTGTCAGTTTTCATTGTCATTAAGGAAAATATTCATGTTCGTTCGTGATCGTGCGTCCTTGTTAGCTTAATCTGGATCCGCCTTAAGAAGGTTTCTCTATTTATTATATGATCACTCATCGACATTCCTTAGCATTCACCAAATTTAAATTCATACAAATTAATGCAGTATTAATTATCCATTATGATTACTGTTATTTTAGAAATAACAAATTCTTCTCATACATGGTTTGCTTCCAAAATATTACTTTACATACGAAAGACATTAAGACAACGACAAAAAGCGACACGTTAGCTGATTTTACATATATATCCCATCACACTGATAGCTCTCTCATTAGCATTTTAAAGCAAACGCACCAACGGGATATGTCATATAACAGCATACGAATCCCCCATATTTTCTTCATAAATATTTTCTCAAAGTCTAAAAATCGGATATCGTGTGAGCTCGTTCGTCGTCGCTGGCACACATGTGCGTATGCATGAATGGCCGATGCATCGGACAGGTGCATCGAAGAGGAGAAGGAGACGAAGGATAAGAGGAATGGAGAGATAAAGATAACGACGTAACACTAACGTGCCGCGTTGACGGCGACAGCCGACGGTAATCTAATAAGAGCCGCGGAATGCGCGTTATTTCCATCCGTATTCATATCCGGTCGAAGCTTTTAATTAATAATGCGACTCGCCTGCGTACAACCGCGGAAATATAAATTCCGAGTAACCGCGGAAACGCGCGGGGGGAAGAGGGATTAGAAAACCGGTGGAATTAGATGGATTCCCTGCCCGCCGCAAATTGAACTCGCGGCGCCCTTTTCCAATTATCCTCTCCCGAGCGCGCGGAGCGGACTCTGGCCGGCGAGACGCTCTTTTCTTTTAATTTTCCCGATATCGCGCCCGTCTCGTCGGAAGCCGACTCGATTAATTCTGCGTAACGGATCGCTCGAAGCTATATAGACGAACGCTGGAGAAACGCGGCGCGTCGAAATTGAAGCTTTTAACGGTAATGACTGACCGTAAAGAGCGATCTTTCAAATTATATTCTCACTTTAACGTAAACCACAAATAATTGCAAATTGTTATTCGCAATATATGATACATCACGTTGAATATGAGCACATTTGCGTGGTATACGTTACTTTAGCTACATTCCTATTTATATAAAATGTATGCTATTATTTACCGTTATTTTTATTATATAAATACGCTATTTTAAATGTTTAATTATTTATATTTGTATTCTTTAAAACATATTTTCACGTATATTATTATAAATCACATCGTTATATCACAGAAATAAACGGCATGCGAGATGCGCTTGTGGCGCGTCGCGCTTTCTCTCGAAAGCACGTCCCGCATAGAATTTTTTCTCGAGGAAATATGGTTGGGGCGAAAAGAGGTGTTTCTGAATGTGGCGAGGAGTGTTAACCATTTGCGATGCACCGTCCCGGCGCGCTCTGGAATGCGACGCGGTTTTCATACCATTGTGCGAGAGATACGCGACTGTAAATTGACGACACGAACGAAGCAACGGCGCGCAACGTGTGTCGAGCGCGTCTGGATTCCCGAGCACGCTAACAGAGTATCCCCGCTATTAATTGCTATCGCATTCCCTCTCGGGGCCGTTCAATTCACAGCGCGTTCAATTTCGTTTAATTGCCTTTTCAAACATTAATTCCATTTCACCGCTAATATTTGCTCCTCCGCCTGAAGAACGCCTAGCGTATTCTATATTTCGCACGACTAATATAATTCCATCTCCTTTTACAAACTCCGTCATCGTTAGCGCGACGTCAAGTGGAGGAGAGAACCAAGTTCGCGATCGCGCGTATGACGGGACAGTTCGGCGCAAAACACGCGTCGAACCGTCTCGTACATCGGCATGAATTAATTTAAATGCCACGATGACCGCGAACGCGATTCAACGTGAGGGGAAAAAAACAGGAAGGTGAAGAGGGTAAAAAAGGGAGAGACGAGTCGCCCGCCTTTGAAATCCTCGAGAGCTGAAACCGAGAACGAGGCGAATCCGCCGCCAAGCTCGCGTGCACGATTCCCCTTCGCCGATCGCCGGCCGCGATATATGCGTTGTACGGTGAAATAGAAATTGCCAATAACGACGCGACGGAACAATACATCGCCGCTGACGTTGATATGCATTAAAGGCGTTCGCATTGTGTCAATCGGTAAATGCAGTTTATACGTGACTGGACGGTATCATAGGCGCGTTGTAACGCGGGCGCGTCCACGCGTATATGGTGTCTCAGATCGATCGTGCTCTCTTTTTTGACGACCGACGGGTTTTTCGGCCGATTTCGAATTGAAATTCCCTTCACGTGGACGTCGAGAAGGAAGCTCAATTTTAAATTACGAACGACTGAGAGCGAAAAGTCTCTTAAAAGCTAAATTGTAGCTTTTCGGACAATTCAAAGTCAAACTCACTTTAACGTTTGATCCTTGAGGTATTGAAAAATTTTAAGAAGCAATAAAACGACGTCTCGTCAAATCTTCAATCAAAAAAGATTCCCTCGAAATTGACCACGTGAAGTCAAAGAAGTAAGTGTATATAGTTGACCCGAGACACCATGTGCACGTATGCTCATCTGTACGTGTGTATGATATCGTGTACGTATACGGATGCACGATGTACGTGTGTATGTGCGCGAGAAAGAGGGAGAGAAAGAGCGAGCCCGAAGGGGATGGAAAAGCCAATTCCGTCGTATCAGCGCAAATGGCTATTGGCCGACAGGAAGGAACGCCGTGCGTTCTCTCCGCAGAAAGACGATAATAATAAACGTTTACGATCGGGCGAGCTCCAAATTGGAGCGCGAGTGCCTTTTTACAATCGGCCCTTAACCCACGCGATATTTCAATATCCGTCCGCCCTTTTATCCACGTCCCGGATTATGGATCACCTTGGCTCACTTTCGTCTCAAACGCGGCCCGGGATAATTTGCAACGCAGCGCGGGAGATGAGTTTTTCCGGAATTTTTAGCGCGGCTTTCAGCAAGATAGATTGTCGGCTCGGGTTCTTGAAAATTTATCCGAGAGAGAGAGAGACTACAGTCGTACACACGTGCGGGAGAGAAAAAGGGAAATTGCCAGCGCTTTAAGCCGCCGTTGCAACATCTCGCATTAATCATATTCATACACGAAAGAGTGGTCAAACTTTCGAGCACAATAAGTGCTCCGGTTTCATTAAAAATAACTTACATTTGTTCAACCTAAACCTGCCCTTATTTCTTCAATTCTTTATACATATCTACGTTAATTTAATAATATAATGTGCATTTAGTTCGCGGTAACTATAATTAAGAAAAAAAAGATGTAAAATCGCGAGATTTTTCAGGTGAAAATGAAACGACGTGAAAGAACATTAGTCGCGTTTTCGCGTGCATTGTTAGAAGAAAGAGTGTCCGAATATAATAATAAAACAGCCTTGGATGCGCCACTATTACGCAGGATGCAGAGCTTGCTTTATTTTCGGCTGACAAATGCTCGACGTATAACGAGCGTTGCGAAATTAGTTTAAGCTAGACGAAAGTTGCACGCTCCGATGCGAGCGACAACGGTCGACCGAGCGCGCAGCGCATTGTGTTTCGATCTCGTTATACGCGAGAGGAGCATAATTAAAATAGCAATCCTTTCGTTTCCCGTGGCACGTCCACGTTCAATTCGCGTGTCCTGAAAATATCGCCAAAAGTGCATTACGCGTCGCGAAATTAATCGGAGCTCGAAAATCAGAATGTAAATGATGAAACTGCTTTATTGTTGTGCCTCGTAATTGTTTTTAATCACGCTAAAAATTTGCGTCGGTGAAAGTTCCGAATCCGTTCGTTTTATTCCACGTGAGTCACGTGGAATGGGGGATAGAGAGTTATAGGGATGCTCCGTCGATATCGAGACACGGTATTTATACGGTAACGGATACCTTTGACATTGATATTCTACCTTTCGATATTAGTTAGTTAGCGATACCTAGAAAGGAGTATCGGATTTCGCACTGCGATATTCCGCGGCTGCGTTCAATTTCGATCGGCCGCGTCATGTCACGCGGAAGTTTCGAATTCCGTGCCTCAATCTCATATTCCAGCCCGTAATTTGCAATCCGCCCGCGCCGTTCGACGCGCGGACCTCATTATGGGGTGACTTCACCGGACGGTATATTACGCGTGTCACGACACTCACGATGGTTTTAGCGGTAGGTAAAGGATACCTACCCGACGGCAATTTGCGACGTACGTGACAAGTCGAAAGAATGTTTCCTCGTCTGTGGTTCGTCTAGGGCGTCCGACGCGATTGCGGTTCAACGGGTTTTGCGGTACGTGCGATACCTTATACATACGTAACATATCCGCGTCGTCACGCAGGCCCCATTGAGCAGAATAACGGTACGGAATCTTTCTCTCATTGAGGAATGAAAGACCGCGTATACGTAAAATCTAGTTATTTTATATTTAATGAGCGTTAATTAACAAGGCAAAAACTCTGTTACGAGAAGCAATCAGGCGTATAAAATACATGACATAATTAAAGTCGCAAATAATGCAAATTATAGTTATTAAACGGCTTTACCGGTGGCCTGTCCGGCATTTTTTCCGTTTGCGGAGGAAAGTCAAACGGTTGCGCAGGTCTAATCTCGATTCGGCAAATAAATTTCTCTCCTACCTCGCGCGTTGCACAAGGAGAGCCGGTAGTTACGTCGACGAGGAGTTACACGCCGTGTCTGAAGTGGGCTCGAGAGGCAGGATTTACTTCATATTTATTCATCGCGTTCCGACGACGTGTTAACGTTTGCAGTGGAGAGTAAGCACTTCGACCCCCGACAACCACCCCGGCCGGCCCCCAGGCACGTGCGCGCGGAAGGACGTAGTACGCTTTTCCGTACTACGGAGTACGGACTCGCGGCAGCGGCGACGACGGGCAGACTTTGGGATGTAAATGAATATTGCAAGTCTCACTGTGTGCTACCGGCATGTCATGCGCTGGTCGCGTCAACGAGGCACATATAGCGCATACAAGTATATACCTTCGTCGCCCGGGAAGCTTCGTTCGACGACCCTGACGCTCGCTTTCTCTTTCTCTCTCTCTCTCTCTCTCTCTCTCTCTGTTTGCCGTTCCCTCTCGCCGGACAAAAGCCGAATTTTCGCGCTAATTTATTGCCAAGTCTTCCCGCCCTCGCCTTGCTCCCGCGCGTTGACAGCGTCACGTTTGTTGCGTGTCGAATTGACGAAGAATGCCATTGCCCGTGGTTATGTTTAACGTTTAGCTATATATGCGGCGAAAGCGAGGAAATCCAAAACGTTTCCCCGGAGAAAACCTTTGGGGTTCCTATTTAAATTGGATGTTCGTCTTCCGCGCGAGATAACAATGCTCTCGGGAACCGAAGAAAGGAAATGCGAAAATTTCCATAGAGATGTTCCCGATTCACGTATCTTTTTCGATACTATATATAAGATTTAGAAGAAAAAAAAATTTACCGATAATTACTTGGTCTTTTACTGCTACTTCAAATATATTTTAATAATTTACATTTTATGTAAATTTATATTGCAAGTCATAGATATGCACTGTTAAGTATTAAAAGATAAAATTTAAACCTGGAGTTAAATAACGTTTTGTCATTTTTAACTAGCATGTGTGTCGAAATTTGTTATTTTAACACAAAACAATATTATTTTAATTCCAATGGCTTAGTTAAATTAACATTGTTTCAGTTAAATTAGTGACATACTGAGTGGGCGCAGTGACCTACAAAAATGGTTAAAATGACTCAAATTGAGTATATTGACGCTGCAAATTCAACAGTGTATCCTACCTTGCGTAAACTCGATAAATATTCGAAAACCCGAGCGCATTGAATATCTAACACGCCTCCGTGTTGACTGTTGCGTCTCAATGCGAATTAATACGCGAATTTGCGCTCGGCGGTAGTGGTCGAACAGATAAACGGTGGACGCGGTGGAGAGACGACGAATTATTAATCGCGTGTCTACCGATAATAAAGCTATCAACCGACGAAATATCCGACTCTCTCGCGCGCGGTCTAAAGGCCCGACCGGATTCTCTCTTTGCGGAGCAAACACTCGGGCAATCGCGTCTAACGACGACAACGATGGTTTAATACCGTCCTCCTATTTGCCCTCGTCGGCGGCAAATAGAAGAAGAAACGCGCGCGAGCACGCACCTTTAAAACCCCTCTGAAACCGAAAAGTTCAAGCCCCAAGCGGGATAAGTGTTTATCGAGCACGTGTTCCTGCCGCCTGAGGTTTCCCCAGCCGATTCACCGGAATCAACGTTTTCCCGGCTACGGTATATCGAGGGATCTGGTAATCAACGATTGAATTAATTAACGATTAGGGGACTTCTAAAGCTCAAGATGAGAAAATAAACAGAAGAAGGGCTTTTCAATTAACTTCAGGCAAACTTAAAATTTAGCTTGTTTACATGTAAGTTAAACAGAGAGTTTGAGAAGAAAAATAATTACTTCCTGCGGTGTCTTCGCCAAGGAAAAGAACGTTAAATTGGTCAAAGAGAAGTCGAAGATTAAAAGAATAACAGCCAAGTGTTCCGGGACACTTTACGCGTAGGATAGGTTCCGCGGAAACGATTATCGAGATAGTAAGTTCAACGAGTGTCTTTCGCGTTTAAGCGTCGAATCGCTACGACAGAAATCATAACAGACAAATTTGCTGCGTGAGCTGTTACCGAGTATCAATGTGGACGTGAACGAGATGTTTTCGCGTATTTGGATAGGGTAAACTCGGGTAAGATGGCCATAGTTTTTTAAAATGCAATAAACATACATTTATTTTTGTTATATTTTAACAGTGTTTGGTATATTCCTTCACTGAAGCTTAAAGTACGTAAAACTATCGAAATTAAGAAGAAAACACTTAATATAAATTTTATATTATCAAAGTATTACAACGTATGCATTGGCCATCTTATCTGACTTTTAAGGAAAAGATGGCCATAGCAGAAAAGATAACCATAGTATTTTTAAATAAATAGTGAAAAATAGAAATACAAATTATAGGTCAAATTACAATTTACATAGCTTAATTATGTGTGTAACGTTGATTACGGCAGCTTAACTATAATTTATTTAATGTTATAGCAGCTTTTAGCGAACACATGAAAAAACTTTGCAGGCAGTCGAAAGTAAAAATATGATATAATATTCACAATATTGTTATTTCGAAGTGTACGCACATAAACTACTGTAAATATTGATTATCTTTGAGAATGACTACAAAAATGCACTGTTTAGCCATTATTGGAGAAATTACAGCCATGGGCCATCTTTTCTGTATGGCCATCATACCCGAGTTTACCCTAATAATACAACGAGCTTACACGCGACTTTGGGAGACAACAATCGGGATGAATGAATGGATACGAGTGCGTGAAGGAAAATTATAAACCAAGTCCATTTCTTGGCGATGTAAAAGCTGAAGTTAATAATACGTATATTATTATAACATTTGGGATAAAAGAGCGAAGCTCGAGCGTTCGCGAAGGATCAAAACACGCGACAAGAAACTCCGCGTTTCTCGCTGCTCCGAGACGGGCATGGCACCTGTCCGCGACAGCCGTGAACTTGGGGGGGTCGTGCCTCCGCGCTCCGGTGCGTGCGTGCGTGAATGCGTGGCGTCGCGGGAAACGCGGGAGCGCGCTCGCCGAGATCGAAACGTCAGGCGCTCGTTCCCTTCTCGTCCGCCCCCGCCCCCTCCCCTCGTGCCTCACCTCTTGCAGACGCCGCCGCCGGCACGGGATCTGTCACGCTGGCTCCCGCGAGGAACGTATACGAACTACCGAAGAGGCACCTGGACTCTCCGCGATTCGGAGTTAAGCAGGGGGAGCAGAGACGCGAGCCGGCGACGAGCCAGAACGGGATCGTGTCATCCGCGCGAGAGAAGAAAGAGGCGAGGATGTCGAAGGAGGAGGAAAGGAGGAGAGAAGGAGGGGAGGGACGTCGTTACCGACAGAGTCTCTCTCGCGTCTCGCTCCGCTCCGCTCCGCGCGAAACGCCGGACGACGCAACGGAGCGGAGCGTGAAAACGAGCCGACTCGACGTTTTCGTCTTTGTCTGCCTCTGACTTACCTCTAGCGCTGGCTGACCGCGGACGAAGGCGCCGATAGACGACGACGATGTGATGCCGATGATAACGATGAGGATGACGATAACGACGACGACTCAGTCGGCGGCGACGTAGCTCCGACAGTGGATAGCCGGCGGCGAGCTGCGGCGCGCGTAACACGTCCCTCTCGCAGGTTCACCCGTTATAAGCCGACACTGGGCACTCCGGGGAGTCAGAGGGTGACAGATAACGCGCGGTCGTATCGGCGACACGACGAGAGAGAGCACAATGGCCGACCGCGCGCCTCCGGTCTCTCGCGGCCACGATCCGCCGCACGGGCCCACGAGGTGCGCTTCTTCCTCCCCCCTCCCCCCGTTCCCGCGGTGAGAAAGAGATGGAGCGAGAAACGCGACTTGTGTCTTCCTTCCTTCCTTCCGAATCGGGAATGCGCGCCCGACACGGGTCGCGGGCGTCGTCGCGGCACGAGATCACCGGACGAATGTACGAACGTTCGCTTGACAAACGGATTTTCGTTTCACTGTGCGTGCCCGATCGCGTAAAAATTGCGTAAAATCTACCGTTCAGTCGCTCCCTCGCGGCGTCAAGTCGCCGCGCACCGCACCGCACGATGGACAAAAACCGACTGACTGGCGTGCCGCTTGCCGCTCCGGCCTCCGGCGGCGAGGCGCGAGGCGCGAGGTACCCGCGACGGATGAGAGGTTAAGTGGTGGGGGGAGCGGGAGCCGGCGCGCTCGCTCTCCTTTGCGTAGCGATGCGGAGAAGGACACGGCGCGTCTGCCTACGCGCGGCGCGCGCGGAGCGCGGACGAGGGAGCGAGACGGCGCGCACTCGGCGCTGGGCGCACTGCGCACACGCGGCGCGGCGCGCAGACGGTTGCGATTGGGCGTGGTAGAGTCCCTAGACTCGTCCTCGTATCGACCGCCGTCGATATGCGGCCGCCATTGCTCGCCGCCGGCCGGCGCGCGGATTTTAAACGCGCGGGGAAAAGATAACACGGAAGAAACACAATGCGGTTTATATAATCCTGCGTGAAGTCTAATTGTTTTCTAATCGAATTTCTCATATAAAATTTAAATAAACTTTTCTATGGAATTTTATATTTATCACCATAATAATCATTGGTTAAATAACGATATTCATGGTAATTTTATTACAGTTTCTTTTGTAGCAATAAGCTTTTCAACGAAATTTTGTACTTATCGTCATATAGTAATAATCGTCGTTAAATAAAGATATTAATGGAAATTTTATTATAGTTTCTTTCGTAACAATAATGCCATTAATGCCGAAAGTGAGTATTGTTAAATAATTATATTATTTTAAGTTAAATAATTGCATTATCTAAAGCTTATTCGTGTGAGATCGTATAATAAACTAATAATAATTTCCGAAATATATCAATTATCGTTATATATGTCGGAAAGATAAAACTGGCAGGCTGTTCTAATAGCAGGCCAGCAGACACGCTCAAGCGATATGCAAGAAATGCGGAACGGGGAATGTGTGCGAGATAAACAGAACGCCTGGAATGTCCGGAAGAAATCAAGATCTTTCTTGGAGTCTCTCGGTGAATTTCAGGGTGGCGATACGAGGGAATTTTTCTGGAGGATATAGCCCGTATATTCCACTATGCAAGCGATTACGGGTGATTCCGGTAGGTATAATAAATATTGCACCAAAGTCTAGACTCGTTTTTCGCACGTAAATGCTCGACAGCAAATAAAAATGATACGTTATAAAAATGATATACTTGCCCCTCGAAAACCCTCGACAGATACTAAACACTGTGTATTACATACATCTACGGTCCGTGTAAACGTAATATAAAGGGAGATTCATGGAACGAAATAAATTACTCCAAAGTTTCGTGCTCAGCCCGGGTGTAACTATTTCAAAATACAATTTCCAAACAACTCTTCAACTGGCGCGTTCAGCTTCAGTTTAAAATTCGCTTTCGCGACGATTTACGTGGATCATTTTCGCAATATAATAACGATTAAACGGTTTAAAATTTCAAGCGGATATCACAAAATTTGAATAAACTTTTTTCTCCCCCGCGTGAGAGCTTCCCTCCTGCATGAATTTCAATGACGGGATAAAAGCTATTTCCATAAATTATGGAAATTTCCATAAATTAAGTTACAGTCGCAGATTTCTCGAATTGCTTTCCAAATCTGTTCCCTTCTTTCTCGATCGGTACGCTGTCTTTGTTAATCCTTAATCTTTCTTAAAGCGGGATACTTTCGTCGATCGTTATAACCGAAAGCGCGATTATTAAATTAAGCGCACTCATCGAGCGGACAAATCGGACGATCGACGAGCCGCTCAACGATGCTGCGTGCTTAATCGGGTGAGACGTGCACTTGCGATCAGACGGCGAACGCCAATCGGTGCATCTGCAGCACCTGCAGCATCCCCGTGCCATTGCACACGATCGTGATTTATGATGTCCCTTGTCGTCGTGGGCGCGACAAAAAAGCGCTCCACTTTCGCTTCTCCATATTCAAGTCTTTGTAACAACCCGTTACTCACGCTCACACACACACACACACACACACACACACACACACACACACACACACGCGCGCGCGAGCACCGTCAACAGCAGTAGCCGAATAGGCCTCGTGCCGGTATCGATTGGACATTAATAATTCAGCCGGGGAGCGCCGATAGTAAACTCTTACTTATTCATCGACGTGACACTTTTTCGACCGTCTTTGATTCGTCGAACGATAAGTCGCAATTAAACTCTAGCGTTTACCAGCAAGGAAGAAGGACGAGAAGATTATACAATAAAGATTGTACGAGAAGATTATGCAGTATTAGTATACTTGAGACACGAACTTCATCAATCAAATATTTGTTTTATACCGTATCGATTTTTACGCGTGCTCTCTCCTCTTTGTTTGATACCATATATTTTACACACGTATATAACTCCGAATATCCTATACACAAAGATAAAAAAACATTCAGTAAAAAAATGAGTGCTGCCAAACAATGTGATTTCGTTATATCACAGTTAAAAATAATTCGTATTTTAGACTCTTTTTTATATCTTATTAATTTTATATTCATGTTATGCGGGTTAAGTGTCGCTCGTTGAAAATCTTGAGTAGAAAATAAAGAAATATATGCGAGCGAACCGTATCCCAGTGACGAAAGCAATCATCTGCGCTGCATGAGAAAGAGAGAGAAATGTCTTTTTTCAGTCGCGTTCACAAGAAATCGTTTACGGGCCAGAAAACACCCTTCGTCCCTTTATCACCCCGACCGACGTTAGAGGCTCCTCATGCGGTCTAAGTATGTCTAGTATGTCAAGAATTTAGCCGTGGGCCGTTTTCGCTAATAGCACACGATAATTGCTTCACCACGCGTTCGTTCACGCGATTACGCCATGGAATGAAGCGTATCAAAAGCGCGGTCCGTTACATGAATTATATGAATTCTTTTTTATAGCGGTATCGCCGAGTCGATGATGAAGTCGCGATCAATCGGAGAACGGAGACGGAGGAAAAATTGACACGTGTTTTCAAGTCGCGCTCAAATTATTGTGTCCGGCACATAGACAATGAAATTTTTTATTTGATATTTTCCACCCGTAAATAATTTAAAATATAACATATGATGAGACGATAACATGATAAAATAAAAGATTAAATAAATAATAATCACATATTAAAATTATCTCTATAGTCAAAACGTGACGCTCTCTTTGTTCTATTTATTCCATATAGAATTATTAACATTATTATATAATACTTAATAAATTAATATAATGTTTAATAAATATTTAATAAAATAGAATTGCTATTAATATTTGTTATAAATTCTGTTATTCAGAATTCATGACAAATTTTGTCAAAAATTATTTACGATACGTTTAATGCTACACAGAGAGAATTTTCTCTTAAAATTTACCCTGAAAATCATGGCAGTTGTGGGATAACATATATTACGAAGAATATTTTATGCGAGCTATTCTAATTAATATCTACCATAATAAAAAATATTAATTACAATAAAATATAAAATATGCTTCAATAATTTTACTGAAATATATATAGTAAAATTTCAATAATTTTTCAAAAATTACCAATCTGTTTGGTAATTTTTATTACGTTGTTTGTATAAAATCTTTTGTATATTTCAAAAATTCTTTGGTTGCCAAGTTGTCCCAAGTTTGTAGTGACTTTAACGGTAAAATATAACGAAAAATTCTCTCCGTGTATATAAAAACGACTTATTGTTCATTACTAATGCAATAGCATACTCTTCGCTTTTTCCCGCCGGCGTTCCACTTGATGTAGTATAAAGCCTGCGATCTCTGATGGTAGTTGCGCAATAATTACGAGTGATACGTATTGAATGACGAGAACCGTGTCTCACGGGAGGCTTTCTAAACTACTTTTTTCAGATCGAGCTATCCACCTTCCACTCTTGACGACGAATGATGACACTCAAATTTGCGTCCAATACGTCAGAGCGGAAGAGAAAACATACGGGTGCACTTATTCATTTTCTCGGCACGTGTATATTATCGGGTCGATCCATTGATAATGAAAAAACACGAGATAGAACGTGACGCATCTGCGTGCGATAAGGATGTTCGAAAGCAGTTTCTGACCAGTAAAATTAGACACACAAATTGGATATGGACAGACCGATACTGAACGAAAAAATCCTTAATAATGAAAATTAAAGAAAATAAATAATATTAACACGTAAATTGAATTCGATAATTAATATAGAAAATAATGGCTTTTGACTGTTGAATTTTGCGATACTTATAACGTATTTATTAGATAACTTCGAAAAAGGTTGAAATTGTCAGATCCACGAGATCAGCTCTGCTATCTTTTAAATTATTGCATCCATCTTATCTTTTTATTTTTATTCTCTGTCTATTAGATTTTAATCCTCTCCAACGTGGGGCGATGATAAATTGCGGTATATGAAATATCCTATCTTGAAAAGCCGTTGCAATATAGACGTACCGCTTTCGAGTACCATAACGAGGTCAAACCTGCTTCAAGATATTTCGCAAAGATTATGGGAGTAAGCGCTCGAGTGGTTAGAGCTTATTATTTTATTTATCCTTTTCTTTATGTCATCAGACTTTCGCATAAAGGTATACTATATTCTCTCCGTGAAGAGAGGAATAAAATCCAAAATTGCTTTCCCAGGTGTCATTAACGTACGTGATTTATTATTGGGGTCGCAATGTGACCTCATTATGATTACCGAATTTATCCGCATGGTTAGAGCTTATTATTTTATTTATATCCTTTTCTTTATGTTATCAGACTTTCGCATATAAAGGTATGATATTCTCTCTGTGAAGAGAGGTAAATAATGAAAGCCAAAATTGCTTTTCCAAGTGCCATTTAACATAATTTGTTATTGGGGTCGCAATGTGACCTTATCACGATTACCCGAATTTAACCGTAGTAATTGAGAGTTAAACTAGTTGATTCTCATCTACGTGCACGACGAAACAATATGCCGCGCGTTTCCGCAACGTTACGAGACCTGAAACGTTATAAACGGCCGATTCGAATCGCGCGCACGCCAGTATTAATCATCCCGGTGAATCGCGTTCATTTGCGAAATTAGGAATTGGTCGATACCAGACCGGCCAATCTGGGCGTGAATTTTTCGGAAGTAGAACGCAGCTTCCGCCCAAAACGCAGAGTGAACTGGCGAATCCTAGAAACAATAATAAGCAACTCTGATCCTTGCCTACTAAAATAAAATTTGACTCATAGTGCAAAGAAAACTAATTCTGCTCTGACGTTTGAGTTTAGATCTCTCCTCCAAGTTTTACTCGAGTTGTTACAATATCTTCAAAGATCTTTTCAGTAATTGTTTAGAACATCGTTCTTTTTATTACATCGCTATTATTATATAATTTCGAATTGCTGTAACTGAAATTATCTTTTTATCGTTCATATAAAAAAGATTTCTCTTTAAAACTGTATTTGACATATTCATTGTTATATCTTATAAAACGACAGAAGAATCGTAAGACGAGAACCGCAAATCAAAAATAGAAACATCTCTCAAAGTCTCCCATCAGGGACTATGATAGTCATAGCTATTCTAAACGCGCCGACAGTTGACTTAAACGGGTCATCGGGGCTACGGCTAACGATTCAGGAAGAGATCGGCGACGCGAGAAAAGAAACGATCCGCCATCTGGACCGATGATCTTATAAGCCGGCGTCACGTTAGAAGCGTGCGTTACGAGACGAAGGAGCGAACGCATTGCGCGTACGTGTTGCGCGTTCAGTAGCCCGCGGAATCGTACGCGAAATGTGCGTGCATGATTTTGGTACAATTATACTCTTTTCCGTATTCTTCCTTAGCGAAAGAATAATCCGTGGAAAGTGTTGAGTCGTGAGTGTTCGTTGAAACTCCTATTGTTTTAAAATTTAAAATATCGCGTGCAGTATCGAACGATGCAACGATACGTCAAATATGCAAATTATGATTAGACTTTAACGATTTATAACGTTGAAGCTTTCAAAACACAAGAAAAATGAGACTACAATTGCAACGTGTGGGAATCGCGTTTAGCTTGATAGTGCTGTTATCCGCGTTTGAATTTTGCACGAGCAACAACGCTACCTGGATCGGCGGCCGCGGCAAGAAGACGCGCGTAGTCAGGAGGCTAAGAAAGGACTTCCGAAAGTTGAAGAAGCAAGAGGGAGCGTTAAAGCTGATAGGAGGCGAAAGCGGCGAACACGAAGGTGCTGGAAGAACTCATTTTACGCGAGATTTAATTCTTAAAATAATTGTCGGCAATCGAGCGAACGACAGTCTCGAAAAACATCGTTGAGAAAGGGATTATCTTAAAATCGCCGGGACACGACTTAACGTGAATAACAAACGATAAATGCGCGACGATAACAGTAATAATAACACGGTACGAACGAGTTCTCTCGTTCGAGTTTTATCTCGTTTTATTCGAGGGGATGATACATCCCGCATATAGAATTACGCGAATCGAGGAAGCGGCACGGAGAGCGCCGTGACGTACGCGGAACAAAGGAACTTTGTCGTTCAGTCGGATCAATTGGTGCACCAATCAATTTATTATTACGGGAGCATCCTCTCGATTTTCTTACTACGACACACCGAGCGCGGCGAGTAGTGTATCGATTGCACATCGAATTGCGCACCGACGAGAGACCGCGTCGTAACGAGGCGCGTAAAATCCGGCCGGGATGAAAGCGCGACGCGCAACTCGTTCGGGGTTGATATTTTCCCCGCGATAAAGCGCGCGGCTGTAATATAAACGGGTTATAAATTTCTTTCTCTCTGTTCCCCTCTTTTCTCGCTCCGTTTCGCGGAGATAAAGAGCGAGGCTCGCGCGCGCGCGTTTTATCACGCGTCCGTTCAAGTCGCTCTCGCGCGATGACGATTAAAAAGAGGTCAACTCGAGGAAGATTTATGCCAACGACCATGTGTCAGAGCGCCATACGTCACGGACGTACGCGCGCAATACCGGGAATCGCCGGATAACGTGGTCACCGTAAAATCAGACCGTAAAATAGGGTCGCGATCCCCGGCCGGCCAGCTTTGCCGGACGCTCCTCGTGTCGTGTATCCTCTTTATTGCGCCAGGTTCTTGCAATAAAAAAAAAAAACACGTAAGCACAAGATTTTATTGCTATATGCACAGGAAACGTGGAAATACTTCACGACGGGAAGTGGGGCAGTATATGCGACGACGAATGGGACGACTTCGAGGCCAATGTGGTTTGCAAGCAATTAGGCTTTAACGGTGCAATTAAAGCAACGACTTATGGCCACTTCGGTCAGGCCAGAAGTGAGAGATATTTATTGTCTTTTCATCTTAAATCGCTGTCTTTCACGGTCGAGTCGCGCGTACATTGCCGAGACAAGCAAGATCGTCCGTAACGAGCCATTCGTTTATTCCAATTTATTGACGGACACGCGTTATATTTTTAGCGCGTCAACTTTTATCTCTGAAAATCCGTAGTAATAACATCATAGATATTATATTTCCAGTTTCATTTTACATTTTATTTTACTTCACTCTGCTGTTTGTTCAAGCATGTGCAATATTATTTTAACGGTTAAATAACGCGATTAATTAAAATATGAAATACAAGCGTGCGACTATTTACATTGAAAAATGCCTCAAAGGAAGATACTGGATGGATAACGTTTATTGCGACGGATCCGAGGTCGAACTCGCGAAATGCCGTTTCGACGGTTGGGGCATCTCCGACTGCGGCAGCAACGAAGCTGCCGGCGTCATTTGCTCGCGCGACAAGGAAACGAGAACATCGTCACCACCAGTCCCGCAAGAGAAGTCACCGAAGGCCAGAATAAAGGACACGTATCTGCAAGGCACGGCTTTACGATTATCCGGAGGACGAGTACATTCCGAGGGCCGAGTGGAAATTAAATTGGGCAATGCAGGTAGCGAAACATTTACCCCGAAATTATAAAAAACTATTAAAAAATTAGACTAATTATATAATTAGTCGATTAATTAATTGTATTTTTAAGCATACATTTTAATTCTATCCAAAGATTCACTAAAAACGTCATAGATATTATCAATTAAGAGGATAATGACAATTAATATATGTAAATACGAATCACAGACATGTTTCCTTTATAAATTACAGCGTTATCGCACTATTAAATCGCCAAAGTAAAAAAAAATAGATTTACAAATCTAAGCTCTTGTTATTTAAATGACTGCAAACATCAGCGAGCTCTGATAGATTTGAACTTGCTATTATACACACGCGAAATTCGCGCGGACACTCGATTTCAGATTGGGGTGTCATTTGCGGCGACAGCTGGTCCATTCTCGAGGCCGCTGTGGTTTGCCGTCAATTGGGCCTCGGTTACGCCTCTGACGCGATACAGACTAATTTCTTCGGAAATGGGGAAACAATCCCGGTATCAATCAGCGGGGTACAATGCAATGGGAACGAGGGGAATCTGGCAGAATGCCTACATGACAAGGTTGCAGATTGCCCAGGTACTTCTGACATCTTCGATAAGATATTTATGAAATGTTAGTAGTAATATCCATGTAAAAAATAAAATAATAAAAAGAAATAAAAAGAACAGTAATTCCAAAACTGATAGAAAAAGTTTTAAGTCCAAATTGTTCCATAAATAATCATCGGTACTAAAGATTAATTAAAGTACTTGGAGAAATATTCCATAAATATGAAAGAAATAAGAAAAGTTCGCGGAAGTTTTCCCTTTTTTGTTATCAGATTTGCATAAGAAATTAATTATGACAGAAGTCAGAGAAAAGAATGTAAATTTATAAACAAGTATATTTTAAACAAAGTTCCTTCGAAAAGATTTAGTTCATTTTCTGACAGTAAATCTGACGGTAAAAAATCTTGTCTCTTAATTTTCATCTCATATAGTATTTGTGAAATATATCAAGTGTATAGAGAATGTTAACATACACACAATATAAAATAAGAAATATCACAAGAAGGCATGTGTTTATCTCAAAAAGCGAGCACGGAACTTCAGTGTATCATGCAAGAGTCAGCGCGAAGTAATCTTACCGTGATTTTAGGGACAGCGGAGAACGTGGCAGGGGTGGTGTGCCATCGGGAGATGGCCGATCTCGTGTTCGATCACATCGAGCTGATGCGCACAGCACATTTGGAGGACCGTCAGCTCTATTGGCTGCAATGCGCGATGGAGGAAAATTGCGTGGCTTCCCAGGCCTACAAGATGCAACGCGAGTCCGAAAATTGGCACTTGGAGACGAGACGATTGTTGCGCTTCACCGCGAGAATCTTGAACGCGGGCACCGCGGATTTCCGTCCGTCTGTGCCTAAACACCTATGGGAATGGCACATGTGTCACATGTAAGTCGAGCAACAGTAATGACGGACGATCGAGCGCGGATAGCGGATCGTTATCCGCTCTCCGCGCTCGATCGTCCGTCGTTTTGATTAATACATCGATGTGCACCGGATATTCTTGCAGGCGCACAAGTATACCTGCCCGTTAATGATTAACAGCCGAATATCTGAAATCGATGGGTTATATATAATGAAGCTTCAAGTCTGTATTACGTTAAATTATTCGAATTATGATGGTCGATTGGTAGCATTAAGAATCTCTAATAAATCTCTAATCTCTAATAAAAAATAAAACAGAACTCTGAAAAATAAGTACAATTCAAATTAAAATTGGTAAAAACTAAATTCATGAAAAATTCTGACAAAAGACTAAAACATTTTGATTTGCCTAAAACGTTAAGCGAGGGATTTTATTTCACGATAAACGACTCCAATTGAAAATTGGAATTTTTGGAAATTATTTTCGCGATGATTAAAATACATTTTGACGCGGGAAGAGGCCGGAAAGGAACATTAATTCCGAGGCAACCATTTTCCGTTCGCAGGCATTATCACTCGATGGAAGTATTCGCCACTTTCGATGTAATCGATTCGAGCGGCAATAAAGTCGCCGAAGGCCACAAAGCGTCCTTCTGCCTCGAGGACAATCAATGTATGCCCGAAGTGCAACCCAGGTAAAAATCCTGATAACACGCGATAACGATCGTATATAGAACCCTCTTTTCGCGGGTGACACGCGACGTGCGTATGTAATTTTACCGTTACTCCTTCTCATTTCCTTCGCGTTTATAATCGCGATTAAATCCGCTTATTAGTCGAAGTTCATAATATGATATGTCGTTACCGTTTTAGATACAAATGCGCCAATTACGGAGACCAAGGTATTTCCGTTAATTGCAGTGACATTTACAAGCACAATATCGATTGCCAGTGGGTGGACATTTCCGAGCTCGAGCCAGGACATTATACGCTCAAGGTACAGTCGTAATAAAGCCATTTTCATAAATATCGAACAAGAGATCTCCCTCGGCGAGTTTGCGAGTATCGCGGTATTCCGCCTGCGGTGGAGAATACCGCGATGAAGGAAGCTCTCTTTTGTTTTCAGGTCGCGGTGAATCCCGAATTCAAAGTTGGAGAGATGTCGTTCGATAACAACGCGGCGATCTGCCGTCTGCTTTATACGGAAACTTTTGCAACTGTCCACAGTTGCATAATGGGACGTCCTTGACACGATGCGCACACGCGATATTGCGGGGATTTTTCTAGCTGGGGACAATCTACGGGGTGAGAGATTTATGTCGGGGCTCGTTGGCGTTGACTGGACATGACGAACAAGAGGCGACACATTGCGACCTTGCGATGTGTATTGTGTATAGAATTCGCGAGTGAATTTCACAGTTCAGAAACAAAGAACTTCAATCGGAACGCAAGATACATCACGAGATTAAAAACTGGCAATCGTTAGAATGAATGGAAAAAAAATCGAGACGTTGTTTTAAAATTGTTACACTAGTTGAGAGATCCATATTTAGATGTGTGTTCAGCGTATTCTTATACGCGTAAATTTATAATCTTATAATTATTTCTAATAGAATTATAAAGAAAAACTGATATAAAAAAAAAACAATTTTGAGATACAAGCTCAACTTTAATTTCCGTTTATTTCTAAACAGCTATCCTATATTTACTTATATCGCAGACTCGAATCTAAAAATGTATTTTATCTTATTAATTTAATTGTATGTTTTATATTACATGACGGATTAAATTATCTTACTCAGACGAAAAGCGCTAGAAAAAATATGAAGAATTATATAGAAGATTTAAGAATAGTTCCAATCTTGGATGTCTCTTACATTTTGAATTTTCCGTTCTATATTTTCATTACACCATATATATATATATATATATATATATGCATATACAATATATTTTCGGATTATTCCCCCTAAACTCACAGACTACAATTACAATGACAGTCTTTTAAAAAAGACATCATTCGTGCTTCTCGAATAACCGGTCTCCGCTCTCGGGTTTCCAAACCCCATCGTCTCCATTCACGCCACTTTTCAGATAATTACAGAGCACTGTGGTGCGACCCTAGCCGGATAATTACTAACGTGGCTTGGCTATATGTTGGTGTCTAGGCTTGTGCGCGCCTAGCGAGAAGCAACCGGCTGTGCAGATCGAAGCTGCCCGACCGGCCAGTCACTTCCTCGGCCAGCATGCTGGCCGTGTACGGAATCACAAGTTTCGGAGTCTAGGATCGAATTTATAGACGTCCCCCGGCCGTGAAACCGCTCTAGATTCGTCCGCGCGGCCGCGCGAATGTCGAAAAATGAAAAAAAGGAAGACTCGCAGAACAATAAGCGAAACGCCTCCGTGCTCGATAAGAATCCGAAGCGGACGTTCGCGTTCTTCCGAGGGTTCCGATGGGGCACCCTCTCGAGAGATTGCCCAATCTCGCGTGCACCGGCAACGTTAATTATGACTCCTGGGAAAATGACTATCGCAGGCGTATCGAGGATACAAGCTCGCTCTAAGCCGGGTCTAGGATAGAGGCGTGCTTCGTCACGCTCGGATACTATGTTGGATATTACCATTGGCTACCTGCTACCTGCTGGCAGGTGTTCCCATACAGATGTATCAGCTAGGACGACTATATATTCTCTCATTCTTATATACAGAGTGTCTCGATATATCATCTCGATATTATTATCATATTGTAAAGCTTCACGAAGATGAACGTTAATTAAAAGACTTGCAAACTATGAGCAGTATCGTATAAAAAAAAATCGTGGTAATTTCTCAGTTCCCACCTGGAGACTCTTTAAATTCCCATGATTAGAAAGTTTCTTCCGCGAATCTGATATTTTCTAGGACGGTCTGAATAAAGTATACACAAAGGTATTATAACAAGATCATTGGAAAGTGAATGTTTTAAAAGAGATATTTCATATTTTATTATGTCAAAATATATCAAGATAAAATTTAAAAGTTTTTACGAAATATCAACTTTTCTCACTTTAATTTAAACTTATATAACTTCGAGAGTCCCCTACGTCGCGTCTGTAAAGCGGCTAACCACTTGAGAAAGGAAAAAAAGAAGAAATATATTTAATATTTCAGAGCTGACAGAAAGAACGAGAAAGATATTTCTGCCTTGAAGATACTTCTACCAATCTCTTTTGGGAGAAAATAAACTGTCACGAGGAATATAAAATAATTATAACAGCCGTCGTAACATTCACCCTGTGTTTTAGGTGAATTAAATCCGCGAAGGCGCGGCGTCATAAAATGAGCGAAATTAAGTTAACTTCGCCCTTACGCCGATTCTCTCGGTCTTCGCAACGAAAAAACAGTCTGATGGCAGGTCAGAGAACAATTAAACCATCGTTTCAACTCCATTAAAATAACGTCAAACGCTATTTTTTTAAATTACTTGCAAAGTTACGTAGAGCGTGACGACATTTTACAGCATCGATCTCGCGTAAATAATAATAACGTCTATAATAATATTAAAAAAACAATAATAGTAATTGTAATTTATAATTTTTGAATACATTTTTAGAGTATAAGGCTAAAGCTTAATGACCAAATTCTATCAAATTTCTCTACTTGGATCTTTTTACGCAACGGTATTAAAAAATAGTCGACTGTCAATTACGCGTCGTGTCCAACAGCAACGTGACCAATCGTATAATTCGTTTAAAAAAAAAACATAGGGATAGTCCGCAGGGATACGGCTTCCGTAGAGAGTGTCGAAGGTTGCGCAGTGTCGCGACGACTTTTACGTCGCACGTCGCGGAAAGAAAAGAGCGCGTAACGATCCTCATGACGATCATCACCCCTTGGGGATCACAATTGTTCGAAGCATTTTTCGAAGCGACTGAACCGTCGAGAATAATTTATCAAACGCGCCGAGGGGACGAGTTACGTTCGAAGTGGCGAAACTTGCCGAGGGGTGGAAACTGGAAACTCCTCAACGACGTCGTCCGAAGGGCAGTCAGTCGCGTGCACCTCGACGGAAGTTATATTCGCAGAGTAGAATTTTTCCAAGCGACAAGATTATCCAAGAGGGAAGATCGATATCGAAGTTAAGGCTTCTGAAGCTTTAGGTCCGTCAGCCGAGCGTAAAATAGGCCCTGACGTCCACCGGCAATCACAAAAATTGGAACACAGCGAAGGTAAAGTGGGGTGCGCGTGTTTCGTACCGATTGTTAAACGACGAAGTGGCGCTTGTCACGCGACTTAATAGATGCCATCGAAATTAATGTTCGAGAGAGCGAACTTTAGTGAAAGATGCTCTTCGTGGTAAACGATTCTTTGCGACCTAAGGTCACCGAAAATCACAATTGTTGAATGCTGATCGTTCCGACTAATTACGTAAATAACAGAAATATATAATTATAGTAATACAAATATGTAAAATAACGCAAAATGAGAGCAAAAAAATCATTAATTTGTTGTATGATTAGCTTTAGCTTTTTCTTCTCATTTTAATATTATTTTATTGTAAAATAAATAATTATAATAAACCAATGCATATATGATATGAATTATAGAAGGTTTACAAATTAATTTAAAGCTATTAATAGATAATCGAAATAGTGAAAGAATATTTGATATATACCTACGTATATTTCATTTGCCAGAGTTCGCATCGCACGCACATAAATTATTTATGTCTTGATGAGAAATTAAACGATGGCGAATGATATGCTCATTAAGGCTTCGATCTTGTTAAGTATCGTTTTGCTAACTTTGAGCACAAACGAGCAAACATGCTCTGAAAACACCACATTATTGGAGACTACGGGTGACGCTATTTTAACCGGTAAGCAATATTCAGCAATATTTCAATCAATTAGAATAATTAAATATAAATCTAGAAATTTTTTGTGTATAATTTATATTTATTGGAGAAATTCATTTTTTTGCACTGCATTGCTAATTTTGGAAAATAAAAAGTAAATACAGTCTTAAATATACATCATCTCTCACAATTACAGTAATTTTGAAAATTGTAAATATTTTTTTTTCTTTTATAAAATTGTAAATTATATTTTAATTATTCCATAAAGTTAAATTGCACATATTTTTACGTATAAATGAAAAAACTGCGTAAATAAAAAAATTCTTCTCTCTCTCTCTCTCTCTCTCTCTCTTTCTCTCTCTCTCTCTCTCAAATACTTTTTTAGTTAAATTAATAAGAAAAATTACGACAAACTTTTGTTTTCTTTTTCTGACTATTGACAATTGGGCAACAATCATCGACATTCAATCAGCCTTCGTGAATGCCAATTACGGACAATATTGCAACGTATCGTCATCCAAGGGTCTCCAACAAATCTCGACGATATTACGCATAGTGCAAACTTTGAACAAATATGACTATATACCAAGTGTGAAATTAGGTAAGTAAAATAAATCACTTTTGTACGTATCTATTAAGTCAATACCGCGCAATAGTAAAAAAAATTAGGAAATAAAATTACTATAAAAGTTTGTGATTAGTCAAATATTGTTGTATTTTTATGAAACAATTCATTAATTTAAAAATTTAAATTTTCCGCAGAAATAAATAAGTTTTTCTTACGCCACATACTTTTGCACCGTTAACCATTATTGCTGAAAATATAACTGATCAGATTAAATGATAAATGATCATCGCAAATAAAGTTATTATTATAGATTTCAAAATATATATGCAAGCAAATATATCAAAATATATGTCAAAATGTTTTTATAATTTCAAGATCTATATGTTATCTATATCTATATGTATCTATATGTTATCTATATCTATATATATGTTATCAAAGTTAGTTGTCAAAGTCAAGATAATCCTTAGGTATATCCGAGGTGTAGATTCTCGTGAATAATTATCATGTATATTCCACAGGGCTAAGAATCTTCGACACGTGTCCTGATAGGATTACGGTGTTTAGACAAGTTTTGCGAGTAGCGATCGAACAAAGTTGCGCGCCGGATTACGAGATGGGTGTGCTGGTGTCGTCCCAGTACGGGCATGTGATGGATTATCTTCGCGATCACGGCGGTCTGCCGATCGGCGTCTACGAGGAACGAGATTTTACGATGCCCTTGATCGATATCTTGGCGCATTATCTGAGCACCAAATACAAGATCGTCGATCTGGTGTACACCAACGCGGATTACGTTCTCGATCGTTTCCTGAAAGTTACCAAGGACGCTGGTGTGTGCGTGAAGCGAAGTGACATCAGGCGCGTCAACGGTGACGGGTACGCGAACGTCACGGAAACAGTTATAGTCGCAATCGGCCAGAGAAATGACGTGCTACGATGGCTGGGAGAGAACGAGGAATCAAGGGATTCCAGCGAAACGTGGCTCCTGCTGCCGCTCGATAATTCGGATATTGACGGCAAGTAATTTTAGGTATCAATAGATGACGGGAGAAATTGCAAGGGGATAATAGTTTCATCTTTGCGCGATGATACATTTTATAAAGCAAAATACTTATTTTCTTTTATTAAAATGTACTTATGTAATGTCATCACAATTTAAAAGTAACTTGTCTGTTATGAACGTGGGAGTATTAATCTAAATTAATGTCACTATTACATTAAATATTGACGTCAAGTTGTTCCTGTAACAGCAGTTACATCATCCAAGTTTAGCCGTGGTATTAGTCGAAAGTTAAGAGACAGTTTCAGCAACGTCGTTTAACTTTAACCTTAGTTCGAGCGGTCTTCTGTTTCTGTCCAGAATTAAAGCCAAAACGAAACAACCGGTGCGGTTAAACTACAATTAAAGTTAACCGATATTGCTGCAGCCATTAAATAAATTAACTCACTGCGCGAATCTAATGCGATGAGAAATTCTCAACAATGTGCAAAATCGAAATAAAAGTCTGTTCATGTTTTATGTAGATAATTCTTTTCTAAAAATTTAATTTCGGTAACTTATTGCACTACCTCGATGATCCTAGATATCCAAGTCGAAATTTGGATGCAAGAGATATCAATCTAAATTTAGCGCTCGCACGGCAACGTCTTCAACTTTCCAGATCTCATACCACCCGGATCGTATGTCATTAAGCCGGAAATTCCTCGTTTCGATCTTGGTGAATTCTCAAGCACGGACGAATTCCCGGAGAACTCCGACAACTCGACGAACAACTCTCCGTATCTCCTCGACATTGGGAAGGCCGTCATCGGGCTGGCGGAAGTCTTCCGGGATCTCCTAGTGAGAAGCTGCCCGATCGACAACAAGGAGTGCAGCATCGTGACGCAATCCCCAGAATCGCAACGGGAAATTCGCGATGTCGATGTCTACGAGATTCTCCACATGCAACCGCGATCGCACTCGGTGAGATACGTGATCGCCACAAAGATGCAACACGATTCACACGAGCTTATCGACGTCGCTTTTTACGAGATCGAAGTGTCCAATTTACGCGTTCTCCCGAAGGCGACGATGCCCGGCAAGCCGGGGCTCTGTTTGGAGCACCTTGCCGAGAATTGCGAGAACTGCATGAATTTTCAAGGGCGCTCTGACGCGCACGACATTACAAAAGGTAAAAAACGGTATGAATGTAATACCACGAGTATAGAAATTGCATGATTCACCGCGCTGAATTGCTATCGAACGATCTCGCAGCGTGTAACTATGAATATTCAAATCTATTTAAACTTTTTCGTCAGTTATTGAGATTTTTAAGATTTTTCCATCCAAGATCTTGCTTCTATAAAACTCTTTCAGAATTATAGCTATCAAAAATGATATATTAAATCACGCATATTTTTTAGAGAAATCAGAATCGTTTGCTTTTAACGTATTAATTAACATTTGACATTTCAGTGGATGTCGTCGGCAAAAGTATCCTGAAGAACAGCATCTACGTTCCTGTTTTCCTGATCGCCATCGTATGCGGCGTTCTTGCGTGCTGCGTCATGGTGATCTTTATCGTCCATCGTTTTGTGACTGGAGAAATACTCGACGGTAATCCAGCCCTCACAATTGTCCTCGTCCTGGCCAACCTGTTTACCCTACTGACAGCGTTGCCCTTCTGCGTAACGGACGATTATTTCGGCGCGGAGAGCCTGAACGCCTGGAAGATCTTTCTCACCACTCTCGCGTTTGGCCTCACGTTCTCGCTCATGCTCTCGAGAGCGTTCTTCCTGGCCTTGTCCGCGGGAGGTGTTTTTATCATTCATATTAACGGATATCTGCAGAGTCTTATGACGCTCTTTATGTACGGCGTGCAAATTACCATATCGGTTATGTTTTACGTTCTGAGCACAATGAACTCAGCTATGGTCGCCAGGAGTCTCATCTTTATTGCGTTATTAGGTACATTAACCGAGTTATTTATTGATTCTACATTGAACTTACGCAAGCGATTGTGATTTAAATAATTATGATATTTTTTCATTAATTTCTGAATGTGTTAAGTAAATTATTTTTTTCTTGGAAATGTTGAATAGTTTAGTTTGTCTTATTCCGATTTCTATCTAACTTAATATTAATATTACGTTATATTAATATTAATATTACACGTCTTTTTATATTTAATGTAAAATTTTATGTTTCGATGGTTTCCTGAAATTATCCAGAGGAAATCGCAATTATAGTATTGCTTTATTAAAATTAAAGTTTAAATATTATTTTCAGGATATGACATATCTTTATTAATTGGATTGTTCGTTGCTTGCTATTACATTATCCGAACACAACGCAATTATTATGAGGGAAGATGCTTCTTCGGCACTGCTGTCGGTCTATTGATAATATGGGCGATATGGCTAATGTCCTTCATGTTGATGCACCCTAAAAATCGCGACGCAATCGTTTCCTTCGGTATAGTTGCCACAGCTTACTTGATTATCTTCAGTATCTTAACACCAAGGATTTATTATATGGTCACGCACATACCCAAGAGAAAAGATCCCGAACAAAGATTCGATCCCGTTAATCGACCGACCAATTCGATTGTTAATACTATCGTCAGGCAGGTCAGGACGCTACATATATTCTCTCTCAATTATTATTATATAATTATTATATAATTAAGTATAATTAGTACCATAAATTGTGTTATCGATTATTATAATTTTAATTATAAGTTTAATTAACTTTCTTAATTAACATTATTGTATTATATTATGTAAAATAATTCAATGAATTTATTGAAAAAAATTTAAGTTTTCTCATTGATAAAAGAACTCGGTTTACAGTCACGTTCCTCCTACGATTACGTTCATCCTGCTGGAGAAAATCAGATTCTACGAGTGCCATCAGCATATCCAAATTACTACGGTAATTCAAGCCCGAATTTGAAATATCTCGAGAGATGTAGAAGTCCAAATCACTATGAAATGCCTGTATATAATAATTACGAATGTCGTGCAGAAATGAAGGAGATCGACGCTACCTATATCACGCCACGAATGTACATCGAGAATACAAGGGTAAATAATATTCATTAAGCCGCGGAAGATTAATCAAATATATATTTTATAAGTAGATAATGCTTAATATACTATATGCGATTGAATTATAAAAAAATCCGTCAAACGTATATATAGCCTCAATGTGGAAAATTCCAACTTTCAGTCTCTAGCAACAAATGACGTCATTTACGCGCAGCCAAGGATCTATAAATCTCAGAGGATAATTCTGGGAGAGAAAAGCAATGCAGAAATTACTTGTAATAGAGATCATTCTTCACCTAGTCCTAGACTACATGTCGAAATGTATCCTATGAGATACACCAGCCCAACGAATATGGAGAGAGAACGAAGAATCTCTGAAGAAGAAGAGGATGAAAAGGACGAAGAAGAAGACGAAGAAAATCAGGAGGACGAATGCGCCAGCAGAGTTACCCGTTTTTGATAAGTTTATTTAATCTAGTATTCAATTTTTAATGTCCTACATTCTTATAAATTTTTTATAAAATGGATTTATAATGAAACATTTTTAAAATAATTAATAGATTTAAATCACGGAAAACTGGAATGACCAAACAAAATTCATAATCCGCAAAATATTTCTTTTTTCCATTGTGTCTCTTATTTTTTGAAAGATCTTTGATTTATCTAATAACTCTAAGGCTTGTATTTATAATCATTGCGTGAATCATGTACCTATTAAAAAGCGTATCAAGTGAGACATTCAAAGTACCATTTTATATTTTGAAATACAAACGGTTCGATATAGTCACATTTTGATTGTGAAAAACGATTATTAGTCCGACGTGATATCTGATGTCATTAAAGTACTGTTCGCAATACTGAGTCTCGCGATATTAAACATCTTTATTGCAGATGATATAAAATCAAATTATTAATAAATAAAAATTAGGATAGGCTATGAAAATCTTATTTGCAATGACAATTCGTGTATACGTTCAATAAACTGACGATTATAACCAATCTTAAGATTAAAGATATCCTAGCCTATCCATATTCCAAGATAATAGATCTCTATGCGACATTATATTCATGTTTTCGCATTCTTGACTTTATATATATACCTATAAATAGATTTATATTGTATTACATATGTCTGATATAATTTTTGCACAGATCTATTATCTTAGTAATATTAAAAGTAATATGTCACTCACCGATATGATGCGCAGTGATGGAGTTGTGACAGAAATTGCGTCGGACTGCAAAATAAAAATACACGAAAATTATAGCAATAATCAGAATAATTTATATCTAGAAATTATCCGCGCATAAAATAATTATTTTTCTGAGTAACAAGGAAAATAAAAGATTTACTCACTCCATGACTGCTCAGCCGTCACCCGATGCCGCGCCCAGGCCTCCTCCTCCTCTCAGATTCCTTCGTTGCTCACTCGGTACGCAACACTCGCGAAAACACGGTTAATTACGACCGCGCGTGTTAATCATTATAATACAATAATCGCTCGCACTTTGCACGGCACTCCCGACGGTAATTACACGTGACGCGCTACCTGCCGACTCCAGTTTCGCCGTGTGAATGACTCTCGGCTTGCGGCGCGGCGGCGGTCTGACGTATCAAAACAAGCACGAAGGCCGTACACACGTTTCGCCGACACATAATATTTATAGCGTATCCTGAAAAATAAAATTGTACTTTAAATATTCTGTTTCTTCCATTTCAAATTTATTATCAATACATGATAACAGGCGATATAAGGCGTTATTAGAATAACTCGATCCGGCGATTCATATATTATTTCGAGCAATCAATCGCAAAACGGTAGGCAAATTCCATTTAAAGTGAAAATTCAAAGGGCAGTACGAAGTTTATTCGTATATATCTGAGCATCGCTGAGTATAATTAATTGCCCATTATCGCGAAACGATAATTTATTATTTCCGTTCTCTGTTCCGTTCCGATTCCTACTTCGAATAAAATAATAAACCGCGCGAAATATCTGCTTCGCGATAAACAGTCGTTCCGCTACTTTTACGAATCCTTAATTACACCGATTAATGATTAATGTGTAATCACAACTTATTCTGATAATCGTAAAATATGACGGCGGCGCTTAGTATTTGCGCTTAGTATATATGTCACGAAGGGTAATAACACGACGATACACGGCTCGTGCAACTCTTACCTGCCGGCTCGAGTTTCACTGTGCGAATGATAACGCGGCGACCTTGCGTAAGCACACAGAGCGCCGTACACCGCGCACCATAATAATAAACACCAAGGTCACGTAGTTATTGTCTCGAAATATTTAACGCTTTATTAAAAGATAAAATAATGACGTTAAATAATTATGTTTCTTGTATTTCGAAATAGGCACGTTTCTTCATTTTATACTTTGTTTTACAAACTAATTAACGCTGTTTAAGATAACGATTAATTCCGTTCGATTAAAACGGCATTTTGAGATAAAAATATCGTTGCTTGAATTCTAACTTACAAAAGAACTAGCTTCAATTTGATTGATATGTATACAAATGTATATTAATAGAAACTTTTAATTGTTATGCATTCAATTTTCTTTTTAAATTACGATTTGATTAATTGCTCTATTTACAAAGATTATTAAACCTATTATTTACAGATTAAAGTTTATCCTCGTGTTGCTCGAATAATAATTTTAATGCGCGCTTTAAAAATCTATTGGACGTCAAACTTTTCGTGCAGACGCTCGTCTCTTCTATTCTCTGTTACAAGATTTAAAAACTATTACATACACATATGTAGGTGTATATAGTTTCTCTCAAGAATCAATTATTGAAATCATGAGGTAAAATTTAGATTGTATTTCAAGACAATCTTTATCCTTATTGAATCACGAATGCAAATACGATATATCAAATATTAAATTGACTCTCAAGATCTATTTATTAAACCATATTAGGTATATCTTGAAATTTCAGCTAAATTCTTTAGTAGATACGCGATTATAAATATGAGCATAAACCTTGAACTAAACATTGAACTTCCTCGTAATTATTGACAAGCTCGTTGACCAATTCGGCGATAGAGGTTTCTCGCTGCATTAAGCGAGGAGGACACGAGCAGAAAGCTGCGCCGTACGCGGCGCAGAATCAATTTGGCATGTACCTCAACGTCGAAATTGCATTATGGCCGATCGTAATTTCGCAAGCAGGGCACAGGTGTGTGCTCCGCAGGAATATCGATGACGAGATAGCGAGGTACCGGGCATACAACAAAGGGACTCGCGAAAATGAAGTTTACGTTCACCGCAGTGCGAGGTATGAGAGGACAATTCGTCATTTGCGCGCGAACGTTTCATTCTTTTTCATTTCTTTTTTTTCCGATGGCGCTAAATGCAAAATACTTTAACTAAAATTCAATAATATATAGAGTCATTTCCATTACTGAAATTTCGAACTTCAGCAACGGATTACTTACAGATTTATAGCTGATTTTTTAAAAAACTTTGTTAAAATATTAATATATTGTTGAAGTTGTAATAAAAATATGAATAAAGCTCCTACAAATAATAATAGCCCTTACAAATTCATATGAATTTTCAGTTTTCAAATTTTATTTTTTGAAATAATAAAATATAATAATAATAATAATAAATAATACGCGGTGTAGTACTTCAACTATATGATTATCTATGTCGTAAAAATTATTTAATTATGATAGTTGCATAACAACTCAAGTTTGATGTAAATAAAATTTCCAAATTGCCAAATTTTTAATCCTAACCGATTGCGTTACGTATAGCGCACGTCTGAAGACAAAAGAGGATACGATGCAACCCTCCGAAAATTCTATTCAACGCGCGCAACCCCTTCGTCGATGTCACCGTTTTCCTACGGTTTACGGCCACCTGCCAAGGTATATTTCCACATCATAAGACCACCATAAAAACCGCGAAAATCAGAACGGCTGGCGACGACCGATAAGTCGCCATAATGGAGATAAATCGAAAAGTGCATCGGCTCGTGAAACGGTGCGCCATCCGGACCAACCTTCGCGTTGCCCCCCATGAAAAAGCTTCTGCGCAAGGACGAGCTTCAGCAGCTATAAAAGCCCGCACGAAACTCGTCCGCTTTCCAGTCACGTTTAGAACGGCCTTTCAAGTGACAAAAAAGAAAAGAAAAATTCGAGGGAAGCTACTTAAATTACTCTCATCAAGCCGACGAAAAAAGAGAGAGAAAGAGAGAGAGACGTGAAATTGTTTAGAATTTGAAAAAGAAATTTATTTCAAGTAAATAGATTGAGAAATATAAACGTCCCAAATAACACTTCTAAATAACGGGAACCTATCTATCTTTACATTTCACTTTTCTTTTCTTTCAGACAGTTTATATTGCAGATTTAATTGATAAACTGTTTAAAAATTTTGTTTTATATTTTGCGTCCATAATTTGTTTTAATAATATTGTTTATCCGAATCGTTACCAATGGAATTATAAGAGAATTAAAAAATTACTATGCACAAACTTTCGTCAAAGATAGATTTCGAATTTCTCTAAATTCTTCGTGAATACAGTGACCCTCAGTGTATTCGATTTTTTTTTCACTCTATATCGAGATCAATGATCAAGGATGAGATTTGACGATCTAATGAATAGTCGCATGATCACCGTCACAGTGGTCTATCTCAGCATCTTCCTGGATAATGTCCTGTTGACGGTAGTCGGTAATTATGGCCAAATCGAAAGAAAAAGGGAGAGGACAAATCACGGGCTAAACAATTTGCTGATACGGAAATGTTTCAGTGCCGATTATCCCCGATTATCTGTGCACGCTCGACGCGAATACGACCGCGAGCGCCGAAGAGGACGAAAACGGTCGAGTGGGATTACTGCTGAGCTCGAAGGCTCTGGTCCAATTAATTTTGAATCCCGCCGTGGGCACCCTCACTGGCACTCTGGGCTACGCTAGACCTCTGTTCCTGGGAAATCTCAGCCTCTTGTTGGCTGCTTTGCGTAAGTTATGGACGATACTTTTACATCCGCGTTTTTCCAATAAACAGAACTCCACGTTCATCCGTAACAATTCGAGTCTCATCTCACGATCTCGCGAAGAGAATTGCTTTACAAATAATAAAATGGAATAAAAACGGATATCGGTTAAATATTGCTAAAAGTTGAATTCAAAGAATCTTTCAATTAGTTTTTGTTTGCGTAAATTTGATTTCGCTTTTATGAAACTGCCGTTTGTTAATTTAACTCTTGACGTTAAAGGCTTCAAGTAAGCGAAGACGCGTATCTGCAAACTCGAGTTTTCATTGTTATCGTAGTGTTCGCCTTCGGACAAACGTACGAGATACTGTTCTTGGCTCGGAGCGTTCAAGGTATAGCATCAGCGTGTATAGCAGTTTCCGGCATGTCGCTAGTCGCCTCTCAATACTCCGAGGAAGACGAAAGATCCAAAATCATGGGTTTCGTTCTCGGCAGTATCGCCCTAGGCGTTCTCCTGGGCTATCCGATCGGTTCCGTGCTTTACGATCTCGAGGGAAAAATGGCGCCATTTCTATTAGTGTCCAGCCTCATCATTATAGTAATTTGTAATTAATCCTTTAAAATTGTAATTGTAGAAAACGTATTTCTTTGCTCTATTTATGAAAATAAAATATTGAAACGCGTTATTTTCGTAGGTCTGCAAATTTTGACATTAGATGTTCAGACAAACGCCGAGGTACGTATATTCACTATTTTAAGACATTAATAAAACATAATTAAGATAATATTGTATTTATAAAGTACAATAGAAATGCGTAGAGTAAAATTTATAACTCGAAATATGTACGATTAAATATATCCGTAGCTCTCAAGGAACTGTCTCTCGAAAAGTAACTTTAGAGTTTACAATTTTGTCATTTTTCAATAAGTTTTAACCGTTAATAATATTGCAATAATTATATTATTCCAAAGACTTAAAATAATATAACCAATTAATTTCTCATACTGTGTAAAAGCATGCGATTTTATATTTATTAAAACCAAATTGTTTAATTAAATTTTACTGTTTCATATATCAGCCAAGCGAGCAGCAAACTACTTGGCTGCATTTATTGTCTAATCCACATATCCTCATTATCTCTGGTGCAATTTGGTGCTCGACGTCACCGATGGCGATATTAGAGCCTTGCCTACCGATTTGGCTTCGAACTCACATAAAACCTAAGGTATGTGACAGAAAATCCTTATTTCAAAGTAGGAAAATATCAACGGCAAGTTTCGTCAACAAGCTTTGATCTATTGTAACTAATGCAATTTCATAAATTTATTATCTGTATTATAACCGTGCATTATCACGATTGACGACAATATGTAGAGAGATCAGAATTCCATTAGATTGTAGTTAACGTTAATCAACGTTGATGAAACTAATAGCGTTTTTCTTTGGCAGAACTGGTGCGCACTCAGTGCACATTAAAGCCGTTGTACACAAATCAACATAATGTGTATGTTTAATATAAACGGGTTAAGTCACGAAAACCTTAATATTCTTTATTGTACTGTTTGGTAAAATATGTATTGGCTATTTTATCAATTAAAATATTTGCATTATACTTTAAATATTAAAGATTAAATCAGTGTACAACGGCTTTAATGTGCACTAAGTGCGCACTAGTTCTGCCAATGAAAAACGCTATAAGCATGAGAAGTTCGAAACCTAATTTATCGGTTTAAATAACGATCGATCCTAATGACGCTGCAAATTCTGCTTCATATTCCGTAAAAAATACGGAAGAGCACTGCTTCTTTTGATTAACATCCCTTGCAGAAATGGCAACTGGGCACGGTATTTATACCGGACAGCGTAGGCTACTTGATCGGGACCAACTTCTTCGGCGTGATAGCGTATCGTTACGGGCGCAGCAAAGTGGCGATCCTGGCTATGCTCGTGGTCGGCGTTAGCGCCATTCTAATCCCGTCGGCGAACACAATGTCGCAGTTGACATTCCCGCATCTGGGAATGGGTCTGGGCATCGGCGTCGCGGATGCAGCCCTGGTGCCGTTACTGGCCAGCTTGGTAGACCGAAATGGCAACTACGGACCCGTTTATTCGATCCAACAAGTGGCTGTCAGTTTAGCTTACTTCTTAGGTAAAATCGACCGAAAAATTAAGAGACCGATTATATAAATAGAATTGAAGGAAATAATTTTAGAAAGTATAGAGGTATATAAAGTAAGAGCCAGGTCCGCCCTTGGCAAACGCTGCTCCCGATTGCGATTGGAATAATTTACAGTTAAAAAAAAAACTGGAATGTTACAGAAGATATATAACGCACAAATCGTTTTTTTTTTTTTTTTTTCAGGGCCTATCACGGGCGGCGAAATGGTAAAAGCCATTGGATTTCCGTGGGTCATGCGAGTCGTGGGTATCGTGAACATGGCGTACTGTCCATTGTTGATATACCTCACGTTGGAACGGAGAAAGTTGTTGACGAAGAAAGAAGAAAAGAAGGACTACGATACGTTTCAAGAATCCATCGCTCCCTACGAAAGATTTCACGATTCCGACGAAGATCTTTGACAGTAAATAAGATTCATTTAGCAATTATCACAAACTGAACATCACCCTAATTAATTAACCCTGGGAAACTTTGTAATTTTCTATTTATGTTAGCACTTTTTTTCTTCCTATTTCGAGAGATACTAATCATCATAATTTTCGCAAGCCATTGTCTCCATTTTAGACAATTGCGCAACGTTAAATATCGTTAAACCCACTTTTGGAGACCTCGAAATAGTGACTAATGACATTGTGTCCTCAATTAAGTGCGCTATGCAGAACCGGATCTTCGTCGTAATTGGTAACCCAAGTGAATTATTGGCCGAACAATTTCCCCCGAGGCTATCATCCGTGGCACGACGACATTTCTCGGATCGAAGAGCAGGAATTCGCTGAATTCGCGAAAGCGGTACCCGAGACAGGACAAGAAACGCGCGCTTCTAATAGCGGAAAATGACGACGATCGGCTAGCCGATGTAGCTCTGAAAGCTTATTAATGCACTCAATCTACAGCGAAATTCGTTTACGTTACATTAATGGTCCCGTCGTCGTGTGCAAGCATTTACTCGTCATTAGCTTACGTAGGTCGCCGTGCCGTACACAATGTATTCGATCAATTCTCACTCGCGTGTGTCTCACGATTAGTTTGCGTGCAAAATCGAATGCTACGAGAGTTTCAAAAACGCGGACAAGAGCTAAAAATAAATAATGATTCCTCGAAATGAATTGAGATACATTTTATTTAAAATGCAAAATTAAATTTTATTTAATTTTGCGAAATTTGTATATATTCTTGTCGCATTTGGATCTTCCGTTTAAGTTATATATAGCACTGTCGTAATATAAATTGAGGAGATTGTCGGCATTTTTTTTTCACGATCCATATATTAACGTATTGATCGTATTATTCCCCGAACAGCCTAATGATTTCGACCTGTCGGATCAAACGACGCAAATATTGATCGTAGGAAAATTCAAGCGCATAGATAAAGCCCGGCTATTTTCCTTCGTGGAAGTCGGAGGCGTAACGTAAACAGGGTGGTGCCGTCGATGTTCGAAGGATTTGTGAACGAGGCGCAGGGCGCGAGAGGAAGCGAAATGGGGCGTGACTTTGCACCCCGGGGTTTATTCGGTGAACAACGCCGATCGTCATTAGCAAGGGTGTTAGACTAATCGCGTTGCCGCCGCCGTCGCGAAAGAAGCCGAGTGCAGTCCAGTGAACGACATGCGTGCATTAGCTTTTTAAAAACGAAGTGTCCCCTCGGGAAAACTATATGTGTATCAATTTAACGGCAATGCTGAATTATTAATAGAGTGCAGAACCAACGTCGTTAATTAATCAAGCGATGTTGAGTTTCCGCTACGGAATTGTGTACCGTTATATCTAGCGTTGCCTTACGAATCTGTATCGTATATACCTGTGTTTTCATGTCACCCTTTATTCTATATTCTGCAAGAGTGTACTAATTTTAGTCGTGAAATCGATAATAAACGCATTTTCTTCCTTCTACTGTAATAAATGACTTTATATACATATGTAAAAATAATAGCATCAAGCAAAAATTGAAAAAATAATTATTTTATTGCATTATAACATTTAATTGTACGTAAATTGTGTATCTTTTATATTCGTTTGTGTATCTTATTTTATTCGTATTTCCACCGAGATCATTCTTTTCACCATTTCGCATAGGCATACGTCTTTAATTAGCCGAAAAGGTCAATCCTGTTCGGTACTCCGTATAGTAAGTCAATAATTAAGGTTGGTTAAATTATATCCTATAAATAGGAAATCGATATGCGTGTGGGGTCCGCGCGACTTTAATTCCGCACGAAATAAAGCGCGCTGTGCAAAGTTCGTCGCATAAAAAACTCTCGACCGCGTCGTTAGCAGTGAGGTAGGTAAAGAGAGTCGTAATAAAACGCAAACGACGACGACGACGGCGGGGAGGAGAAGTCAACGACTGAATGGACGAAAGAACGTCAAGCATATATATTTAATGGAGGAGCGTGATGATGGTCCAGTGATTTTCGACCGCCCCCGCACGGCAAAACGTTGATGGCCTCGTTTGGTGACGCAAAGCCTTGGAGTAACGACAAGATAACGTGATAAGGTAAATACATGGCATATATCGAGCAATAATGATCGCAGCATGCAGACAGGAGATGGAGATGACGAGGAAACGAGATCTCGTTCTATATAAGCTTTTTAATCGTGCGCATATCTCGCCAGACGATTACAAAATAATTTATCCTTTGTGCAAAATTTTCCATTTGCTGTGTGATTACACGTTGTCTTTTTCATAAATACAAAATTCGTGTTTATCCATTTCATGTGATTTATAGAAGTTATATACTGCGTAATATTAAAGATCTCTCTCTCACGAGAGATTTTCGCACGTTTCTCTCGAAATATTCTTCGCACGTGTCGCGCGTTTGACCTTTACAAACGATATCTTTATTATTCTTTTCTTCGGCGAAGAAGCCTTTTCAACTTTAAACATCCGCACTTCTCTCTCGCGCGTTGCTCCAATTCCGGCCGCCGATTTCCATCTTTATATTCCGTGATGCGGCAGAGATTAGTGGCGCGACGTTGCATGAAAGATCGCGAAGTAAAGCCCGGCCGCGATAAAACGTGCCAGCCCTCGTCGTCGACCCTGAGCGGAATTTAATGCCAGTCCGTCTTCCCCCCTCGCCCAATTCCTGACCTCGTCATCGCTAGCGAATCATTCAACACCTCTCAAATCTCGATGACCCACCTCGTAAATTTTTTTTTCTTCCCCCGCTATCGCCTTTCCTCCGGTCTCCCGTCCCGTTATCCCATTTCCAAAACCATAACCCTGGCCGAAATCCAACGGGACAAGACCTCGTCCCCGGCGATATCGGGGTGTCCCTGGCAATCTGTCCACCTACATCGCCTGTGCCGCACATATTTTATCGCGTGCGGCTCCGCAAAGCTCGATTGGCCGATACGCGCGAATCGAAGATCCCGCGGGATCCCAAATCCTCCGAATCCTCCGCCATATTTCAACATTATTGGAAAAGAGATCGAGAAAAGGCTGGAAACATCGTGTGCGCATTATATACCCGTCAAAACAATTGAATCGTATCCACGAAAACGTTATAATAAAACACATTATTTGACAAGAAAATATTAAAAATCCTGTCGCCCACATATCACCCCACACCACCTTCATAAACCTGTCTCTGTGATAAATCCTATATGCGCTCTTTTATGGTTTTATTCACATCTTTCTCAATTTAAAAAGGGTATTTTCACCGCGGTATTAACATCTGAAGCCCGACTTTCATATTACGAAGCATAGTCGCGCAACAAATACAAGTAACATGTTTCGTTTTGGTATTTGCAGTTATGCAAAATAGCTCTATACAACTTTGTAACTAATGATAAGACCTCGTAAGCTCTCATAAAGGAACGCCTTGCTAAACGCGCGACTTATTTCCGTGACGCGGCAGGGAAGACAGCTCAATCCCGCTACATTAATCTCGCACCGGAATTAGAATCGAAGTTAAAACCGAACTGCAGACAAACTGCAGAGCAGATAATGAAAAGAGGAAAAGAAAAACACAAGTAAGGAAACAGAGCCGTGACAGCTTGACTAAATGACCTCGGCGTTTCGTCTATTATTCACGGGGGCACCCCGCTTTAAATCGGGACAGTTAATTGTCGATTGACTGTCCTAAAAAGGATCTCCAAGAAATGGGAATCCAGAAATGCGTAATTTAATTTCTCATCTATATAACAGAAGTATGCAAACACATTGATTTCGGCGGCGAAATTACGTCACAGATAGAAATTCGTAAAATACTAATATAATATCCACGTTCAATCAATCTATTTTCAAAAATAAGCAAGCAAATAATAATTCAGATGAAACGGATACAAATTTTAATTAAGTAGATAATCATATTAGTATAATAATAACAAGAGGATCAGACGTGTATTAGTTCAGCTGCATAATCTTCAAATATTCAAGACAACTTCAAGGAAGAATATATGTTTTCACACTCATGTGTTAACATTGTACAAAGAAGAATCTCAAGAACAAGACACACATCTAAATATACCGAGTATTCGAAAAACGTATGCTTTCTCGTAATTGGCAATTATCTGACGTAGATAAGCACGATCGATAATGCCTTGGCTAAAGTTTGATAGAGACTTAACTGCAGAATTAACTGCATGTAACATTCAAAACGTATTAATATTTGACGTTGAAACTTTAATGATTTTGGCAAATTAAGCGTCTCATTTAGACTCGACTTCGATGGAAAGTTAATTTAAAGTTCGATTATCGAAGTAAAATATCTTGGAAATTAAAATGTGCTAATCTCAATTCAAACTGAAAAGAAAAAGCAACGATTGAAATTTAATGAATCTAGAGGAGAATCTGCGGCACACCGTATATATGGACAAGGACGTAATCCGATTTTCGCGTGATGGACGCACGTCAAAGCTATGTATACGCACGTACGTATGTTGCATAACAAACCGTGGAGCGCTAACACGAAACGCTTGCCAATTAGCATTGATAAGAGTTTACAATATAATACCAAATGGTTATATGGCATGGCATCGAGAGCGAGAAGGACGCTCGTGATGTCATAATGAATGCTCGTTAGCCGATATAAATCTTGTTTACAAGAGAACATACCAGTGCTGCTTACTTCGCTGGCAGCACTTGAAAAATTAATTGAAACTCAAAGCAAAAAAAAAACCATAATTTGCGAGATTACTTTTAAATGTCAAGCCGTGTTTAAGTAAAGCTTCCAAGTTACAGATACTCCATCTTCCTGCTCCGATATTTTCTATGAAGCTAAAAACTAATGTCCATTATAAGTGAGATCATATAAAAAGGCACGAAAACTGATAAGATTGTTCCTCGTTATGTTGGAGAACGAAGGATTGAGTTCTTAAGCACCGCTACGGAATCCCTCTTTTTCTCCTCTTCTCTTCCTCTCTGCGCATTCAACATCCCAATTATTATACATCGAACATCAAAGGCCACGCACGTGGAAAAGAGTAATCTCATTTATTTTAACGCCCCGATATTAATGATAGATACATCGTATAACTTTTGCAACAATATTGCCTGAATTTCATGAAAATTTCATAAGTGGGATACCAGCCAACGCTTAAGGGTTGAAATTCAACGCCGTAACGCCGCGCGCCCGCACATTGGCGCGTTAATAACGACGCACACGCCCGATAGTTAAATTTCCCGAAACGCATTAGACACCAGGTGTTCGATTAACGATTCCGCGCTCGTTAGCTACCGCGAAACGCGCGTTCACGGGAGAGCGAAGCGAAACGCGGCGCGGCGCGGGTCGATCGATCGAGCGCGCGCGGCATCATCATCGGATATCGACGCACGCCGGCCCGCGCTCGTGAAATTTCAAAGCCGAAAATCTCGCGGACAGCAGGGGATGCTGCCTGCCTGCCTGTCTGCTTGCCTGCCTGGCCTGCCCGTTCTACCCGCCTGCCTGCCTGCCTGCCTGCCTGCCTGCCTGCCTCTGCCTGCGTCCGGGATACTCTCTCTCCGCCGCCGGCCGCTATCGATCTTTCCCGGAGCACGGCGAGAGCGCGCACGAGAGAGAAGACGTCTCCTCGGTATCCCTGCCGCACGTGCGCACACACGTATACGTACATAGAGAGTACGTACACACGTACATGGACCAACACGCGCAACTCTGCCCATACCAGTCGGAAGATAAGCATTTGCGAGCCCTGCGCACACGCGCACATCGTACGCGGCTACCTTACTCACGGAGATGATAAGCGTCCGTGAGCCTCGCCACGAATACAGACGCGAGAAACTGATACCTATTCGAATGGTACTCACGACCACGAGCCCACGAGGACGATAAGAGCGTCCGTCGGGCTCACGTGTAGTACCAAGGAGAGATACGCAAATACACAGACGTACATACGTAACTCGGTACGCGCGTTTGATGCGGAGATAGTAATATACCCTAAGACGGTAGCGCGCGTAACGGAGACGCGCGCGGAGCGGAGCGGAGAAGCCGTGGGAGGCTCGGACGCGTAACCAGCCGAGCTCCACTCTCCGCGCCGCTCTCCTCGAACACCCTCGTCCGCCTGACCCGAGAGGGAGACTTCAGTAAGCTCGGAGCTTTCAACCGGTCCGTAGCCGTTCGCCATCGAACGTCGTCGCCGACCGTCGCCGTCGCGTCCCGGCGCGAAACGCGATCGCGCTTGGTGATCGTCGTGCAGCGACCGTCCTGGACCTGGGATATCCTCCGCTCGCGATAAATCCCCTCACGAACACGAATCTCTCGAAACTCGGAACGGATATCGAGAGGCGTCCCGAGCGCGGGGAAGCTGCGAAGGGTTCTCCCAGCGAGTTGATCTCTGAAATATGACACCGGCAGGACGGGGTGGTCTTTCGAGAGATAGTCCTTTGCAGACGAGTGACGGCCTGTCGAATAACTTCAAGATTCTTTCAAGATCAGTTCATTACTAGACGGTTGTTGGATCAGCAACGCAAAAAGGTTTAACGCTGCCGGCGGAGAAAGGATGAGGACGAGAAAGAGGAGCTCGCGAGGACGTGCCGGTCGATGCGGTTTCGAGTTCGCGATCGCGTGTCCACGGGCTGCGCCGCGTTGATCCTGCCCCCGTGAGATTGGAGCGATCCTCGATAAATAACTCACACGGGGAAGGGAGCGACTTTTCTATTTGAGGCCGACGACGTGAGGGGACGATCGAAGCCGCGTGCGGAGGAGGCGATGATCTCGCTTCCGGAAGCGGCTGAAGATCCTCCCATTTAGAGCTCACGTCGATCGCGCGTGATCGCGAAGATCCTGTCGCTAAATTGCTCGTCGACGCGTGCGATATCGCGTGCTCCAAAATAAATTTTGATATGAAAAAGAAATGAAAAATTATAATCAGCATAAGAAATAACGCGATAAGGCTGGAAGATTAGAAAATCCGCGGTTGAGCTCAACGTTGGGAGAGGCGAAGCCTTTCGTGTCCGATTATCAATCTTGCGACGGAAAAGGCACCGCGAGTGATGCAGCCTCGCAGATGATACGGAGGCTGGAAAACACGCCGTGACGGATATATCGAACGGCGACGAACTTGAACGTGAAAAAAAAAAAAAACACGCGAGTTACACGAGATGCGTCTGCGTGGTCGCGCTTTTCGGCGAGCAATCGGTTCCGTCCAGTCGATCGCGATTGTAACGCTTTCGAGGGTACCATCGTGTTCGACGCACGCCGGGTCAAAAACGCAACGCAGTAGACCGAATGTATCCTTGACATGCTTGAATTAAAGAAAGGATATCGACGCGACGAACGGAAGAGGGGCATGTTATCCGAGAGGGAATCGTGGGTGGAATAGAAATAAAATGCAACTTTTGTGTACATTCGTGCGTCCGACGACGCTCGCGTTGACGGGAAATGGTGACGAGACGTCGAGGAACGTTGTGATCTGTTTGAAATGACGTGTGTTCGACGTGGTGGCTGTCGACGAAGGACTCGATTGTACACGAAGGCGAGCGCTCACGTGCGGCAAGAAATCGCGAATGACATTTTGCAGGAGTGATGGCTATTTCGGGCCGGACACGCGGGTGTGCTGCATTTATAAGACATTCTTCGCGAATGGTTTACTGCAGGTGAGCGATGCAGGTGTCTATGTTTATACTAGCGTATCTTTAAGTATTCAGCTATTATAAGCAAATAAGCGATCAGACTCGAGCACCGAGATTGTGTCATCGTCGAGAAAGTCTTTAGTCGCTAATTCTCAAACGTTTGGTGAGATTCCTTGCATAAATAATTAATAGCACGTCCTATTTTTTATCATTAATATGCAAATTCTATAATTACATAATCTAGAGAATACAGATATACTTCGATCTTTTAGAAAACTGAATTAAAGAATGTTAAGTTGGCAGTTTTTTTTCGAATACTTGCTCTAAATATGATCATAGCTTGTACTAACAAATTTGAATGATTAAATTGAAAGAGAAAATAGAGAGTGTATTATACATAATGGAATGTATTATATAATACACAAGAATTGAGAAGAAAAATAAAGCTTTCAGCCTTCATAAAGATTTTTATTCGTGAGAACATCGTCATACTTTAATAGTTCTCGAGCTCTACACTGCAAATCCAAGTGTGTGATTTTTATCAAATTAAATTCTAGTAAAAAAATGCTAATTATTATATTAAATTTTATTTAAATATAATTATATAAATGCGTAGATAAAAGGAATATATTTTTGTCTTTCGAAGAACTAAATTAAAAAATATAGTAAATTTATATTGCGCTCAAATATTTGAAATTTATTTGCAATTAAAATTAAGCGCATCACAATGGCGTCTCGTGGTAAAAATAATTGCGATGTTCCATGATACACTTCAATATAATAGAGAATTTACAAAAATGTTCATTGCGAGAGTCCGCATCCACTCATGTCGCCATGACATTCCAATTATCCGCAGTTTCGATTCCAATTTAGCGGATAAAATGTCAGAGTTGTATAAGAGCGGGAGACGCGCGCGGGGAGGATAATCATCGACAGGAAACGTATTAACAAGGGACTTAATGCGAAGCGGTTATTCTCGTTGAGAATTGCAGACGCCGGCGGCGGCTGGTCGGCCTTCTTCATGAATATTGAATTGCGTAATTTCATAATTCAGTGATTAGACGTGGATTTCCCTGGTGGGTCGTTGCCTTCGACCCTCCGCGGAGGGAGGAAAGCAAAAGGGGACGAAAACGCGTAAGAGGAAGGACTAACTGAAAAAGAAAGAAAGATCCCGTCGCGTACGAATTGCACGACTCATATCGGTAAAATATATAATTCATATGGGCTCTCGTGCCCGATTCCGACATTCGTAGATAACATTTCGAGGATTCAGACGAAGTGGTGAAATTTTAAAGCATATCCCAAGTTACATGAGATCTTGTCAGATTATTCCAAGAATGACAACTGAGAAATCGTAAATTATGTCAGCGTGAATCATATTAACCGAGGTAAAATGGAGAATTTAATTTTACACATTGCTATACATATTTATATACATATTTATATATTGAAAATTGATACGCATTATCAAAGAGCATTCATCTGTAAATAAAACGACTATTGCAACAGAAATTCTGGCGTATTTTTATTTGCGCGTTCGACGTATATACTAATGAGAATCGTTTGTTTCATTTAAGTTAATGCAATTAATGTTCTTTCAAATAAATTGTTTCTGCAAGCTGATAAAGTGTAAAGAAGAGGCAAAAAATAGTATCTCGATATTACTATAGTAGTAGAGTATAAGGATAAAATTATCAGAACGAATAAAATTATTTCGCGTCACGAAAAAAAACCGCAAATTTTTTTCAGATTCGTATTTCCGGGACTTGCGAAGACGTGCGTAAACACCGGGAAACGAAAGAGCGACGAGATATGAAGCTTCCTCTTATTCGCACGGCTCTCGTCGCATAACTGAACGTTCCTATTGCGCTCGATGCACGTTACATTAAGCTCAAGGTGATATGGAAGCAGAAGACGAAGTGGATGATGAGTTGTCGGAAGCCGTCGACACGGAAGTAATTAAACAGTTTGCATTAATGCTTTTGTCGTTATAACCGTACGGTTGCGATGTAACAAGTGTCCTTAAACAACAAATTAAAGACACTTTGTGAATAGCACCTGGATATTGACATCCTGAAAATTGTCAAAAACCGACATATAAAAAGAAATAAGAATTTTTAAACATCGCTTTTAGTACTTTAGATCAAAATAGTCTAAAAATTTAAACCAATATTGTTATTTATTCATGATTCTCTTCTCCCTATAGTAAGAAATTGTATAAATTTCTTACTGTAAAAAAATTTTGATATATTTAAAAAGAATTTACAATGTTTTCTAAAAGTTACGTGCGTAAAAATAATAATAACATTCCAATAATTTAAAAAGATTAATTAACCTTAATCGACAAAACATATGTTTTATAAATTGTTCTTTCAGAAAAGTGTATTATCAAAGTCTGGGTTCTGTTCATGATACAACATAGTTAGTCAGTATTCAATTTGCTACGGTATACTTCCCTTTTCAATCTTTTAAAATAACATAGTATGAATCAGAGATAGTGAAAACAAAAGGTAAGTTGTAGCGAGCGAGATAGATACTTTCGATTTGCGATACCATTCGTAGGCGAATCATAACAACAACGTCGAGAACTTCGAGACAATGAAGATCTCTACGAAGCCGGTGTCCGAGATGACGCCGGAGAAGGACGACTGTCCTTTACTACGCTCGTCCAATCCCGAACAATTGGAAATTGTCGGTCCCGCCGACGACAGTCCCGAAAAGTTGAAAACGTCCGTGCGACCAGAATCAAAAGTACCCCTAAGTACAAGTATAAAGACTGATGTGAAAGAGATTGAGATCGCCAGGCTGTGTAGAAGCAAGAAAGTCACCTGCCAGGACATTATACACGAATATGACGAGGACGACAACCTCACCATAGATAGAGTTGGAAGGTAATTGATTTTAATCTGATGTTACCTAATGGTAATATTGTCGAATTAACTATTTCTAAATCTTTCTAAAAACTTAACGTTAAAAATGTCGGCGTTAAATTACTATATGACAATATATTGTACACAAATATTTATCTTATTTTCTCAAATTGTTTAGACATTTAAATATTATTATTATTGTTAATTATTATAGAATATAAATAAATAAAAATTCATAAAATTTGTGACAATTTTTATATGTGTAATTACTAAATCTTTATGACAAAGATACTTGGAGGCGCATCCTGCTCTGGCCGAAATGTGGCTGCGGGAGAAAGCGAGTCTCCAGCTTCGACAAAAATTGCAGAGCACGTGTATGTTACAAAAAATAACACCAAGCGCGCCCAGCAGGCAGCAGGAGGAGAATCTTCTCAACCAGAGCAAACGCAACAGCGTCACATCCGATCTCTTTCAGACCTGGTTGGCCTCGAGTTCACCCGCAAAGCGCAGCAGGAGTCCAAACAGGTAAGCAATTATGACAACGAAGTAACTTTGTCACATCTGAATGTTGCGTAATCAAATCGTTCCGTGTCACACATTAAGATATAAATAACATAATAAAATAAAATATGACAAATTAAATAATATATATAAATATCGTATACAACGCGTTCTATATTTCTAGAGAATAATAAATCTTTTAAAATCTTTTCGGAAAACTCAATCCGGACTTGCTTCGTACTTAGACAGCACAAGTAAATCTTCCAGAACTTACAGCACGCTGATGGATCGTCGCGAGGAGCTCGGTAGACTGGACGAGAGCGATCTGTTTATGGAGCTGATAAGGGACGTGGCGAACGAACTGGACATCAACGTCCTCTGCCACAAGATTCTGGTGAACGTCGGCCTACTCACTCATGCCGATCGCGGCAGCCTGTTCCTGGCGAAAGGACCCTTGGAGGATCGATACCTGGTGGCGAAGCTGTTCGACGTCACTCAGGATACCGAGCTCGAGGAAGCCATTCAACGGGCTAAGAACGAGGAGATCAAAATACCGTTCGGAGTCGGTATCGCCGGTTACGTGGCGCAAACCAAGGAAATTATCAACATCAAGGACGCTTATAAGGTCTCAGCTTTTTTGGGGTATTTAATCGAGATATGATTCACTGAGTATTGTGTGAACCTTCCTTTCAATCTCACAATAATAACCATAACGCCGTAGCTCGACGAAGAAAAATTTTAACTAACTTCCCGAGTAATCGTCTAAGAGCTAATTAATGATGAGCTTTGTATTTTTGTCGGCAAGATTAAAATAGATATTTCTGTTCACATTCATCAGGATTCGAGATTCAACAGCGCCATTGACATGCGAACCGGATACAAGACGACATTGATTCTGTCGATGCCGATCTGCAATTACGAGGGCGACGTCATCGGGGTCGCCCAGATCATCAACAAGACGAACGGCAGCAACGAATTTACGAACAGGGACGTCGAGGTGTTTCAAAGGTAGAAGACATATATTCCCGAAAATTTATAACTTGGCGTAATCGCGCGTAATAACCGGGTGTCGGACGGTTAGACAGACGTTAGGGTATATACCGTTACATTAACTGATTGCATAATGGCGCAAGGCCAGTTACAAGACTATGTAATTGCCATGTACACGCAATTATAATCGGCGCCGTGCGCGATCGATACGTTTATTAATACGATCGCGCGTCTAATTTTACGACGGCATCGATTATGTCGCAGATACCTCACATTCTGCGGCATCGGCATACAGAACGCGCAGTTGTTCGAGCTGTCCGTGCAGGAATACCGGCGCAATCAGATACTCCTCAATCTGGCGCGGAACATATTCGAGGAGCAAAACAATCTCGAGTGTCTCGTCACGAAAATCATGACCGAGGCGAAGGAGCTGCTCAAGTGCGAGAGATGCGCCGTTTACCTGCTAGATTTGGACTGCGGTGAGGCAGTAAGTGTGCTTCCTTTCCGCGAGAAATTTAAATTTTTCTACGACTTATTACTTACATAAATGTCAAGATTATATATAACAAAATCGCGAAACATATAGAGCGATTTTGTTAACTATAGCTATAAAGCGAACCAATGTTCAATTAACTGAATATAATATTCGATTAATTAAACGCCCCGTATGGCGTTTAAAAGCAGAATAAGAGATGCTAAGTCTCGTTCCAGGGGCATCTCGAGAAAATCGTCGAGCGGCCCGGGAGGTCGGTGCAAGAGAGCAGAAAGCCGTTGTCGAGAAGAGAGGTGAGTGGCACCGCCACGTGTTACTCGAATTTGTATGTCTGATGATCTTTTTCTCTCTTTCCTGGCGGCTCAGAGCAATAACATCGACATGGAGGACATTATTCAACAGCATGTAAGTGATCCCGATTAAACCGAGTATATGTATATACATATACATAAATATACATATAAGGAAATGCAATTTTTCAGCCCTCCCGACAAACGTACAATCCCTTCGTCGTTTCTTCGCTTAACTTCTGTGACGTTGATCAACGCGCACGCATATTAAATCTTTTCGATAGTTCAAAATTTTCTCAAAGAAGCTAAAAATCTTTAATTCTGATTTTCAAACAATGTTCACATAATTTATTTTTTCAGGCAGCGAACGAAAGTAGCAAATTTACCATGGCATTCGAAATGGAAAACGAAACGCAAGAGGCTCGGGTCTATCGGCCAAGCAATAACAACCTGTCGAGTACCCTGGGTCAGATCGCAAGGTACGTCGCCGCGACGGGTCAAATTCTCAACATTGGCGACGTAGCCACGTGGCTGAAGAAAGATGTAATGGAGAGCGGAAGGGAATCCATCAGAAGTATCCTATGCATGCCGATCGTCAACGGGCAGAGAATCGTCATCGGAGTTGCTCAATTGATCAACAAGGTTTGAATTGATAAAATTTTTTTTATTTAACTTCTAAGTAATAATCCGTCATAGTCCGCAATAATCCTGAATAATCTATTATTGATCTGTTATTGATAGTTTGTATTTGCATTTAGATATACTTTGCATTTAATCTTTAATAATCCGTTAATCTGCATGTGTTGTATTATATCGATATACGTGTATCATACGATTTTTATGCTATTGACTTTTTATACTATACGTTGCTTGAGAATAGATCACTGAGTGTCAAGCAATGATACTGTATTGTAATAAAATTCGCCATATAACAACACAAAATAATAATTTAACGGATATTAGTACTGGCGTTATAATAAGGGGTACTTTTTTTTTATCAGCAATTGCTAGATAAAATTATTAAGAGTGATAAGTCTTTATTAAATAATGAAAAAAAAATTCTGTGCAGGACAACGGCACATCCTTCACCGACTCGGACGTGTCGATATTCGAGGCGTTCGCTATTTTCTGCGGCCTCGGTATTCACAACACGCAAATGTACGAATCTGCGTGCAAACTGATGGCGAAGCAGAAGGTGGCCCTCGAGTGCCTGAGTTATCACGCGACCGCCAACAACGACGACGCCCTGCGGCTCGTCTCCGATCCCATACCGTCCGCGGAAACGTACAACCTCTACAGCTTCACGTTCATCGACTTCGATCTCACCGATGAAGACACGTGTCGCGCCACCATCAGGATGTTCAAGCAGTGCGATCTCATACAGAAGTTCCACATACCGTACGACGTCCTATGTAGGTGGATCCTCAGTGTGAAAAAGAATTACAGGTGGATATTTCAATCTCTTTTCATTAATTTCGTTTCATGATGGCTTTGAACGCGCAATCTTAAACAGTGTTACATTCGGAAATTATTTCTGACAGGCCAGTAAAGTACCACAATTGGCGGCACGCGCTGAACGTCGCGCAAACGATGTTCGCGATGCTGAAGACCGGCAAGATGGAACAATTCATGACCGATCTGGAGATTCTCGGACTTCTGGTAGCCTGTCTTTGTCACGATCTGGACCATCGCGGCACGAACAACGCGTTCCAGACGAAAACCGAATCACCACTGGCGATCCTCTACTCGACCAGCACCATGGAACATCATCATTTCGATCAATGCGTCATGATCCTGAATTCTGACAGCAACAACATATTTCAGAATTTATCAATGGAGGACTATAGACGCGTGATGAAAGTCGTGGAGAGCGCCATTCTGTCGACCGACCTGGCGATGTATTTCAAGAAGAGGAATCGCTTCATGGAAGTGATCGACGAGGGCGAGTTTGATTGGCAGAGCGAGGAGAAGAAAGAATGTAATTCTTTAGCTTTTATTCGATTATTTTGTCAAATATCATGGCACAAACGACTAATTAATTTTGTCCGTTTTTCGCAGTGCTATGCGGCATGATGATGACAGCGTGCGACGTGAGCGCAATAGCGAAGCCCTGGGAGGTGCAGCATCGCGTGGCGAAGTTGGTGGCCGACGAGTTCTTCGATCAAGGCGACCTGGAACGCCTCCAGCTCAACCAACAGCCGGTGGCGATGATGGACCGCGAGAGACGGGACGAATTACCGCAGATGCAGGTCGGCTTCATCGACGTGATCTGCCTGCCGCTCTACAAGGTCTTGTCGGAAACGTTCCCGTGGATACTGCCGCTCTACGAGGGCACCACGGAGAATCGAAAACACTGGCAGGATTTGGCGGAAAAGGTCGAAATGGGACTAACGTGGATCGACCGCGACACGATCGAGGAACCGGTAGAGGAGTTCGTTTCTTACGAGCCTAAGGACATCGAGTTCACGGTCACGACCCTGAACTGCGCACACGCCGACAAGAAGGAACAAATGCCGGACAGGTCGTCGCTCGGCAGGTTCGCCTCCTTGAGAAAGGGCGGACGTACGTTGAGCAAAGGGGTCCGACATCGCATCAGCAGGTCTCTTTACACCAGGAGCAGCTCGGAGGACGCAGGCAAGTCGAAGGTGTTGCTCCCGGAGAGGAAGAATCGCAACAAGCTGTGCCTGCTCATTTGACGGCTAACTTCGACGACGCTCGAAAGCATCCCCGAATGATGGCCAACTAGATGGCGATACTTGGAAATGAGTATTTAAATACACGTCGCAGCTTCCAGGTCGCGGAAGATGAAATCTTTAACGTTGAGATTGCCTGGAAGCTGAAGTTTGACAGATCTGTGGATGAGCTGTCATTGAAAAAGAGCTTTAGAGTGAACCTAGAAGAGTCACTCTCAGAGGAATAACAATTGTCTACCTCGGTAACTAAGTCAGACTATTCTCGAAGAGTAAAATGATACCAAATGGATCGTTTCGGGAAAGTTTTCAAGCTGCTTTCAGTTGCAGCGAAATACTTATGGGAAATGAATCCTTTGGGAGAGCTCATAGAAGAGAAAAATATTGATATTTGCAGAAATGATCACTATATATGATCTTTTTAATCAAGAATGATCATATTTGATCAGATTTAATATCAATCAAATAAGAAGACAGAAAAAGAACAAGCAATGAGAAGAAATGACGATAAATTTAGCAATTTGTAAAAACTTCGTGCAAATTGCAATCGAGTAAGAGAATAATTTTCAATACAAAAGAGTAAAATAAATTAAAATGTGAATAATTTACATTTCAGCGAAAAACTGATTTAATTATCGAAAGATTCATTACAATACTCTATCATTGCTCATTTCACGATTTTAATAAAATAAAGAGAATTAAGAATCTCGATATTATTTAACCGAATTAGACACGAATTCGAGTCAAAGTATTTAAAGTTTGACGTCATGTAAAAACTTACAATTAGTACGAGTGAGAAAATTATAGAACCAAATATATAAAACGCATATTTACATAATTCCTGGAAGACATTCCCGGAATGGAAAATACGCTCAAGGAGGATATTCTATTGATTTCGGCGCATATACCACTCTCTTCATTGCCAGACGTAGAAAACGACGAATCAAAAAATACCGCAGTGATTAACGAAATGGCGAATCTTCGTAAGGCAAAGACGATAAACTACGTGGCCCGAGAAGAAAAAGATCAGAAAGTATCCGAGGTGATGATCTCACCACGAGACACACATCGGCGCGTCAGATCCCGAAAAGACTGTTGCCCGTAGGTTTTAAGGCGATAAATACGTAGACAACGGTATTGCGTAAAATACGTATGCTTAGTCGATGGCTAGGTAGCTAGAGAACTTGACGGTCGGTCGTTGCACCTCACAACGACATTGCTCATAATCGCAATCCCGTAGAACGCGAGGAAGCGTGCTGTTATGTGTGAATGTGTCGGGCGTCGTCAGACCGATGATGATGATGGATGATGATGACGATGATGATGATGATGATGATGATGACGATGAATTCAATTTTGACAATCTTTTTGTATCACATCTCGATGATATTCTAGGCTATACAGTTCGGCGTACGAAGGGATCGGTGACGATGACGCTTACAGATCGAAGACGTGCGAATCGGACTCGCGGACACGCTGCTCCACGATATGGCGGTTTAAGTCAGAAACGAGCGCAGTTTAATTGTTTTATCATCTCTCAGACTTTCCCTCAGAGCGATCTCCGCGATAACAGAGAGAGAGAGAGATGCAATCAATACAGTTAAGACAGAAAAAAGAATTGCTCTCAAGTGAATTTCTTTATTTTAATTAAACCCTTAAAATATTCTGAGTAAAATAAATACATAAGTATAAAATATTTTATAGGTTCTATAAATAAAGAATTGCAAGTAAATATATTTGAAAAATATTTTAAATCTTTTAAAAATTTGAAATTTTATGAGACGAAAGAATTACGAAAGTAAGTAAATTTAATGCGTTTTAAATTGTGTAAATAAAGGATTTAATCGCGACTTTAAATTTTGTAAGTAAACATTTTCGAAACAGAGCGCATTTTCAATTTCGTATGTGAATAAATAAAAAAATTATGTATTCGTATACGAAAAAAGATTTTTCTTTCAATTTGAAGCTGATTTGGGGAGTCGCTAATACGATCGTACAAATTTAGGAATATATTTATCCTTCGATCTCATTGCGTACGTATGCAAGATATTTATGTGTACATAAATTGGTTACATAGCGAGCGGTACTTTCATGTCGTATCAATGTCTTATAAACGGAGTCAATGATAGGATTAAATCGTGCGCGCACGCACGCTACGTAATCTGTGACGCAAGCATGATCGCGAGTCCACCGATTATTTCTGTGCAGTTCGAGTTTTGTCGAACCATTGAACCCTTCGAGGAGATCGGCGAGTTACACATAAATTACGTTGTTCACGGCAAAATCCATTTGTGTTTCCGTTGTTATAGTAATTACGCACGTATTCCGGATCGAGCGACTCCGATCTCTGAGCGATCAGAGCCCGCGGTAATTTAACACCTCTCTTTTTTCGCGTTTGATTGACGAACCGCGATCGGACGCCGCGGAAATCAGTCAAGTCAGAGTGCCCTCGTTATACTTTCCGTAAAACTTCCCAAACGCATTATGTTTTCCGAGTGTGAGTTGTCTGAGAGTTGAGCAACACGAGAGTGAGACTGGTTTCTAGTCTTTTGATATAGCTGCGAATCAATATATGCCTATCAGAAAGAATTGTTGCACATGATTAAATAAAATCTGGATGTGCTCAAACAGCCGCGCGAATGTGAATTATTTGAAATACCCCGAGAACACGATAGATCGCCTTTTATTTAGACTTCTTATCTTATTGTTAGTCAAAGTATTATTCGAAAGTCGTTACACGCTATCTTAATCCTCTGCGGTTCAAATTGTTTCTCAATCGAATGAAAATCAAATGTTTCAATTTGATCTAATTGATGGATTTAATAGGAAATCAGAGAATTTTTATTTTTTAGAAGAACTTTTATAGAAATCTCAAAAATACTTGTCAAATATAATCATAATTCGAATACTTAATTACAGTAGCTTTTATATGTAATAAAAAAAAATTAAATACCACAATTTTGAAAAATTTGATAAAAAAGATTGAACTCATTGTTAAAAATATTAATCCTTTCAAACGGTGCTATGATTTATAGGCCTCTCGACAGCTCAGGCCTTTGCCTAGATACATTAAAGACCCTAAAGCTTAACAGGGCTTTCTAAGTGACAATTTAAGCGGATCATTAATATAGATTGTCAATAACGTCTTAATAACGTGCAAACTTGGCTCAAATTTCGTCGTTCGAGGCGCAAAAGTTCCACATTTAAATTTAAATATTTGATTTAAATTTTAAGCATTCAATTTGTTTCTAATATACATCTAATAAGCATTTCTTGTTTTAAAATCATTGCAAAATCACGATATGCACGTACTTACCTGGCGACGATCGCCCAGCCATTGCGTCTTCGCTGCAATCCCATCCTCGGTGAGAAAGTAAAATTGAAGCCGAACTCTCTGATTGATCCTCCGGAAGTAAATCTCGATGCTGAAATGAATATTGACAATGAGAAATGGCTATGGTGCGTGCGACGCTTAACGCGTCACAAAGATTCAGACTTCTTCGCGCGCGAAATCAATCTTCAAATCGCGGATGAATACGGGACGATCTGAATGCAATTTCGCGGACTTGAATGACGATGACTCACCATCGAGAAGTGAAGAATAATTAACGCGGCTAGTTATGGAACGGCGACGACGGCGTGCGTTACGCATCTGACGACAATCGTCCCATCAATCGCGTCCCTCGGTGAAAAGATGGTTCGACACGAGAGCGATTTCGATCGACCAAGTCTGGATGGATACGCGGAGGCTAAATCGTGGACATCGAAAACGCGACGTACACGATGGCGACTAGTACTCTCGCGACGGATATCGTTCGCAAGACACACATACTTTAACCGATAATTCTTAGCGCGAGACTCGGTTTTGGACGACAATCACGAACGCGAGATTCGCGGAACGGTTCGAACGACTCACGCGACTTCTCTAACTTCAACATAGCGACTAACCGCCGTCCGCCGCCGGTAGGCCCGGTAGTAACAGCGCGATTCGAGATCCATCGATCCATCCATCGACAGACGCGACGATAGCGATTCTCGAAGCCGAGGCGGTCGGCGCGGCTAACTTCACGGTAATCAGCTGTCCGTTCTCTCTCATCTTCGGCTTCGGCTGGATTCGGGGAGCGCGCTATTAGCGCTATTTGCTTGTTCTATCCTTGTTTTACACCTGATGAGCGATAAAGACAGAATGATGCAATAGCGCTAATAGCGCGCTCCTCGAATGCAGCCTAAATATACTTAGGCCCAGTTTCACAAGTGTCGGTTAACTTTTAATCTTAGATTAACTCACTCTTCATCTCTTTCTAATGTCCCCCTTAGAAAGAGACGAAAAGTGAGTTAGTTAATCTAAGTTTAAAAGAACCGACACTTGTGAAACTGGGCCTAAGTATATTTAGATGAGAGAGAACGGACAGATCTGATTACCGTATTGTGAAACTGGACCTAAGGGCCAATTTCACCAACCACGGTTAGCTTAACCAACGGTTAAAGTTAGCAGTATTAACCAATAGTCCTTGGCCCTTAATATTTATAAAGTGTAACTGAGACGGATGCTGCTTTCAACAGAAATAAAATTCGATTTCGCGACGGAACGCGGTTCGAACTCAATCGAAGAGCGACATTTACGAGTCTTGAACTTTTCGAGATGACTTACTGCTTCTCGCGCTGGCCGTCTTATTAGCGGGAGGGCGCCAGTGCACAGCGATCGTCTCTGCATTAAATTTTCATAAAATCAATGACTATTTCAACATCATTTTGATTAGACACTCTCTTATTTGATTTTGTTATTGCTTAGATAAAAAAATGAGATAATTGCTAAATAAATTTTGATTAATTAACCTTAGATTATTACCCTTATTTTTCGTTTATGCCGTTACTATCTTGGGTCTGGCATTTTATAAATATACATATAATAAAACTTATAAAGCTGTAATATATAATATATATTACATAACATTATTTAAGTTATAAAGTAATTATTTCATTATTATAATCGTCATTCTGTTTCACTACGGTGTTTCAAAAGATCCGGATAAAAATCTCGAATTGAAACGAGGAAGGAGGAAGGAAACGTTATCTCGACGAAGAATCAAGGGCGAATCTTCAATGCAGGGACATTATATTTACGCCGTTTTTATTATTAAAACATTTAGAAATTACACTCTCGTACGATGGTGTCCTTTACAGTTACGGATCATCAATCCAATATTGGTCCTACTAAATTAAATTAAGTATAACAAACGGTCTCTCCTTTTCTTTTTGCTTCCTTCCGTCTCCTTATACTTCGTGTCGACGATTATAATTCACTATACATACATTATATGCAACATGCGCGCGCGCGCGCGCGCGTGCACATGCAGTCAGAGCCCTTATACACGTGATATTGCGACGTCCAAAAGAAATTGGCTAACGGGAAACTTCCCGTAATTTCCCGGGAGACTTCTTTCCTGCGACTTCCCGTTTGTTCGTTTTATTTTTTCCCCCCTTTCTCTTTTCGGCATCACCTTTCTCTCACTCGATCTCCCTTCGACGATCTCCGGCCCATACGTCTCCTCCATGCGCTCGTACGCGCTAGGAAATCGTACGCCGAGGCAGTGACGCGTTTATTTGGCAAGATCCTTTCAGCAAACAACATCGCATTACAACGTCGGACAGGCTCCGCGGACATTGTGATCAAGAACGAAAGGAATTCGTAACCACCGTTGTACGCGATGCTGCGGGAAGCGCGCGTAAAATCGAGACTTTCAACAGATAAAGCACTTCGACAAGCTCGAATTCCGATGCCGTGGAGATCTTCACGCGAGGCTCACGTTACGCTGGAAATCGAGCTAGTCGATAGTGGACCGGTTTAACACATTCGCGCGATGCGTCCCCAATTGAAACAATCGTGCCGGAAAAGAATTCTCCTGGCGTTGCGTCTCGCGTGTTACGATATTTTAGGCTCCCGAAGCGCGTAAGAGAAAGTAAAGGTAGACATGGTGTTGAGTCGTTGTATCGTTTGAGATCATTATTATTTACAACTAATTAGCGGGAACGGAAAATACGGAAAACATCCAGCGTCGCGACGGGTATCCAGTTTCGACTGAGAAAGCGGACTAAAGCGTATGAAATTTCGCGCTGCATCGCAAACGGTTTCGCCTTGATCACAATGCCAATCAATTTGTAACGTAACTTACTTTTTATATCACCCTCGCTTTTTACACAATTTCTTTTTCTCGTTTTTGTTTTGTTTAGCCAATCCTCGGGTTTCTTTACGGCGCGACGAATGTTTGTGTTAATCGAATCTACTGTCTTCGCTGTCGAGAGGCATCCACATGCGCGACGAGCTGAACATCCCACTCAATTTACATATGCGAAAAAACTTTTTACGCTTTTTACGCGCGGATACACAAACGCAATGGAAGATACGTCGCGGAAGATGAGAAAAATTCGGAGAATTTGTCAACATTCGTCGAGAACGAGGCTCACTCGTAATCGAGGTTCTCAGTTGGGCGGAACCTGAACGAAACACGCGCTACAGACGCTAACATCGAATGCCATCTCTTCGCTAAGTAATTCACGCAGACACGCATCTCATTCACGTCTCATTAATTAAATGCAGATGATACGATAAAGTCATAAATGAACAGTAAAAAAATATGTATAGACCCCGTCGTATACGTGACAAATCAACGTGGCGGCTCGCGGTAAGCTAACTCGCGTCGTTCACGAACGTTTACGAACGCGACTTACACTTTCCTACCGCATCCTGATTCGCCCCATATACTTCATATACTTTCGTATGTTATATGTTCTGTGTACGCATATAGAAAATTGAACTTATAGGAAGTGCCACGGCTTCGTTACACATCCACGCGCTTCGATGCACGCCCACCCTCGTAAACGCAGCAGCTACCACTTAGGATCGAGACACCACGAATGCGAATGAACGCGAGACTCTCTTGCCGCAATTAGGTCGACCTTGTATAAGCTTATTTTGTCACAATTAATTTCCACGAAATCCCCACAAATTAATCGCGCATATTCCCGCGTGTGTCCCTGTTTCCCGCAGGTCTCTGTACATATATTACAAATCTGTCCACCAATCTACATTTAACTTTTAAACCTAAGTACAAGGCACAACCTGACGGCAAGAGAGCTTCAGTTCATTACACGCGTATTCGGCAAGATTAATTGTGCAAGGTGCATCTGAACAACTTGCGGCCCACAAGATATCGACGGAAAATTTGTTCCTTCAAACCTTGCAGGATTTCTGCACCTTACAAAAATGACTCAAACCAACCGGCATGCCCCGTAATTGTGCCGACAGGCACCCACGAACGCGTGCATGTCCATGATTCTGGCGAGGTAATGTCCAGAGTACTGCGCGGAGGGTCACATGAAGAACTCCCTGGATCGGCTAATATGCAGTCACGACGCAGGTCTATCCAGTACCGAGATCTCTATTAGTCTGAGCCCGCGAGTTGTTGGGTCCGTCAGCAGGAGGCCGCGTGGCTTGTACACTCGATCGTTTTGCTCGCTGACGAACTTGGCGACCTTGCGCAGACACTTTTCGTAGTGTGTCTCGGTGCATATGCTTATCAGATAACCCGTGAGACAGTATAGGCAGCTCTCGCAGTACGTAGAACAACTGGCACGCTCTGCCTCGACAAAGTAGTTGTTCAACTGATTGATCGTGTACTCGAACAATTGTCTGTCCAACTAAATCAAGGAAATATTTTGTGATAAATATTTCTCGATCGTCCCTTCTAATTTCCAGAAAGTATATTTGCCTGACTTGGGCTATGTATACAGTTTAGAAGTTTTTAATTGCAATACTCACTCTATTTTCCAGTTCTGTAGGGAACCGCGTTTGGAACTTGACCATAGTACCTTCGCTGTAGTCGCGCTGTATAAAAACCTTCTGACAATGCTGAGGAGGCCCTCCACCTGCCTGCCCTCGTCCCGCGGACATGTCTTCCAGCGGTGTGAGGGCAGCATGATTGCCCTAAAAAGATATACATTCGTCATTTCTATCATTATGAAATCTATATTCTTTATAATACCAATATGTATTCTACTTTATCTTTCCTAGATATGGCAATATAATAAGTTTTCGCACATGTTAACAAACAACAAATATTTATTGCAGACATGGCATATTATTGTTTATACTGGTGATAACATTAATATCGAATTCTTGAACAATAACGTACTTTTCTTTCGTGATTAATCACTTCAGGCAGTATGCATAATGATTTCTTCGAGCTCGAGCTCTATAAAATAAAATGCAACATAGCATAACCATCTATTCTTATCCGCTTCTTTTTGCAAATATTATAACATACACTTAATACAGTCTAATTGCATCAACAATTAAGCATTGCAACATTGCGTCCCATCACTAATATTAGAAATAGTTGTTAGAAATAGTTGTTTGGCATTGGCATTAACTTGTGATACACTGACATACTTTTCTCTCATTATTGGTAGTACGCACAATTATTTCTTTGAGAGCTCGGGCTCCCTAAAATAAAATGCAGCATAGCATAACCATCTATTTTCATCCGCTTCTTTTTGCAAATATTATAACAAACACTTAATACATTTTCATGCTATTTGTATCAACAATTAAGCACTGCCACATTGCGTCCTACCACTAATATTGGAAACAGTCCTGTTTGGCATTAGAGTGAACTTATGATACACTGACATACTTTTCTCTCATTATTGATCCCTTTAAATTACGTTCTCGACAAACTCTGTAAACTCCGTCGCGCACAAAATAAACCTTGATCCTGACGTTCGATCCATAATCTGTCCCTCAAGAGCTCCCGTTTCCCTCTCATCCGACACCGCTCCTCGTGCCCGCGGAGCTAACCACAAAAAACCGCACCCAGCTCTCACCTCGGGAGTCGCGAGGACGGTCAGTCGCATCCTCGCTCCGTTTCGCAGCCGCGATCGCTCCTCGTGTCGACGACCGAGACGCGGGGGAACTTGATTCTTCGAGGGACAGAGGGATGACCGAGCGAAACGCCTTTACGCGACCGAGGCGAGGGGATGACAGCCAGGAAGAGAGGCGCTCACGAGCGAGCGAGACGGACCGCGAGAGGAACGGAGAGAGAGGGAACGGCGCACCAGGACTCACCAGTGGCATTTTGAGCTTCGTCTTGCTGGTTGGTTGCCGTACGCTACTGACGAAAGCCGAGCTCGAGCCTCGCCGTGTCTTCTCGGACGCGGATCGGCGCGACGTGGACTCGGACTCGGGGGAATCGGCCGAGGGACCGCTGTCGCCTGCTGCACGTATACGAAATACGAACGGACCCACGTCCCACCAGCCCACCACGACTCCGCGACGACCGCGACTCGCGGCCGCCATGAACGGTGCGCGCGCATGCGCGATTGCGCGGCCAGCGCGACTTCGGCCCTTCTCTTCTACCGCTCGCTCTCGCCCGCACTCCTCGCACTCCTTGCCGCACTGCGCGCCATTTCCCGGCGCGTCTCCATACGATAAGTACACTCCGTTTTTTTTCTGCGGATCACGCGAGGCACGCACGCGTTCGGTCTCCAAGACGCGCGGGAAGAACATTGGAAAGTGTATCGAAGTATCGAAGGTGCAGAAGTAAACAGGAATAGCTTCTATTCCGGGGTTTCTTTTTGCCCGTACGACGCGCTTTCTGCTTCTAACATGGAAAAACGTTTCGCTTGTCGGCGCGGAAGAAGAGAGGTAAAGAGCAAAAAAGAGAGGAAATTGCAGAATGAAGATTTTGGAAAGAGGAGTCGGTGAGTTCTTTCACTTGATCTTATATTTGCGTTTCCTTGATACGCGAAAAAGGAATGTCGAGATCGCGAGTCGCTATAATTTCAAGCGACGCCGCTATATTTGATAAGAGTATATTTCGAATTTATGCGATTGATAAAATGGATGTTTTAAGTTAATTAACATCCCAAGTAGCAAAGATGACGTCTTATTGACGTTATAGACGTCATTAAGACGTCATTTGACGTCACTTTGCTACCTGGGAAGTAACATTATCAATTTTATTAATTCGGAAACGGGCGCCTGAGTTTTACATCCAACCTAACCTAACCCAACCTCAGTATCGAAAAAATAAAATTTACGTCGCAGTAATTTTAATGTGCTGCTTTCGTTTATACTTAAATATTTTTTTTAATTTCTCGTTACTTTTTTCAGGGAATTTAAATAAATCTATATACATACAATTGTCTTCAAATACAAGTAAATTGTAGGACAATGAAAAATGTGCAATAATTAATCAATGACTTTTAATTGTAAAGGTGTAAAAATCACCCCAGGTAACCATTTATGCAAAAAAAATCAGGCGCCCTTTTCCGGGTTAAAGCACATGATTGTTGACTCAAAATAAAGAATTGCACGAATAACAAATTAATCTGTTGTATCTGTACTTTTCAAATTTGTAAAATACTCAGTCTTATTTTATGTAAAATAATATTGGACAGATGTGGGTAAATAATGATTACTGCAAATATATATCCCTGTGTAACGATTATACCATAAGAATTCTGCGAAAAATCATAAAAATGATAGTTGATTAAACGAGAATTGAGATGTAAGCTGCAATGCATAAAATAATACCATTATTAGTTTTTTACAAATTTTTCCTATTATTTATTGACAAATTTATTACTTGATTCTATCTAAAGAATATATCTAATTATAAAATAATTAATTTTAAGTCCGATAATCAATCTTTGAATGATAAGAACGCCGTGAAATAAGACATTCCCATTCGCACCACCTTGAATCAAAAACAGACGCACAAGTTATTGTTGCACAAAACATCGCGAGCATGTTCAACTTGCTTTATTTGCTAGTTTTAAGTTCCTTACCCCGGCGTAAGTCGTCATCGACAAGGGAATTATGTTACCTGCCATTAACCCACACGGTACGATACTCCTGTGAAGAGATATGATTAAAAGAGATTTAATCCTAGGCGAAAAATTGTACCATTCCGCCGCGTATCTGCAAGAATGAGTTTAAATATTGATTTCAATTGCATTTTTTACATTTAAGTAAAAATTGTTTTTTGCAATTGTATCTGAGATTAAAGTAACTTCCCAGCTAGCAAAATATGTTCTAAAGGACGTCTTAAAAACATCACAAAGGAGTCTTAAAGACGTTCTTCAGACATCTTAAGCGGTTTTAAGACGTCTTTTAAAAGCTTCTGCTAGCTGAGTCCTAAAATATATTTTGAAATCATATTGGATGAACAGTACAGCAACTTCCTCGGATTTTTTATTCGAATTAAAGATATTGCCTCGAACAAAAATTTCAATAAGAAACAGTTCTGTTCTAGGAAAGAAACTTAACGTATATGTAAAACGATTATTACGCTCGATAAAATATATTCTGACTTTCATCCATTAATTTCTGACCGGAGTAACACACAATCATCAGCTGGATCAACGCTCCCATAACTATAAACATATATCTTAGCAATTCTTGTAATTGGTCTAGCACATATACGATCTACAATGAAAACATAATTGTTTTTACCTGATTTCATTTTTTTAGGGAGCACATTATAAAATAGTAAGATTTATTCATTCTAAAATTATTACGATTTCAATTTTTATTAGCATTGAGAAAATTATGAAGATTCCATAAAGTGAATCTCTTATACATTAATGAAATCTTGTTGTGTTATATTACGTTTATATTTAATAAAAGTTCTCAAACGAATAATTATTTAGTGCTTACTCGAATTCCAATTATGCTTAAAATTGCAGTTATTAAGAATAACAAGCACAACGAAAGATATTGATTCGACGAATTCAATATATTAACAAATCTGTGGACAATATAATATCGTTAGTTTCTGATGGCAAACAGCAATGTCGTACTAATTTCACTCATCTTATAAATATAAAGCAATAATGAAAAAATAACTTGACATAATCTGCTCACTCTAGAGCAAGCTGATGTTTCTTTAAACATATGATGTATTCCTTGTACACAATCTCCTCGCTCGGCAAATCAAGCCCCGTATACACGCCACCTCCACATTCGCCGATTTCATTGTTATTTCCCACCTTCGAAATTATGTTTTCAACTTGCTTGCTGCAAAACATGATTTTTAAGGTGTCGAAAAAAACCATACGAATTATACGTGATATATTACATATATTCTATATTTATGATCTATATAATTATATTAACGTAAAAATTATTCTTATGATGTTTTATTATGATATCATTACATATGCATCAAAATCATTATTGTATCCGTGGGATAACTACCTGACTGCCGAGAACAGGCTGCAAGCATGAGCGGTGCACGTAATATGCATAGTATCGACACCCACCATGATGCTAATACCCACCACCATTAAAACGGTGATGTAACAAAAAATCGGTACGAAATACTCGTCTTTATTTACCCTGAATTCAACTTCGACCGCGAAAGATCGCGGACGTGACTGGTTTACTAAAGGCTGTATGATATTTAGGAACACCGGTGTTAATGGTATCGCTATAAATCCTGACATCATGGCATACAATAGCACTGTAACATCACAAGAGAAGTGCGTTGTTCTTTCATTAATATATCAATTTATGGAGTATTCTATAATTATCCTTATTGGATTCGTCTGGAACGAATATGGGATTTTGCGAAAATTTTATTACAGCTTATTTATCTTTTGTTGTATGTTAATTTTTAACGTCAAATATCTGGACTGCCTTGTAGTTCGGATATCTGAGAGATTTGGTGGTTTGCAAAATTCCTGATTACATCTAGTATAAAGTAACGTACTGCTCTGAAGATATATAATCGCCGGCGATATAACTTACTCGAATAATATATTGTAAACTTTCGCGACAGCATAGAGTAATCTTTCAAAACTTGTACTTCCACATCGTTCGTAAATATGTCCCAATGCTTGTCGATGTTTTTATATAACCGTCGCAACTGTTTACAATACAACCATAGAAATGATTTAATGTGTTACATACAAACAGTTTTGCCGAAATAAAAAAGAATCAAAGATAACACGCTTTAGTTCCAAAAACTTACCTTGTCTTGATTGCAGACTTCACTCAGTATCCTTACAATACAAGCGGTTGTCAAGACAATTTGGTAGCCGGCGTCAAAAATCATTTGCACATTATCCCAATGATCGTATAATATTAATATCTGCGTATAACGTTGATTATCACCCAGAAAGTATATATTACATATAAATGCATCACAAACATACGACAAAAAAAAAACGTATACTTTAATATTTAACTTTAAAATATTTCGCAATAGGAGACGTGCGCGATATATTGCATGTGACGAGAGATGACAGTTAGCACGATAAAAATCCTTAAACAGTAATTAAATTTTTTTCGACTCAAAATGTATCGAATGGTATGCATTACCTCAAAGGGAAAGTAACTTATTTCGAGCAGGAAGCAGAAGATCGGCAACAACTTTTTTGCGAGCACACCTTGGAATGGCCAAAAGCCTATTATTGACAAAAACATCCGATTGACATTGTATTCTCGTGAAAAATTCTTTAGCATGATCAATCGCTTTAGTTTCCCGGAGAAAGACTTCAACGTAATGACACTTGCCATATGCATGCAATCGATCGTTCAGCGGGTACAGGTCGCATATAAAACATGAAATCATAGGATGTCAGGAATTGTCAACCTATTATTTCGCCGAACGTATCTATCTATTGATAGAAGTGATACCAAAGTATCACTTTCTCTGAATTAATATTTAATTTTGAAAGGTGGACGTACGAAAATATAATGGCACAGCACGATGCAACGTAAAAAGCTGTGGCTGACAATAATAATATAGATGTGTCTCATGTCTTGGCTTTTTTGTTGATTCACTCTTCTGTTGAGAATATTTTATAGTTAGTTCTAATCTAACACTTTCAGTGTTCGTGCGTGGAGTCGAATTGTATATTTAAAATTAATAAATGGAGAAAAATGTTAGGTAAAGTATAACCAAAGAAATCGAGTTTGAATTCCACTAATCCGCTGATCTAAAGGAAGAATTTTCGGGAAGTTATAGAAAAAAGGATTAATTAATTTTTATAAAACACTTAGTCTTATTTTATGTAAAATAATATTGGACAGATGTTGGTAAATAATGATTACTGCAAATATATCCCTGTGTAACGATTACTATAAGAATTCTGCGGAAAATGATAAAAATGATAATTGATTAAACGAGAATTGAGATGTAAGCTGCATAAAATAATACCATTATTAGTTTTCTACAAATTTTTACTATAATTTATTGACAAATTTATTACTTGATTCTATCTAAAGATTATATCTAATTATAAAATAACTAATTTTAAGTTCGATAATCAATCTTTGAATGATAAGAACGCCGTGAAATAAGACATTCCCATTCGCACCACCTTGAATCAAAAATAGACGCACAAGTTATTGTTGCGCAAAACATCGCGAGCATGAACTTGCTTTGTTTGCTAGTTTTAAGTTCCTTACCCCGGCATAAGTCGTCATCGACAAGGGAATCATGTTACCTGCCATTAACCCACACGGTACGATACTTCTGTGAAGAGATATGATTAAAAGAGATTTAATCCTAGGCGAAAAATTGTACCATTCCGCCGCGTATCTGCAAGAATGAGTTTAAATATTAATTTTAATTGCATTTTTTACATTTAAGTGAAAATTGTTTTTTGCAATTGTATCTGAGATTAAAGTAACTGCCCAGCTAGCAGAATGTTCTAAAAGACGTCTTAAAAAGGCATCTAAAAGACGTTCTTCAGACATCTTTTAAGCGGTTTTAAGACGTTCCGACTTTTAGAAACTTCTGCTAACTGAGTCCTAAAGTTATATTGTGAAATTATATTGGATCAACAGTACAGCAACTTCCTCGGATTTTTTATTTGGAAGATATTGTCTCGAACAAAAATTTCAACTAGAAACAGTTCTGTTCTAGGAAAGAAGCTTAACGTATATATGTAAAACGATTATTACGCCCGATAAAATATATTCTGACTTTCATCCATTAATTTCTGACCGGAGTAACACACAATCATCAGCTGCATCAACGCTCCCATAATTATAAACATGAATCTTAGCAATTCTTGTAATTGGTCTAGCACATACACAATCTACAATGAAAACATAATTGTTTTTACATGATTTCATTTTTTTAGGGAGCACATTATATAAAATAGATGTAAGATTTATTCATTCTAGGATTATTACGATTTTCAATTTTTATTAGCATTGAGAAAATTATGGAGATTCCATAAAGTGAATCTCTTATACATTAATCTAATCTTGTTGCGTTACGTTCATATTTAATAAAAGATCTCAGACGAATAATTATTTAGTGCTTACTCGAATTCCAATTAGGCTTAAACATGCAGTTATTAAGAATAACAGGCAAAACGAAAGAAATTGATTCGTCGAATTCAATATATTAACAAATCTGTGGACAAAACAATATCGTTAGTTTGTGATTGCAAACAGAAATGTCGTAATAATTTCGCTCATCTTATAAATATAAAGCAATGATGAAAAAATAACTTGAAAAATAAGCTGCTCACTCTATAGCAAGCTGATGTTTCTTTAAACATACGATGTATTCCCTGTACACAATCTCCTCGTTCGGCAAATCAAGCCCCGTATACACACGACATCCACATTCGCCGATTTCATTGTTATTATTTCCCACCTTTGAAATTATGTGTTCAACTTGCTTACTACAAAACATGATTTTTAAGATGTCGAAAAAAACCATACGAATTATACGAGATATATTACATATATTTTATATTTATGATCTATAATTATACACGGAGAGAATTTTCTCTTAAAATTTACCCTGAAATCATGGTATATAATAGTTGTGGGACAACACGTACCACCAAGAATTTTATGCGAGCTATTCTGATTAATAGTGATTAATATCTACCATAATAAAATATATTAATATCTATTACATTAAAATATAAAATATATTTGATTAATTTTACTAAAATATATCTAGGAAAATTCAATAATTTTTCAAAATTTACCAATTTGTTTGATAATATAATTTTATGCAACACGTGCATGGAAAGTGCCCCATTACGCACGCTACGCTTGCGTGATAGGCCACTTTCCAGGCACTTGCCACATAAAATAGGGAGTGTAAGTCGTGTGTAAAGATGAACTCGCCTTCGGCTCGTGCGTAAACTCCGCACCCGGGAATTTTCATCTTACCTCACTTGTTACACAAATAACTATTTATCACGTTGTTTGTAAAATGTCTTTTGTATATTTTAAAAAATTTCTTGGTTGCCAAGTTGTCCCAAGTTTGTAGTAAATTTAAGGGTAAAATATAACAAAAAATTCTCTCCGTGTATTAACGTAAAAATTATTCTCATGATGTTTCATTATGATATCATTACATATGCATCAAAATCATCATTTTATCCGCGGGATAACTACCTGACTGCCGCGAACAGACTGCAAGCATGAGCGGTGCACGTAATATGCATAGTATCGACACCCACCATGATGCTAATACCCACCACGCTTATAGCGGTGATGTAACAAAAAATCGGTACGAAATACTCGTCTTTATTTACCCTGAATTCAACTTCGATCGCGAAGAATCGCGGACGTGACTGGTTTACTAAAGGCAGTATGATATCTAGGAACGCCGGTGTTAATGGTATCACTATAAATCCCGACATCATGACATACATTAGCACTGTAACATCACAAGAGAAGTGCGTTGTCCTTTCATTAATATATCAATTTATGGAGTAGGTATTCTATAATTATCCTTATTGGATTCGTCTGGAACGAATATGGGATTTTGCGAAAATTTTATTACAGCTTATTTATCTTTTGTTGTATGTTAATTTTTAACGTCAAATATCTGGACTGCCTTGTAGTTCGGATATATGAGAGATTTGGTGGCTTGCAAAATTCCTGATTACATCTAGTATAAAGTAACGTACTGCTCTAAAGATATATAATCGCCGGCGATATAACTCACTCGAATAATATATTGTAAACTTTCGCGACCGCATAGAGTAATCTTTCAAAACTTGTACTTCCACATCGTTCGTAAATATGTCCCAATGCTTGTCGATGTCTTTATATAACCGTCGCAACTGTTTACAATACAACCATAGAAATGATTTAATGTGTTACATACAAACAGTTTTGCCGAAATAAAAAAGAATCAAAGATAATCACGCTTTAGTTCCGAAAACTTACCCTGTCGTGATTCCAGAATTCACTCAGTATCCTTACAATAAAAGCGATTGTCAAGACAATTTGGTAGCCGGCGTCAAAAATCATTTGCACATTATCCCAATGATCGTATAATATTAATATCTGCGTATAACGTTGATCATCACCCGAAAAGTATATATTACATATAAATGCATCACAAACATACGACAAAAAAACGTATACTTTAATATTTAACTTTAAAATATTTCGCAATAGCAGACGTGCGCGATATATTGCATGTGACGAGAGATGACAGTCAGCGCGATAAAAATCCTTAAACAGTAATTAAATTTTTTCCAACTCAAAATGTGTCGACTGGTACGCATTAGTGCAGGTCTACAACCTTGCTTTAAAGGGTGTTTAAGCTCTAAGCCGTAAGAAATTGACCAATCACAATCGAGTATTCTCCTTACATTCCATTGTGATTGATCAATTTCTTACGGCTTGGAGCTTAAATATCCTTTAAAGCAAGGTTATAAACCAGCACTTACCTCAAAGGGAAAGTAACTTATTTCGAGCAGGAAGCAGAAGATCGGCAACAACTTTCTCGCGAGCACACTTTGAAATGGCCAAAAGCCTATCATTGACAAAAACATTCGATTGACATTGTATTCTCGCAAAAAATTCTCTAGCATGATCAATCGCTTTAGTTTCCCGGAGAAAGACTTCAACGTAATGACACTTGCCATATGCATGCAATCGATCGTTCAGCGGGTACAGGTCGCATATAAAACATGAAATCATAGGATGTCAGGAATTGTCAACCTATTATTTCGCCAAACGTATCTATCTATTGATAGAAGTGATACCAAAGTATCACTTTCTCTGAATTAATATTTAATTTTGAAAGGTGGACGTACGAAAATATAATGGCACATCACGATGCAAAGTAAAAAGCTGTGGCTGACAATAATAATATAGATGTGTCTCATGCCTTGGCTTTTTTGTTGGTGCACTCTTCTGTTGAGAATATTTTATAGTTAGTTCTAATCTAGCACTGTCAGTGTTCGTGCGTGGAGTTGAATTGTATATTTAAAATTAATAAATAGAGAAAAATGTTAGGTAAAGTATAAGCAAAGAAATCGAGTTTGAATTCTACTAATCCACTGATCCAAAGAAAGAATTTGCGGGAAGTTATAGAAAAGAGGATTAATTAATTTTTAATATTTCTGAAGCTAATAAGAAAGAAATTACCTAAAAAAAAATTTTTTTAAGGATCATAGTGATGCGATGTCAAGTATTTTTCATTTTTCAATTTTACAATTAGACTGATAAAATTAATATTATATTTTGTTTAATTAACGTATGCATTAACGTATATCTTACGTAAGTTCTTGTTGAAATTTACTCTGGCACGAAATAAAATAAATATTGTTTACGGCACAGTTAAAAAAAAGACAACGAAAAAAACGGAAACGAAAAGTATGAATGTCAAGTGAAAATTGTGTAAAAAAGTACAAAAGCGGCTGATTGAATGAAACTAATTCCATTATCCAGTAACATTGTACTCTCTGTACTACAATTTATTGATGATGGGATCGAACACATATATTGCTGAGATATTAATAGAACACTTATCAGTCTTGGAGTGATAAAAACGCCGTAAAGTAAGACATAGCCGTTCGTATTACCTTTAATTCAATAAGAGGTATAAACTGTTTTATATGCATATAATAACGTTGTTATAAAACTGTAAATATTAAAATAGCTAAAACTTTACGGTACTTACCGTCGCATAGGTTGCAATGGATAATGGAACCATATTACCTGCTTTTAATCCGCAGGGTGTATTAGTTCTATAAAGTGTTATAATTAATAGAGATTTTAATCTAGGCGAGAAATTGTACCATTCTGCCGCGTATCTGTAACATAAATGTAATAATTGATTTTAATCAAATGTTCAAATGGAATTATTTACCCAAATTAAAACTATTTTTTACAATGCGCGGTTGGGTAACGATGATATGTCAGAACACTTATTGCAAAATAGTTTGCAAAAATTATAGTAATTTCTAAATTAATATCAATTTTTTCTATATATTAATTACGTTTTTCAAATTACATCTTATTAAAAGTACCAAACAATCTTAAATTACAGTTGAAGTAAACTTATATTTAAGAAATCTTATGCATATGCCCACGGCACAGTTATTAGTATAAATCAATTATAAGAAAAACTTTGTGTTACAGTTATATTAAAGTATAAAATAATTACGCTCGATGAAATATATTTTGACTTTCATCCATTAATTTCTGACCGGAGTAACACATAATCATTAGAGTCACAAACGAACCCGTCATTATAAACATTGATCTTGTTAATTCACTTAGTTGATCCAATACATAGACAATCTATAACAAATTGAAAAATATTAATTATATTATCCGTTCAGAAAATAATTATATTCTTACTTAAGATGAAAAACACTTATTTTGTAATACGTAAAAATTAATAAAATTATATATATTAAAAACAATTATAGATTTTACCCTTTTCTAATTACATTAGGAAACTTAATATAGATTTAATAAAAAATATATTTTTATTGCAGAAAATCAGACTTTCGATATATTTTTTGTTTTCAGGTTTAAACTCTAACTTGATTTAATCGTCAAATCACGTATTAGACTATAAAGAGAGATTCGACATAAAGCTAATTTAATTTCGATCAATAAATAATTACGAAAATCTGATTTGGTTACAATTTTTATTATTTTGTATGATTGTACACATTTATGTTAACTGTTAGGAAAACATCTTATATACTTATTTAATACTTACACGAATTCCAATCAAACTCATAGTTCCAATAATCAACATTAACATAATCAATGAAATTCCTTGATACGATGAATCTAATATATCAACAAATCTGTGTAATAAAAATAGTATTAAAAAATTAATTTTTAATAGAAAACACAAATAATATTAACAAATTTATTTTTGAAAGAGGATTTGACACACAAATGGTGATATTATTAGATATCATGTATATTGTAGAGAGACAATAAACAATTTAACAAAAGTTACTTACTCTATAGCAAGTTGATGTTTCTTTAAACATATTTTATATTCCTGGTATATCATCTTTTCATTCGATGAATCAAGATCTATGCCATATTTACGTTTACTTGGTTCGCTGCTGTCCGTTTTTGGATTCATGTTTTCAATTTGTTTGCTGAAATATGAATTTTACGTTACTTTGCGAGAACCCGAAAAATATATATACTGTATACATTTGCGGCAAAATATATAATTAGTATCTTGTTATAATTGCAATAATAATATTATTACCTAATGATACAATATATATAGAAACGAAATGAAATTATTACTCTATTTGCTTGATATACATACTTACCTGACAGCAGCAAATAGACTGCAAGCATGAGCGGTGCACGCGATGTGCATTGCATCAATGCTCATCGTAACATTCGTTCCCACCACGATTATTGCGGTAGTGTAAAAAAAAATTGGTAGAAAATACTCATTTTTATCCACCCTGAATTCGACTACGATCGCGAAGAATCGCGGACGTGACTCGTTTAGAGGCATTACAATATCTAGAAGTGGTGGTGTTAACGGTATTGTTATAAATACCAACATCATTACATACATTAACACTGCAACATTTCGAGAATAATTTGTGTGTTCCCTCAATAATATAAAAACTTATAAAGTATCCTAAAATTGTCATCATACTTTTGAATTGTTTGTAAAAAATTTATTTCCAGTGAAAATTTTATTAAATTCATTTATATGTCAGTAATAGTAAATATCTATTACTAGAGTTGAGAGTTATAACAAATGCTTAATCTTGTGATTTATTAGGTATACTTTGTTCAATTATATCACTACATTCCATTAACATGGAAATGGAATAATTCCATTACCGTGGAATAATGCTATGCCTAAGCAGAAGATAATTATCGTAACAATATATCGTACTTACTGGAGTAATATTTCGTAAATTTTCGCGACAACATAGAATGGTCTTTCAGAATTTGAATTTCCACATCGTTAGTAAATATATCCCAATGCTTATCGATAGCTTTATATAACTGTCGAAACTGATTGCAACAAATATGGAAACGATTTAACTTGTAACACCTGAAATATTTTTCCGGAGGCAAACATAATTAAAAAAAAAAAGACAAAACAATACATTTTAATTCTAAAAACGTACCTTATCGTGGTTCCAAAATTCATTCACTTGCCTTGCGATAAAAGAGGTTGAGATGACAATTTGATAGCAACCTTCAAAAATCATTTGCGCATCGTCCCAATGATCGTACAATAGTAATATCTGCATGTAACATTTTCATTCATATAATATGTTACAAGTTCACATATATAAAATTTTACACGATTGACTTGCTACATTTAAATTGTTACATTTCTATTTTATAATTATTTTTTAATTACTCAAACTGCTATCAAATACGTTAGTTTGGCATACGCGATTATAATGTATATATATGTATATTTTGTACAACACGAAATAGTAAAATAATAAAAATTTATAAGCACTAATCGAACGTATTGTTTGAAACGAAGATGTATTGAAGTGCAATACCTCGAACGGACAGTAACTTATTTCGAGCAGGAAGAAAAAAGTCCGCAATAAATTTCTCACGCGCTTACTTTGAAATGGCCAAAGACCTATGATCGACAAAAATACCCGGTTGACATTGTACTCTCTCAGAAAATTCGACAGCATTTTCGCTCGTTTCAATCCCGTGGGGAGACCGTAACATAATGATGCGTGCCACGCATGTTACCTATCGATTCGTCGGCGAGTAGTATAGGTACATGAAACACGAAATGATAGGATGTCAGGAATCGTCTATGTCACCATATTATTTTGCCCTTGTAAGAGAGTATCGAGCTATATTAAACCATCAATTTTTCCATCCTTCAAAGTATTTTTTATTCGATATTGGTTTTGAGTGACATGTTACCGTAACGATATAGTACAATCTAATAGGAAGTTTGAGGGTAACGATATTAACAATGAAGATATGTGCTACTTCGTTTTAAGCATTTTTAGCGCTTCAGTGGAATCGAGGATTCTTGAAATTAGAAAATATTGTGAAATAAAGAAAAGTAACAAATTTTGTTTAAAAATCCATACTTGAATTTTGCTGATTTGAAGAAAAGTCAATTGTAGGCAAATATAGGACAAGGGTAATTTTAAAAATTTTCGAAGGTGATAATTAAAGATTATTAAAGAGATTATTAAATTAGAATCACAATGATATGGTGTTTTAAGGTATCTTAAGAATATATATATATATATGTGGCTAATAAAATTGATATTTTAATAACATAGTTCAATTAATTAATGCAACATATAATACTATCAACTTTGTTATATATTGAAGTACATAATTATTATCTCTATATAAAATAAATAATAGAAATAGCTTTTTAAATTTTTAGAGTTATAACAAATTAATTTGTAGTACCTACCGTTACTGAGTAAAGAAATTTTTAAGAAATTTTAAAAAAGAAGAAAAAGGATTGAATAAGAGGACGATATCATTTTATATTATGGGATAAATATAACATAAATCTCTTTATTACAATTTATTAACATTGATATTAAAAAAAGATAAATTAGTGAAGAACTAAAAAATAATTTTGTAATCATTCTTGGAGTGATAAAAACGCTGTGAAGTAGGATATGGCCACTCGTAGTACCTTAAAAGAATTTAAATTAATTATTTTATACACGATACTATTATAAGAAAGATGATGCGCTTTGTACAGCTTTGCGCAATTTACTTACCGCCGCATAGGTAGCGATGGATAACGGAATCACATTACCTGCTTTTAATACGCATGGCGTATTAGTTCTGTAAAGAGTTATTATCAACAAAGATTTTAGTCTAGGTGAGAAATGGTACCATTCTGCCGCGTATCTGTAAACGTAGAATTAATTATTGATTTTTATTACCTTTCCAAGGAAGGTTACGTTTAAATAAATAATGAAACTTATTTGTTGCAACATGAGTATATTAAAAATGGTATATGATACAATGTATTACACAAAATAATTTACAAGAATTTATTAATGATTTCTATTATTAATGATTTCTATTATTAATGATTTCTAAATTAGTAACATTTGTATAAGTGTCATTAAAAGTTTTAAATAAATTTGAATAAAATTTCATGTTTAAGAGATCTTATGAATGATTTATCTTATGAATGATAATACAAAGCTATGGTCCTATTAAAAAAAAAACAATGTCTATTACATGTATTAAGACAAAATCATTATTACGCTTGATAGAATATATTCTGACTTTCATCCATTAATCTCTGACTTGAATAACACACAATCATCAGAGTCACCAATACTCCGACGATTATAAATGCGAATTTCATCAATTCTTTCAATTGGTGTAATACATGTATTATCTACAAATATAATTAATCGACAATTCTTGCATGAAAAGTATTATATATATAATTATCTGAAATATAATTTAATTTTTTAATTTTAAGCAATTATATTTCTTTGATGTAAAAAAATAATAATCTTAGAGCACACTGAAATCAAGTAGATTTTATGTAATTATGTAATAATTATCCGTTTTTGTAACATTTTTTTATATAACTGTATTTATATTTTTTGTTGGCAAGATATCTTAGTAGATGAATAATTTTTTTATGCTTACCCGTACTCCAACTAAACTGAACGTTGCAATAATCAATAATAACAAAAGTAACGAAAGTTCTTGGTATGACAATTCCAATGTTTTTACAAACCTGTGTGGAATAAAAATGATGTTAGTATGCAACTTTTTGCATACAGGCAACAATATGATATTTTAATAACATGCACTTAATTTATAGAGAAACTCTTACTCTATAGCAAGTTGATGTTTCTTTAAACATATTATATATTCTCGATATATTATTTCCTCGCTTGTCGAATCAAGCTCCATATTCGCGCGATATCCACATTCACCGATCTTGCCGTTATTCACTTTTGAAAATATATTTTTAACTTGCTTACTGTGAAACGTAAACTTTATTGTATAACACAAAAGCTAAATAAATTATAAATACATAACATATATATTATGTTACGAACAGAAAATACAAATAAAATTTACACACAGTCTTACAGTAATTATAATAATAATAATATTGCTATTGTATATATTCATTTTGCGCATTGAAATTATCATTATAGTTGCAATGTATTTACCTGATAGCCGCAAATAAACTGCATGCGTGAGCAGTGCATATGACATGCATCGCATCAACACCCACCATGATGGTCATACCTACCATGATTACAGTGGTGGTGTAACAAAAAATTGGTACAAAGTAATCTTTTTTATCCACTCTGAATTCAACTTCTATTAGGAAAAATCGCGGACGTGATTCATTAAGTGGTATTACAATATCTAGGAGCAACGGTGTTAACGGTACTGTTAGAGATACCGAACACATCAAATATATTATTGCTGTAATATTATGTATATATAATGAAAGTAAGATTGTTTCTTTAATAATATAGATTTATATTATTAGAGTAATAATAATATGATTATCAGAGCCTATAATTATCACCATTTGGCACGTCTATAATAAATCTGCCGTTATAATAGCGAAAATTGTATTAAATTTCTTTATAATTTTAATGTTGAATTTGTTGAATTTCAGTAGGAAATATCTGCACAACTCATTTGCAAATTACTAGCTCATAAAATTTTTAATTATATTAGACATCACAGATGCGCGCGTTATTTGGTTTTAACATTACACACAAGTGTCAAAATATACGATGACAGCTACTCATAAAGTATATGATGATGATGATGATTATTATTCTCTTCTGTCAGCATAGAATTATATGCTTTAAGAATATTACCATTGCAATATGTACGTACTCACTCGCGTAATACTTTGTAAACTTTCGCGACAGCGAAGAATAATTTTTCAAAACGCAAACTTCCGTATCATTTGTAAATATGTCCCAATGTTCATCAATGGCTGTGTACAATCGTTGCAACTGATTAAAACAAACATAAAAACGATATGACATATAAACATATAAAATTTTACTAAGATAATTATAGCTGAAAAAAAAAATAATGACAGTATGATACAGTTTTGCAAATTTACTTTGTCGCGATTCCAAATATCATGCAACGCTCTTACAATAAAAGCGGTCAATAAAATGAATTGATACAAGGCTTCAAAAACCATTCCTGGATCACCCCAATGATCATACAGCAGTAGTATCTGCGTATAACATAAAATTAAGTATGTTACAAATATGTATATCGTTAGAAGATCGATCGTACGGAAATACGATATTGTTATTAACTGACCGTTAATTATTGCATCAGATGAATGTGTGTGTTACACTGAGACATATTATTTTACAATTAACATTTGTGACAATATTATATTATATGTACGTGCTTTACGATTAAATAATAATATTTTGAATGACGGAACATTATGAACGCTAATAGTACATTTTTTTCAAATTGAAATATACACCCTACGTATCGACGGATACGCATTACCTCAAAAGGATAGTAACTTATTTCCAATAGCAAGCAGAACGTCCGTAACGAATTTCTCACATGCTTACTTTGAAAGGGCCAGAGACCTGTAGTTGATAAAAACACTCGATTCATATTGTACTCTCGCTGAAAATTCGCTAGCATGACTAATGTTTACTCTCCGACGTATTAGAAGGAAATGATACGTGCCGAGTATGCTATCGATTTCTGAACATGCAAGTTGCGGCACAAGAAATACTGTATATGTCATGCAATATCAGTCAGTAATTTTGCCCGTGTCAGTGTCTTATTTTTCTAATGGCAGAGTACGTCTATCTCTATCGATACTAAACCATTACTTTCACTATCTTCAAATGTGTCTTCTGTTAGACATCTTTCTGGCTTGACACGTTATATGGTAACATAAGTGTCGTATAGACATATATAGTATAGCACACTGCATTACGGAATAATTGAGAATGACAATGTAGACGCATGATGATTTCCCGTTTTCCGACCGTATTGAAAATTATTCTTCTCTGAAATTTCCAGTCGACTTTAAATAGTTCAACTGTTCGAATATCTTTGTCGAGTATCTTTGAAAGTAGAAAATGATGAAATAAAACGAAATCAAATAAGTTCAAAGATCAAATATAATAATCTAAAGAAGCAGAAAAAATTGTAGAAGAATAGAAAAGCAGATGGTAAAATTTTTCCGAAACTAAATATATCATCGAAATACAATTTATTGACATTCAGATCAGAATGTATTATACATATAAAATTGTATGGTGAACAGTTAATTAAAAATTCGGCAATCACTCTTGGAATGACTTAAACGCTGCAAAGTAAGACATAGCCATTCGTACAACCTTAAATCGAATACACAAAAGGTATGACTTGCTTTGTACATGCATATGTAATATTCTTGTAAAAAGTAGTTTCACAACTTTGCGCATTCTACTTACCGCCGCATAGGTCGCGATACATAACGGAATCATCTTTCCTGCCTTCAGTCCACACGGAGTATTGCTTCTGTAAAGAGTTATCATCAATAAAGATTTTATTCTGGGCGAGAATTTGTACCATTCTGCAGCATATCTGTAAACATATGCCAGCAACTGCTTTTAATTAAATTTTCAAAAAAAATTTATTAAAAAATAATTTGCAATAATGAAACTAGTTAAATTACAAGTATTGTGTATGTTAATTACATTTTTTAATTGTGTTGTATTAAAAGTATGTTGTAGTTTAAGTCAAAGTATTCATTGTATTAAATTGTTCAATAGATCTTATGAATGCTTATAGCTAAATTATTACTTTTATGTAAAAAAAATAGCTTTAAAATCGCTATATAATATATAATATATAATAAGGTATAAAATAATTATTACGCTCGATAAAATATGTTCTGACTTTCGTCCATTAATCTCTGACCGGAATAGCACACAATCAATAAATCAAATAGCAACGCTGTGAATAGAAGCATGAATTTTAGCAGTTGCTGCATTTGATCTAACACATTAAGAATCTATAACAAATAAAAAGTATTACGTAATTATCCGCATAATAATTATAATTTTATTTAAGATAAAAAATTTTACGTTATATAGATATGTTATTGAGATAGATTTAAGATCGATGATAAAAATCGATCTAATTACAATTGTTTGCCTCTATCAGTATTGAAAAAAATGCAGAATTTTATTTCTTTTGTACAAACTTGATTTTGTATTTTTTATCCATCAGGACATAATCAATTTAGTTTATCATCAAGGGTGGTAGAATATAAATCGTTAGAATATGAATATGAGACTCAAGAAAAAGTTGTGTACAAAAATACTAATTCAACCTTAAGGAATAAAAAGAGGGAAAATTCGACTATATAACAGTTTCGATTATCTTGTATGCATATTTATACTAACGATATTTTATAGGAATAATTTCTAATGCTTACTCGGATTCCAACCAGACTTATATTTGCAAGAAGCAATAGTAATAAAAGTAATGAAAGCTCTTGAAAAGATGACTCCAATATATTAACAAACCTGGAATTACGTTAGCAAGTTATATAAGCAGTAATATTATATTAAAAATACATACACATAAAGGAATATTTTACATATACAAAGATATTTATATAAGAAACAATTGAACAAGTGCTGCTTACTCTATCGCAAGTTGATGTTTCTTTAGACATATTATATATTCTCGATATATTATTTTCTCATTTAATGGATTAAGTTCCATATTTACATGATATCCATATTTGCTGGGTTTATTGTTATTATTCGCTTTAGAAATTATATTCTCAATTTGCTTACTGTAAATATGAATTTACGACATCTCGTAAAAGTTACAAATATGTGTGATGTATATTATATATCGAAACACGTACAGAAATACGTACGAAAATGTAGGTATTTGAAATTAGTGTCTTAAAATACTTATATGATATGCACTTAAATTATCATCATATCTGTAATGAATCTACCTGATAGCGGCAAATAAACTACACGCATGAGCGGCGCACGCGATATGCATACAATCGACGCCCATCGTAATGTTTACACCTGCCAGAATTACAGCAGTAGTATAACAAAAAATTGGTAAAAAGTAATCGTCTTTATTCACTCTGAATTCAACTTCGACCGCGAAGGATCGCGAACGTGATTCATTAAAAGGCATCACAATGTCTAGCAATATTGGTGTTAATGGTACTGCTACCAATATCATTAGTATAAGAATCATTAGCACTGTAATGTCCCGAAAGAGATGTGTATTTATTCAATAATATCAACCTAGAGTATCTTAGAGTGACACTCTTTAGAAAATCTGTTTTTAATGAAAATTTTGTTTAATTCCATTTTTCTCTTGCATAGTTTGTATTAACATCGACGTAGCGAATATCATAACACTGTTTATAGTCATGCACGATTTATATCATAAAAGTCTCAGTTACATTATTTTATTCTGTCATCGACACTATACTCCATATTACAGCAATATAATATGCTTACCTACGAAAAGTTTCGTAAACCTTCGTGACAGCAAAGAATAATCTTTCATAACTCGAACTTCCACATCGTCCGTAAATACGTCCCAATGTTTATCAATGGCTATGCACAACTGCTGTAACTGACAATAACAAACATGGAAACGATTTAACATATATTACACATAAAATAATTTTTCTAAGATAATAATAGTTAAGAGAAATACGACAGTGTTCAGTTCTGCAAATTTACTCTGTTCTGATTCCAAATAGTATGCAATGCCCTTGCAGTAAAAGAAGTCGTGAAAATAAATTGATAGCCGGCATCAAAAATCATTTGTGGATCGCCCCAATGATCATACAGCAAGAACATCTGCGTATAACGTTGAATTATTATATTTAAGTTTGTTACAAATATATAACTATAAGATCGATCGTAAAAATTGTTTTACTTATTTAATTAATCGTCACTAAATATTGCGTCAGATATGTATGTTAAGGCCATTGCACGTAACGCAGTTTTAGTCATAATCGTAAGGTTGTAAGAAAATAGACCATTCACACTCGATTATTCTTCGAGCTCGAGAAGAATAATTGATTGGTCTATTTTCTTACGGCTTTACAATTATGACTAAAACTTTGTTACGTGCAATGGCCTTTACATTCAGACAATATTTATAATATGTCTCTGATAACGTTTGTGCGCGGCAATATTATATACTTATATTTGCTTTATGATAAATCAGATAAATGATCACATTATGATTATACGTAATATTATGAACACTACATACGTATTTTCTCAAACCGAAATGTATTGATCAAGGCGCATTACCTCAAACGGATAATAAGTTATTTCCAGTAGCAAGTAGATAGTTCGTAACGAATTTCTCACATGCTTACTTTGAAATGGCCAGAGACCTGAGATCGATAAAAGTATTCGGTTTATGTTGTACTCTCGCACAAAATTTTCTAGCATGACTAATATTTACTCTCCGACGTACTAAAAAGAAATGACATGTGCCGAGTGTGCTCTCAATTTTGGATGGAACATACAAATTGCGGCACAAGAAATGCTGTATATATCATGCGATGTCAGTAATTTTGCCAGTGTCAAAGTTTCATTTCTTTAATGGTAGTGTATGTCTATCTATCGATACTAAACCATCACTTTCACCTTCTTCAAAAGTATTTTCTATATTAGACATCTTTCTAGTGCGACACGTTATAAGTTATAATATAAATATAGTATGGACATATTATAGTACAGTACAGTGTAACAAGATAATTGAAGGTAACGATAATAGTAGTGTAGACACGGTCTTGCTTGGTTTCCGACTGCATTGGAAACTCTTCTTTACTAAACGTTTTTCAGTCGGTTTTAAGTACTTTAGCTGTTCGAATAAAGCCGAATATATCTTTGGAAGTATAGTTGATGAAATAAAGTGAAATAGAATAAGTTTAGATATCATAAATACCGAAGTTTAAATATAATAAACATAATAATTCAAAGAAATAGAGAAAATAATAAATGGAAATGTGCAGATGACATTAAGTTTCAAGATTACCGAAGGCAGATATATCATTGAAATACAATTTATTGACGTTGAGATCACAGTATGCCAAACATACAAAAACATATCGGTGACGAGTTAGTTGAAAATTCAGTAATCATTCTTTGAATGATGTAAACGCTGTAAAATATGACATGGCGATTCGTATTACCTTAAACAGAATACGAAAGAAGCCTAAGTTGTTTTATATATATATATATATATATATATATAT